AAAAAATCTTGGGTGTGGGTAGACATGACCCAAACCCAAACTCAAATTCAAACCGTTTGGGAGTTTGAGTTTGGGTTTGGGTCATGTCTAGGTGTGGGTATGAGTGAGAGTGTGGTGATTGCGGGTTCTAACCTTTTCACTCCCACTCGTATTTTCACCCACACTCTAATCCGCACCCACCCACATCCTAACACTTGAGCACTGACCGAGCCCGAACTCCGAGCCCGAACTCCGAGCTCGAACCCCGAGCCGCTCGGCCTTAGTACATCCCTAAATGTATACTATATATGTATAAAAAGTATCAGAATTCAAATTAGATCTTCTATTTATTTTTAGTTTTATGATTTACCAAGCTTTTGGAACATAACCAAGTTGTTTCAATGTTTGTATATGATGATAATAATGTTTTAATAAATTAGTTGAACAACCACGTTCACAAATATTTTGAATTTCTTTTTCAATTAATTTGCATAATTCTTGTTCTTTTATTTGTACACTTTTAACATATTCATCAACGAAATGCATTGTTTGTTGAGAATGTTCTGAAACGAATTGACGAACATGTTTTCTTGAACGAAGAATTAATGCTAATGCTTCGTCAAAATTTCTTTCAGCTAATAAAATCACAAGATTTTCTTGTGTATTTGTCACCCAATCTTCTGAATAAAAATCTTCTTCAAATAATTGTATTTGTTGTTGTTGAACCGATGATCGATCACTAATCGATGATGATGCTGTTGATGTTGGTGATAATGATAAACGTCCTGTATCTGTATATAATAATGATCCACGTCGTTGTCGAGGATAAAGTGCACTTTCAAACATTTCCATCCAATGTTTTTTACTTTGAGCATTTTCACACATCATTGTATGTGTTTCAAGATTATGTTGTATTAAAAATGAATTACGTAATTCACCATCTTTAAGATTTATTGTTTGTATAGCTGATGATGGAATTTGTTTATCCGAAGGACGATTGCTATTGACTCCACTTGATGTTTGATGTAATTTTAAAACTTGATCAACATCATATGCTGTTGCTGTACGAATATTTGCTGATTTAGCAATTATAAAATAATCACTAAATAAAAGACCATAACATTGATGTGTAACATAAGATGTAGGTAATTTCGTATTTGAATCTCCTTTATGTTGTTGATGATTGGCTGGAAGATTTTCTAATTTAACTTCAAGTAGTTTACCACTATGAATTAAACGACGATCAGGATTTGATGAAACAAGACCCAAACTTTGACAATGATGTAAAAGTGTTTCCCATGAATCATTTTCTGATGTTTCAGATGAATCATTCTAAAATATTTTCAATAATTTTTCTATCTAAACTCCGAAAATCTTTTTTTTACCTTCTTCTCAACATTCAATAATTCTTTCACAGTGTTCAATAATTGTTTTTCATCAGCTAATAATGAATGTAATTGATAAACTTCTGATTCAAGTGATGAAACTTCTTTAGCTGTTTCAATAAATTTTGTATGGTTACGATAAACATTTTGTTTTAATTCCGTTTTAGCTTCGCTAGATATTAGATGCATACGTCGTTTCATATTCATTAAATCTGTACTACCAATCGATTTTGATGCTTAAATAAATAATTAAAATAAGAAAAAGAAAAATTTAATGAAAAATTTACCAATCGATTGTACAAATGATTCCGGTTCGAATTTTGCTTCCAAAAATCGAGCTCGAAATGCGGGGTCAGCATCACTAAATTCCATTGATAATCTGAAAAAAAAATAAATATTTTATTTATTTTTATCTAAATAAATAATAATAAAAAATCAATTAATGACGTGCACCAAATATTAAACTTCCAACACGAACAATAGTACTTCCAACTTGTATTGCACGTTCATAATCATTAGACATTCCCATAGAAAGTTCAATATCATTGATTGAAAGATTATATTTTTCACACAATTCTTTTCGACATCTAATTAAAACTTGAAAATCAGAATCATCTTCTCCATTCACATTATCTAATGAACCAATTGTCATTAAACCTTGACATATTAATTGTGTACAATTTAATTTAATATGTTCATATAACGATAAAAAATCTTTTTGATCAATACCAGATTTTTGTTGTTCATTACTTGTATTGATTTGTAGAAGAATATTCAATGTTTTTGATTGTTGTTTAAGATTATTATTTAAACGATCAGCTAAATCAATTGAATCAATTGTTTGTATACAAACAAGATTGGGTACACGTGTTAACATACGATTAACTTTATTACTTTGTAAATGACCAACAAAATGCCAACATATGTCGGGACATTGTGTTAAAATTAAATTATCATTAGATTTTTTTTCTAATTCATCTACATAATTTTCTCCGAAATCACGTTGACCAGCATGATAAAGTTCAATAATATCTTCAACTGGTTTTGTTTTCGATATAGCTATTAAACGAACTGATGTTTGATTTATTTGTGATAATTCATTGATACGTTGAAGAATCACTTTTAAATTATCTGCTAGGTGACTCATTTTTAAAATTCTTTTTTATATATCTGAAAGTTGATATTTCATTATTGTGGTTTGTATTTTTTTTTATCAATGTTAGTATCTTCTTTCTATTTTGAAAATACACGTGTATGTTTGCATGTCATTCTTATCTATTCTAGCTATCTATCTTTTTCTTTCATTTGTTGTTGAATGATGTCGAGAAGCTATTGCAGGTGCAGTATGCCATGGGCAATTTACATGTTAATGCTTGCACGATGATTCTAATATAAACAAAGAGCAAGAGACCGGCAACACCTGATGGAATAAAGACACACAAAAAAAGAGAAAGAAAAAGGAAATTGGTCTTCAATCGAGCATGAAATCTCCCTCTGGTTATGATAGAAACAAGAGAGAAAGAGAACGATGAAGACTTTCATCATCTGTCCCAATCAAATAGCAAAAGGAAAGAGAGAAAGAGAGAGAGAGAAGGAGAGAGAAATAGACAGACACACAGGAAAAAAAGGCAACAGCAGATAAATCATCCTGTTTACATATATCTATTCCTTCAATGTATGATACTATGATCAAACATCACGAATAGTCCACTTGTAACGATATTGGGTAAGTTAGCTCTTTTTTTTTCTTTTTCACTTAAACATAAACCAGTACTATCCAAATGTCCATACAGGCCTACACATGTCAGATAGAAAGATAGATATGTTGCACAGTTGCACACACACACACACACATCCCATCTTTTCAATGTCGGAAGCAAAAACAGCAACAGTTAACTCGCACACACACGCGCGCGTATGGTGTCTGCATCGTATCAACTGTCTTCTTCTCGTCTCTCTTTTTTTCATATCCATATATAACTTAGACAAAAAAAACAGTACAGCTGTTCAAAACTCAATTCTCATCAACGTCATATAACGGGTATGATTACATATGCGAAAAATTTCAACGATATTTGAGTGTCCATCTGGTCGCTAGTTCAGATCCGGTTTTTTTTCATTTGATATAAAGAAGAGAAAAAAATATACATATACACATTTTCTCAAGAGAAAAAAACGACAACTTCTGACCAAAAATAGAAACATATGCCATGCAATGAGATAATTTTTAACTCATGTCATGCGCCTGTGCACATAAACAGATGTCCATTTTCGAATCATTTAGTTAATATATATATATATATATATATATAGATGTATTGAAAAAGATATGATCGAGAACGCTTCATAAACATTTTTTTTTGTATTATGGAAAAAAAAATAAGGTAAATTTTAATATAAATCTATTTTGTCACATAATGTGAAAACGCAATTGAATAGAAAGATGATCTTCTATACAAAAGCAAACGTGCTTATAATAAAGAATAATAATAATGATAGATTAGATAGCATATAATATGTATGTGTTTTCTCTTTTCCTTCTTTTTTCCGACGATCGACAGACATCCAGATAGGATAGATATACAGCTGGACAAAAAAAATGAGAAGAGAGACAAGATTCTATTGAATGTTGTTGTAACTCGAGTAGAAGATACAAAAATGATCGACAATCTATAGAATATATTCACAAAAGATATGTTTTTTTTTCGTTCACACATTGATTATAAGTGAGACTCATCGGATTAAGAGCATTAAATGTGTTAAAATCGAATATTTTTTTTTATCACCTATATGTGACCGAACAGTGTCAAAATATTTATATGCACATACTTTTTGTTAGTGATATGAGACATAGATTTAAATATCTCGTACAGGTAAGAATGAAGAAAAAGCGTTTGAATATTATAACTTTTATAAGAGTTGTGAATTCGAAAAAGTTTCACTAGGGAAACACACTAAATATTCTTCACCTTTTCGGGACTGGTGGCAATTTAAAGTGCTATTGAGATTTTATGCGATGTTATGATCAGTATCTTCTTTTTTCTTATTCTCATTTATGCTTCGTGGATCTTTCAATTCTGTCTTATACATATATATGTGTGTGTTGGACTTTTCTTTTTCCTTTGCTTCTCTTTCTTTCAAGTAATCTTATGGATTTTTCCTCCTGTTCATCATCTATGGAATCTTTCCAGCTAATGAATTTTCCGCTCCTGTTATTACCTTATATATAGCCCTCAGATCGTTATAAAGACAGATTGATAAAAAAATAAAGTCAGGTAAATTAACAGTTCGTGCTTTACCAGTTTCATTCTACATAAGGTGACTTCAAGAAAAAGGACGTTCAATCAAATGGAAATCGATGAAAATTTGAACGACTTGAATCTGTTCTCAATCTCTAAGTTTAATTTTTTCTCAAAATAAGTCGGTTCTCAAAGGATTAAACTCCTCTTAATCTTTCATATTATGAATTACTTATAATAGTATTTAACAGATTTGATTCGATCTTTTTCTATATACACACTAAGAGATTTTCGAATAGTAATACTAGATAAAATGGAATTATACCGATGTCTTTTATGTATATTCTCCTTACTATATCTTTATTTTTTTTTGTTTTTATAGATGATTACACACAGTATGACATCTACTAATTTATATAATGATGATGATGCTGATCATAACAATAATAATACTGAACTTGAAGAAGAATTTAAAAAACTAGCATCACTCGTTCCAACAATTCCAAAAAATGAATATTTAACTGAATTAGAATTTCTGGAATTTGTTATAGCTTATATTCAACAATTACAAGAACTTTTATCTCATGATCAATGGAATGAATGTCTTATAAATTTAACAACATCAATGAAAAATTCATTCATTTCATCATCAACGAATATGAAACTTTTAATAAAAAATGAGAAATATCTTCAACGAAATCCATTATCAACGATTAATCTCGATACAAATATACCTCATCATTCATAGAACAGTTTTATTATAATAAAAACAAACGCGATTTCTCTTTTTTTCATTTATTATTATCTCACTTGCTTCTATAAATAATGCTTGTCTTATTTTTCATTATATTTGTAAATCTTCATTGGATGAAGGTTTTTTAAAATAATCTTCTATTTCTTTATCAGAAACATTTTTTAATGAATTCGGTTTCCATTGAGGTTTGTTATCTTTATCAACGAGAACTTAATTGAAAAAAAAAGAAAGAAAGATAGTTGTTTTTGTTTTGTTTTTTGCTTATGAAATAAATAAATATTTACCAGCTCGAACACCTTCATAAAAATCATGACCAATCATAGTATTTTGTGCTAAACGATATTCCATAATTAAACAATCTTTTAAATCTAACTTTTGACCACGTTTTAATTGTTCAAATGTTAATTTAAGTGACGTGGGACTCTATAAATAATATTTTATATGAACATAAATAGATGACGAAGAAGAACTAACCATTTTTTCAAGAGTTGCTAATTGTTTTAATGCAAAATCTGAACCATCAGATTTTAATCGTTCAAGAATGGTTTCCACATTTTTTGTATCTATTGAAAATACACGATTGATTAGAGGTAATTGATCTTGAAGACTAAATGATGCATGAGAGTTAACCTATTAATAAAATACATAGATTTATATGATAATGACTATAGAAATAATACTTGTATAGATAGAAGAATTTAATAGTATGTCAAATTTTTTCATCTATATCAATCATGAAAGAAAGATATTCATTGTAGTTAATTATGACGTGTAATAGATATTACGAGAATGTAGAAGAAGCAAATCATACTTTATCATTATATAGTTTGATATTAATTAACTATTGTATTTCATAGTCATTTTATATCGGGTTTCGATTTCACGATAATATTTATTGAATGATAAAGTCCAATTCTTTTCTATCCTATGTTTCACCTTCGATTGTATTTTCATATTTATTAGATTGACTATGAATCATACATAATCTTACACAAATCATTTTGCTGTTCCTTCTTTTAAATCCTATATCAAAGTGATGCTCAACAATCTACTCCTATTCTCACCATCAAATTTTTATTAACATAAAATCCAAGTATGTCTTACCGATTCACTAGATTTATCCAAAACATCTTTTACTGAATTATAATTTGCTTTTGGTATTTCCACAAGTTTACGTTCAACTTCTTCTAACTAAATAAAACAAAAATCAGATAAAAAAGTAATATTTTAAAAATCTTTACTCTATTAGTTGGTACAAAATGTGTTGCAAAACCAGCATGAAGAACATCAATACCACGTAAACGATAACCTGTTAATCCAAGAAATACTCCAAGATTATTTGATAAACGTGGAAGAAAATGTGATCCACCAACATCGGGAAATAAACCTTTAAAAATTAAAAATGAATCATTATTTAGAAACTGAATTCTATTTACCAATTGCTGTTTCAGGCATTGCAATTGTTGTTGTTTCTGTTGCTATTCTAAATGGTCCATGTACTGATAAACCAACACCCTAAAAATATAAAGAGAAATAAAAACTAATTTCTAATCGAATTTAATTTATACGTACACCACCCATTGTTATACCATTTATAATAGCTACATATGGTAATTTATAATTTCCAGTAAGATAATTCAGCGTATATTCTTTTCGAAAGAATTCTTCTGCATGTTTATTACCTTCCGCTGTTTTATTCATAATAGCTGAAAAATAGAATAAATATTTTAAATTAAAAGAAATCATTTTAATAATCATACTACCTTTAATATCACCACCAGCACAGAAAGCTTTCGGAATAGTACTTTTAACAATAACTAATTCAGTTTTACCATCTGATTCCCATTCCTAAACATTATTTATTTCGATATAGAAAAAATACATGTAGAAATAAAATAAATTTTATACTTTCATTTTTGGATAAATTTTTTCAATCATTGATAATGATAATGCATTTAAAGCTTTCGGTTTATTCAATTGAATAATACCTGTTTTATTCTTATAATCAAATTTAACTTCATCATTTGTACTAGTTGATGATTTTTGTTGTACATCTTTACTTGATGTTGCTTCTTCCACTTTTGGAGTTGATAAATGAATATTAACTCTTGGAAAAATTTGAGACAAACACGATCGGTTTAATAATGTTCGATACATGACTAAAAAACAAATAATATTTTAACATTCATATTCTTAGCGAACCAAAAAAAACCAATAAACGACATCTATAAGATACTATATAACCATTCAGGTGTTATTACTAAGGCCAATATATACCATAATGAAGCCATGTTTTAATCTTGGAATAATTCTTATTCTTAAAGTAATCTATCGACAAAATTATCATGTCGAGTATAATAGATAATGATGTGAATAGTGCTGTTTATCATTCAAATGATCCATTGAATAATTTTAAAATTCGGTAAAATTAAGTCATTTTTTTTATATAAATTTATTGATTTATTTTTATCTAGAGTTAAATTAGAACGATTAACATCGAATGCATTATTACCAAGTCTTCAACGACTTAAAATTGAGGAAGATTTAACACGTTTACTTAGTAAAGATGGTCAACCAAAGGAAAAACCGAAAAGTAGTAAAATCGAAGTAGCACAAGCATTAGAAGAAACGAAACGATCTGATTATGAAGAAGTTCTTGTTGGTTGGCAACAGAAAATGTTCAGTCGTGTAGGAAGATCTTAGTTTTTGTTTCCTATGTATTTATTATTTAGTTAAATTTTTTCTTATTAGTTTGAATTTGATACATATGGAAAAGGTGTTGGACCAGAAAGTACAGCACTTGAACAAAAATATTATGATGATATACAAAAAATGAAGTAAGAAATCAATTGAATTGAATTAAATTAGTTTGCATTTTTTAGAGCAAATCGAAAACAACCTGGACGAATATTTACTTATATTGAAAGTGATCCATATTGTTTTGCAAAAGATGTAAATATATTTATTTATAGAAATTGATCTTACGCCTCTTTTAAATTTAGCTCGATTATTTTATGACTGATTCACCAAATGAAGAACCAAGTCAGTTGGCATTAGGAGTTAATAATGTTCGTAAGTATCAACAAAAGAAATATTGTTTTAAACGATACTTTCGATTTTTATATAAATAATATCATTAAAAATAAATAAGATAAGCATTATAAATACAGAATTAATCATTCACAACAGCTGTCAGAAATATGAAGTCTTCATAGTTCAGATTAGTTATAGTTATTGATATCTAACAACAATCACTGTTTGATTGATTATCAACGACAGATAAATTAAGAAATTAGATAGTTAAAGATGCACATTTTCAAATAGTCGCGTACTTTAATAATTCACTTTATCATATTCTATCAACAGTGATGTAAATTAACACAATTAATTATGATATTTATATCTATATTATGAAGAGAGCTGACTTAAAATGTCCTGTTTTAGATAGACGTATGCAATTAACAATAAAAGGCGAATTGCCTTTCATTCGAAACTTTTTATGCTTCAGAAAATAATTTCAAACACAAAGAATTCAGTTTAATAGAAGAAGAATATTAAAATTTCAATATAAAACCTTAGTCCTCATTTTCTTGTTTTATATATATAAAATATTTATGAAATGCTAATAATTAAGTAGATAGTTTTCTTAATCGAAAGGATCGTTAAATAAAAATAGGATAGTTCTTAATCTGTGTTTCCTTTCAGTCATTAAAATACTTCTGTGCAATTGAATTTGATATAATTCTTATGAACACTTTTAGGAAAACGTCGCGCTGTTCAACCACGTTTTAAATTAAGGTTTGTTTAAACAAACAAAATAAAATAGAAAATTAATTATTCTTATTATTTATTTAGTGATGAAGAATATTTACCCAAAACAAATCTTATCAATCGAAAACCAACACCTGATGATCTTCGTACAAATCATTATGCTGCTTTACCACATCAAACAATGTATATTATGGCTGATTTAAGTGACATTATTGATAATGCTACAGCACAACTTGTTGTCGTACCTCAACTACCAAATGAACATGTTTTATGTATCGTACGTAGTTATTCAAATGGAACAATTGTATTAGCACCTGATTTTAATAATGGTAAAATGGCATATATTGTTGAAACAGGAAATACGAATAATGAAGTATATCATTATTATTTGGAACATGGTTCAATACAAATAAATATAGATGATTTAATAAAAGAAAGAAAATTATTTCATGAAGTTTGTTTAAGACAACAAACACATCTTGCACAAATGGTTGGACATGAATTTGATACGGTAAACTTACTTGATGAAACTACTTTTAAGATAATTTCATGATTTTTATTTTAGCCACCACCTGCTGTTCTTAAATTAAATGTATTTGGTGAAATTGTTAGTGGAAAAAATTTTGAATATGATAATATTTATGTTTATTATTATTTGGATTTACCTGATTGTAAATTTATAAATATTCCATATGAAATATATATTCTATGAATTGTTTTAGATTGGTATGCCGAACCTTCAATGATATTTTCAGGTTATACTCATACAGCAAGTACAACAAAATCAAGTAAAAATGTAAGAAAAACAAACGAATAGAAATAATGAAATTCGATTTATTACAAAATGAATTATTTTATTTAGAATTGATTAAGATGTGACAATATAATTTTAACTAGAATAGTAATTTAAAGAAAGTCAAGCTTACTGATGTTTATTTTGTCTAAAATCTCTTGAAGTCAATCAGAATTGTTTGAGATATCAAGTCTATTTGCTCAGCAGTTAACGTTAATTATATAGGTTTCTCTGACCCCAACACTATCATCAAGAGTTATTATTGATTTGAGTATACCAGTAAAAAACCAAGGAGATATTCGTGACTGAAAACTAATCTTATTTGCATTTATTTTTTGTGCTAATAAAATGTGCTCTAATTGCTAAGACATCGATAAAGAATGAAATAAGTTTTCAGAATCTTACTTAGCTTTTTGAATAAAAAATTAATTTTTTTAGGATGATGTTGTCTATTATTCACACCCATTCGAATTTGAACTTTGGTATAAACCATCAGCTGTTTCAGCTGATCATGGTATAAATGAAATATTTTATTTTTTATTTTATCATTTATATGTACATATAGAACTTCCTCGTATGCCAAAAATTTATTTTCAAGTTGCTTCTCAAGATGTATGGAATCGTCATCGAGTAGAAGGATATACATACATTGACATTCCAAGTTTACCTGGTAGGATAAACATCTTATTTGTTTTAAATTTTATAAATTTATTTTTACGATTGATTAGGATTCTATAATGAAGAATTATCATGTTGGCGACCACGTGGTGATTCGATATTTAATGAATTACGACGATTTTATATTGGTGGATCAAATGAACTTGAAGATATCAGTTATGTTTCGATCCCAAAACAATTTGAAAGTGAAAAAGTAATCGATTATATTTTAAAATTTTTAATTCAATAAAATTTAAATATTTTTATTTAGAATAACAACACCCCATTAAGTCGTTTTGGTTTTCGTACTGTATCAACAGGATTATTAAATATTCGACTTAACGTTGTTTTTCAATCACAGTATGTTCCATAAAAATAATTTCTAGACGCTATTTATTTTTATTTTATATAGATCTCTTGCTATGGAACATACTAAACGTGTTGGTGCTCGTTCTGCGAATCGTTATGGGTATAAAATCTAGAAGATAATGAATAGTTAACTTAAATTTATTTTATAGATTTGATGCATTCATGTCAAACATTAATGCGGCTATTGGTAAGTAAACATTCGATAAAAATCTTATGAATTATTGAATCATAAAAGGGTGTGCCATTTTATACCCACAACGAAAAAATCACGTATCACAACGATGAATTGAATACCGAAAGATAAATGAGATACGATCTGTTGTAGAAGTAATAGTAAGGCTAAATATATCAATAGCCTATGGAATGAAAGATTAAAAAGCAAATAGTGAATAATTATTTTCTATGGTGTTCTATAAAGTCTTTTGTATCTATTTTCTTATGTACATGAGAAAGAGTAAAACAGATATTCAAATATTTATATCTCAAAATTTGAAAATTGTTTCATTTTCAATGATTGACTGAACATGATAATTAATACGAATAAATATTTGAATCTTTTTATTCTTTATAGATGCATTCCAACAAGCAAAAAAACGTGCATTAGAAGTGCGCGAATCAACATTACAATTACTTACACCCAAAACAAATACTTATGAATGATTTTATTCATGATCAACAACTGAAATAACAGTCAGATGACTAGATTTTTTTTACATTATGACAATGATATATATGCCGTCCATATTGTTTTCTTTTTATTGTCTATATTATAGCGTATTGTTCTTTTTTTTATTTTACTAACTCATACTTAATCTTTTGTCTTTTAATCGTATTAAAAATAATTTTACATGCTAATGTATAAGGGAATATAATTGTTTTTTGTAGAGAAAAATAATGCATCTTCGTTCGATCGTTCGACATCGAACTGTTCTTTCAACATCTTTACGTATACTTCAGAGTTATACACCAACTGTTTCAAGTAAAAACAAAAAATAAGATCTTTTTTACTTTATAAATCGGATTATCATATTTATAGATCAATCAAATTATCATCATTTAATTCTTCAAAAACCAGTTGGTCGTATATCTATACCAATTCAACGTTATTTAGCTACAAATGCTGAACAAGTAAATGTTGAATCAACACCAAGTAAAGTTTTTAAGATTGATTCATTCAAATAAATGATTGTATTGCTTGATTAGGTACAGAGAAACATCAATTTCAAGCTGAAACTCAACAATTATTACATATTGTAGCAAAATCACTTTATTCCGATAAAGAAATCTTTATTCGTGAATTAATTTCGAATGCTAATGATGCATTAGAAAAATTACGTTATGTGCAATTAGCAGCTGGTGGTGAACAAGTTGAAGATGATAAACGTGAGATTTATATTACAGTTGATGATATTAATAAAGTATTAACAATAAAGGTTAGTTCACATAAACAAATGTGAGAAAAACAAACAGCTAAAGTTATTTTTAAGAGTTTGATACCTACTCTGAGTCTGTTTGTATCAGGATGAAAATTATGTGATTTATTGTTTGTCTTAAAATAAATATTCATTTTTTTATTTTTCGTTTATAGGACACTGGTATTGGTATGACTAAAGGTGAAGCAATTGATAATTTAGGTACAATTGCTCGATCAGGTTCAAAAGCATTTTTAGAAGAATTAAAAAAAGAAAAAGGTGCTTCCGATGAAGGAAAAATTATAGGTCAATTTGGTGTTGGTTTTTATTCAGCATTTATGGTAAAATCATATTGAATATTATTTTTTATCTTTATAAATGATTTCAGGTATCGAACTCAGTTGAAGTTATAACTCGATCGTATAAAAAAGGTGAACCAGGTTATCGTTGGACATCTGATGGGTATATTTACATTTGTTTGTTGTTTATAAATAATTGTAAAATAATTTCAATAGATCTGGTTCATATGAAATTGAAACTTTACTTGATGATGTTGAACGTGGAACATCTATTAGATGTAGTTTACGAGATGATTGTTCAGAATTTAGCAAAGAAGAAACTGTTAAACGTAAGAGAAATTAAATGACAAGCAGAATTAATATGAATATATTTCTTTTGTAAATAGAAATTGTCAAGAAATATAGTAATTTCGTCTCAGCACCGATTTATATTAATGATGTTCGCGTTAATAATCTTCGTGTATGTCTATTTTTTTCATTTTAAATACTAATTATAATATTTCTTGTTGAACTAGGCTTTATGGATGGAAGATCCTAAATCGATAAAAGAAGATGAACATACAGAATTCTATCGATTTGTTACTGGTCAATATGATAAACCACGATATACATTGCAATATAAAATTGATGTACCAATTAATTTACGAGCACTTATCTATATACCGCAATATAAACCAAGTTTGTTTACAACATATAGAATAATAATAAAAAATAGTCGAATGAAACTTAATCATTAATTCAGAAGTCATATAGAATATTGATTCAGTCGTAGAATGTTTTACTATTTGATACAGCTCGAGTAATCATTCGTTTTTAGAAGAAAAACACTGCTAGTTGGAAGATCTCTGATTGAATATTACTAATAAATTGCCCTGGATTGGAAACGTATCTAAATCATCTGAGTCGTTTTTATCGAAATGAAGAAAAAATTGTCTTATCTTCTCAATCATGCATTACAATGATAATGTAGAATTTTCAAAGGAGAAATTTTTGATAGTATTGCTAGACCAGATACATGAATCAATCTATAAATATAAATGAATGAGATAACTTTAAACTATTCAAGTTCTCTTATTACATTTATATACTTATTCAATCGACTATTTTTCAATAAATCTATAGACAATTTTTTCATTACTTGTAAATTCTTTTTTTTACTAAATAGATATTTTCGATGTAACACAAGAATCTGATGTTGGCGTTGCTTTATACAGTCGTAAAGTATTAATTCAATCAAAAGCTAATCAACTTTTACCACGTTGGCTTCGATTTGTCAAAGGTAAATCTAATTTTTCATATTCATGAATAATCTACATCAAAATAAATTTTCTTAGGTGTTGTTGATAGTGAAGATATACCATTAAATTTAAGTCGAGAACTTTTACAAGATAGCAATCTTATTCGGTTAGTTTTTTTCTTTTATATCTTAATAAATTATGATAATAATTTAGAAAAATTCGTTTATTATTAACACAACGTATAATACGTTTTCTTCAAGAACAATCGAAAAAAGAGAAGAAAAAATATCAAGAATTTTATGAAGATTATAAATTATTTTTTAAAGAAGGAATTGTTCGAACATCTGATCAAGGTGAAAAAGAAGATATTGCAAAATTATTACGTTTTGATTCATCACGTGAAGAACAAGGACAATTAATTAGTCTTGAAGAATATATTGATCGAATGTTACCAGATCAAAAACATGTTTATTATTTAGCTGGACCATCAAGAGAATTATGTGAAAATTCACCATATTATGAAGCTATTAAACAAAAAGGCTATGAAGTTTTATTTGTTTATGAATCACATGATGAAGTTTTACTTATGCAGTTGGCAGAATTTGATAAGAAAAAATTAAAATCAGTTGAATCAGAACTTGAAACTGATACGAAAAAAGATGATACAATCCTTGAAGGAGGTAAGATCGATTATTAAAGTAAATTTGATGTTATTTGAGATGTTAGAAATTTTATCGTAATGATACATGCATATATATTATACGTGTTCAATGTCATATGAATAAAATTTCTATATATCATTATCAAACGTATCAAGTTTTGTTGATATTAAGTGACAAATTATAAGTTTTCTAATTTAAGTAATAAAATTGAATAGACTGTTTTGTAGAAATGAAATGATGATTGATTTCGAGAAAAAGCATTTGCAGTTTTGATTAATATGATGAAAATCTAAGTATAGGTTTTTTTTTGAGTGGATACGTTAGTTTTGATTGCATATAGAAGTCATAGAACATGCGTGACTCAAACAAAAAGAGTTGTTTATTAGTATTTAATCATGTCTTATGTAGTAAACTCATATAATCCAAAGTGTTCTAATTATTCATCAAATCATTTTATTGAATACTCAAGTATAGATGTATTAAAAAATACTTTCCTGAAAAGTATCATTAAAACATATTACGAATCATATGAGAATTTTCTAAGAAGAAATATGTTTCAATTTGACACTAACAGATCTCATTATTCTTGTTATTTTCATTCATACGATAATACCGCATACTTAGTTTTTATGAGTGTAGTGCGCGACATTTCTCCTAATTAGTATTCTACCTTCTAAAGCATAAAGATTTTTTCTGATTCTTTTGATCTACTAATACTTAAATTATCTCAATGTATTCTTTATTTAGATACTCGTAGTTTATCTCAAGATGAAGCAAATACATTAAAACAATGGCTACTTAAACAATTTGGGGATAAACTCAAAAATGTTAAAGTAATTGTGTTTCTTTTTCCATAAAATGTATATATATTCTATTCTCTATATTAAGATCAATACAAAACTTGATCAACATCCATGTATAATAACAACAAATGAAATGGGTGCTGTTCGTCATTTCTTAAAAACAAATTTACTTCAACGAGATAAACAAAAAGAAATTTATAAAGTTCTTCAACTTAATTTTGATATCAATCCAAAACATATATTAATTAAAAAACTTTATACACTTCAAAAATCAACTAATACCGAATTAGCAACAATGCTTGCTCAACAAGTAGATTATTTTTTTTTCTTCCTCTTCTTCAGCTTCATTATTGATTTATTTTAGTTAATCGATAATGCAATGGTTACAGCTGGTCTTGTCGAAGATCCACGTTTAATGCTTACCGGTTTAAATAAATTATTAGAAAAAGTACTTGAAAAATATTAGGTAAAAGAAAAAAGATCAAATTGTTTTTGTATCTTTTTTTTTTTCTTGAAATAAAAAGAAGCAACACTGATTAATAATCCTATCTGACAAATGTATGGAAACATATTGAAAATATAAAAAGTAAACAGAAAAAAGCAGGTTTATTGATTTTTGTCATTGTGATGTATTGTTTCATCCCAACTAAATGTAAATAAATCTACACGAGCTGGAAATTTATATTTTTGCATCGTTAATATTCGACGCCAAATTTCACGCATATTATTCATTGAACCAGGCTAAAAATTAAAAAAAAATTAAAAAAAACACTTTAATAATATGAAAAATTTCTTACAAAATGTCCGAACATAATTGTATAAAATGATTTCGATGACATAAAACGTGTATGTGCTAACTGTTGTGGTATAGTATACAGCGAACCAAGTTGAGCATATGTCACATTAGCAGCCGTAGCTACAGCTCCAGTTATATAATAATCATCGACCCAAAAGAATGGCACATAAAGACTAGCATTGTACCTAAATAATAATATGTAATTAAATTATTGAAATTAGTTTCAAACAAATCTTACATTTTTGCGGGCATGTCTCCGGTTAGAATAAATGCTAGAAAACAGGAAACAAATCATTTAGTTTTTTTTTTATTATAAATAATTATGAGTTGCAAACGCTTTCGTTGTTAGTGCAATACTATACTCCGTATTTTTTCTATCGGAATAAATAAATTATTTATAACAGGAAGAAAAATCTCTTGAGATCGATTTAAAAACCACCAGAGAAAACAAGTATTAGTATGAATGTAACTCTTACCCGATCCACTACAATATGGTGGAAATTTATCCAACGGAAAATCTTCTTTACTTAAATACCATTTTGATTTACTAGATAAATTAAAAATATTTTGTAAAAGAAAAAATACATATTTTCAAATTTACCTATCTCTCATAACACCCATTGCTTGCCATAATAAACAAAGTATGGTATTTTGTTTATTTGGAGTATGTTTATCTAAGAATTTTAAATGATTTACTAATGTGAATGTATTAACAACAATATCATCATCAACTTTTAAAACATATTTTGTTTGTGGACAATATGTTGATATCCATTTTAATGCCATAACACCTTTGTATGTTAAATTTTTATATGCATCAATAAAATCTTCTTGAACGATATCTTGATATAATTCATTTTCATAATCAATAGCTTTCATTACATTTTTATCAAGAGTTTTACCAATCATAAAAACAAGACGTAATTCAGGAAATAATGTTCGTGTTGACCAAGTTTCACGTATAACAACACGACGTTGATAATTTGTTGGACCAGAATGAACATAAACCAATATATAAACGGATGAATTACTATTATTACATACTGTATATCCCGGATTATGTATATAAGAAAAATTATGAGGATTAACTATGTGATCATGAGCATGATAGGGATTTATAATAGGTGATGATGATGATGTTGGTAGTTTTGTCGTTGCATTTTCACGAATATTTAAACTATTTAATATGCCGACATAAATAGATATAAAAATAAGAAATATATATTGGTATTGCATCTATTTGTTCGATCTAAAAGAATAGAAATACGTTTATATTTTGTTATTTTTATTTCTCGTTAGAATAATCAATTGATATGTGATGCTAGTAATTCGTTATTTAAATTCCAACCGACTGAGTTTTTATTCGAGCGAAAAATCGTTTTTTTTTGTTCTTACATTCCATTATATGGATTATTCTAGGAGAAACTGACAGATAGACATCTATCCTTTATCATTATTCTATTTAGAAGGGACGTGTATAGAGAAGAAAAAAAATAATGGAGACAGAGAAAAAGCATATAACAGAAAGAAAAGATGTTTACGCATATAAAGAAAGATTTTGCTTTCGTTTCTTTTTTTTCCTTTTTTTTCTCACGTCAAACCTTTCTTCCTTACGTCCTCCGTATCTTGATGCATATGTTTATGCCTCTCGTGATTGTTGTTACTTTCTATGTTTATTTCTAGTCGTAAAATTAAAAAGAGAAAAAAAAACTCTATAAAAGAGAAAGTCGTGTCATTTCTTCTGCTGACATTTATTAGCATATGCATGTCTATTTATTTATTGTCGTTTTTTCTCTCCTTTGCACATATATAAATATTAGCATGAGAGCAACAGGTGTATTTATATCAGTGTTAATATCTGGAAGATAAATATGTTTTAAAAGAAATAAATGTGTTCAACGACACACATTAATCAATAATAAAAAAAAAGGGAAAAATGAAGAAACAGTGTTCTATATGATCGAAGACATATCGCCAAAGGAAAAAAATGAGTCAGGAAATGGAATCTCTGGAGTATAGTTGAGATCTAAGTTGTCTGTTTCCTAATAACGACGAAGGAGAATAATAAGTACAGACTACAAATTTATGTATATGTACGACCGACATTGATAGTATCTCGACGGACCATTTTCTTTCGTCTTTCTTTTCTGATTCTTCGCTCACAGCTGATGAAATAATACAGAATAGTTACTATTATTATATATATAGAGAGAATTTCTTGCCGTTCTTATACTATTATTTTCATAAGAAAAGGAATCGATGTCGATCTGTTATTGTTTTCCTATTGGTATTGGGGTAAAACAAACTACTATTTGATCAATAATCTTAACAAGAAAATTTTTTAAAAAATATCACTTTCAAAAATGAAAGAAGAAATTCTATATGGTAAAGCGATTCTTACTGTTTAGTTTATCATGTAAAAATTATGTGATCGCTTATAATCAATATTATATACACTTAGATTTGCTGTTGCTGCTTGCATAATAATTTATATATGAAAGCTTTCTTTCTTATACACAAATGATTTTTCGATTACTTTACGTTAAAAACAACCAGAAGCGCAAGCATTATAATGTATGACACAATCTAAATGTTTAGTATTCTATATATGATAGCCTGAATATGTTTGTCGTTGACACTCATTTAAGCTGATATAAAGAGAAGTAGAATAAACGTTGTGAACGTATACGAAGGTCAGATAAAACTATTGCTCATACTGTTGTAATATCGTATCAACAATGAAGATAAAAGGCAACAAAGAATTATTTCATAATATAAGATTGACTGATTTATTTGCATATCTTCAACATTCATAGACATATATACATTTCACTGATACATCAAATGGTATATATATTTTGTAAGATAATCATACTTTTTCTCATATATTTAATTATCTATCTATCAAGTTCAGGTAAATTATATAAGAACATTTTTTGTTTATTTATATACATGTATAAATATATATATATCAGATGCATTTCATGATAATGCGGAAGAATGTTGTGAGATAGGCCGAATGCAAGCTGAAAGTACTCAAACATGTAGTATGACACGACAAATATGGGCATCAAAAAATACGAAGCATATTTCAATACATTGCCGTTTTCTGACACATATTTGTTGTTTATCAAATTTACGTAATTTTTTTTGTGAAGAAGGTTTAAAAACGGCACTTCGATTATTACCATGTAATGAAAAAATACTTGAATCAAAAGATTCTTATCAGGTTTTATATAATTAATAATAATAATAGATTTTTCAAGACTTTATTGTCATATAGATATGTTGTAAATGCTGTGAATTAGGTGTTCGAACAGGTCGGGATCAAGGAGATTGTGAACCAATGACTGTACTTGATAAAAAATGTAGTGAACAATTTACTAATTGTTGTAAACGAGCGAAATTTTGTAAGAAGATGAAATCTTTCATTTTTGTGCATTTTAATTTATCTTTTCTAGTAAGTTGTGATGCTGGTTTTAAAATGGGTGATGATGAGCGATGTCAAGGTATATTTGTAGAAGTAGAAATGAAATATAATAATATATTTTTTTCTATAGATATTAATGAATGTCTCTCAAGTCCATGTCCGAAAACAATGATGTGTAAAAATACGCCAGGTAGTTTTCAATGTATCGAAGGATGTGAATTTGGTTACATATGGTCAATGAAATATGGACAATGTCGAGGTTAATAGGAATTGTATTTCATTCTATTGTCATTTTTATTTCTATTAGATATTGATGAATGTGCTATTCTTAAACATAATTGTACACATGGACATCGTTGTGAAAATATGCCTGGTTCATTTAGGTATTCAAAAAAAGAAAACTATATATGTTGCTACAAAAGTATTTATTATTTTATTTAAAGATGTATTCGCGAAAGTAATTGTGGAACTGGTTATCAAGTTGATCCTGTGACACAAACATGCGTAGGTTAGAAAAATACTCACGAAAAAAAAATTTCCTAAATATACTTATTGATCTATTCTTAGATGTTGATGAATGTGAACAGGATATTAATGAATGCAGGCAAGTAATAATCAAGCTTGTTTCTTTTTAATATTTCTTTTTTTTATTATTAGACCTGGTTATATTTGTAAAAATGTACCTGGAACATATAAGTATTTATATTTTATTTTTAGTGATTATTTTTATTTAAAATTATTTTCTTCTATAGATGTGTTCCAGAAAATTGTAGATTTGGTGAAAAATTTAATGCTTTTTATGGTCGTTGTGAAAAAATGCAATGTCGATCAGGTTTTAATTTAACATTAACTGGAAAATGTATTGGTAAGAAAATCATGATTTATTCTTGGAAATATTTTTTCAATGTACTATATTTTAGATATAAATGAATGTGCTCAAAAACCAAGTCCATGTAAACTTAGTGAACGATGTGATAATATACCTGGTTCTTATCGTTGTGTACAAACATTTACGTGTTCAGAAGGTCTTGAAATGAAAGATCTTCAATGTTTAGGTAATGTTTATAGATTTCTTTATTATTTTACCTTCGAATATTGAAATAGATATCGATGAATGTGCTATTGGGAATCATACATGTCTTCCGCCAGCAATATGTAAAAATACATATGGATCATTCCATGTAAGTTTTCAATAAATTTACGAAATAATTTGTCGAATTTTCTCTGTATAGTGTGAATGTCCAACAGGATTTATATTTAAATATGATACATGTGTCGGTATGTACTCTATTTTATGAATATTTACTGTATATAAATATTAAATATTAGATGATGATGAATGTTCAAAAGGAAGTTCAATCTGTCCAATAAATTCAGAATGTCGAAATACTCCAGGATCCTATGTTGTATGTAAAATATTATTTCTTAGAAAGGAAAAAACAAGATAAATTTTTGTATTTTTTTAAGTGTGATTGTACATCTGGCTATAAAATGATAAATGAACGAGGTATTTGTGAAGGTAAATAAAATGTTTAATTTTAATACAAATACTTTTATTTATTTATTTTTAGACATCAATGAATGTGAACTATCACCAGATGTATGTGAACAAAAATGTATTAACATTCAAGGATCATATTATGTAAGTTCTTCAAAATGTAGTGAATATAAGAGAATATCCTTTTTATTTAGTGTCTATGTAAAGAAGGTTATAGACTAAATAGTGATAAACAAACATGTCGAGGTGAAAATTTTGATTTTATTAACATTTTTTACATCTAAAAAGAAAATATGATTTATTCAGATCTTGATGAATGTTCAATGATTTCAAATTTATGTCAATATCGTTGCATTAATATACCTGGATCATATAAATGTATCTGTCCATCAGGTTTTACAATTGAACGAGGCAGTCAATGTCGAGATATTGATGAATGTCATCTTGGTATACATAATTGTCCTGTAAATAATATTTGTGTTAATCTTCAGGGTGGTTTTCGTTGCCATTCTACTGATTGTCCTAAGGGTTATGAAAAATTTGGAAATAAGTAAATGAAATTATTTAATTTTCAATTAATTATTTCTTTCATATATCGATAGTCGATGTCAATTGAATGCACGATGGTGTCAAAAACATCAAAATAATACAAATTTACGTTGTACAGTTCATAAACCTGTTAAATATATTTATTCATTTATATCATTACCAGGTAATAAGATTAAATTTATCAAACTGATTTATTATTTTCTGAAAATATTTAGCTCGAATGAATATACCAACAGAAATCTTTCGTATACGCAATAGAAAATTAAGTAGAAATCAACATGCAGAATTTGATTTACGATTAATTAATATGAACGACCCATATAATAATTCCAGTCAGATAATACTTGATAAATTTCAATTAAAAATCAATCCATCATACAATGTTCATTTAATTGTTACTCGAGATTTACATCCAATAGATGAAATTGAATTACATATTTATATGAAAATTTTTACGAATAATACATTACATTCAATATCAGTTATGAAACTTTTCATTGATATCAATCAATATGATTTTAATCCTTAATCAGACTTCTTGTTGCATGTTTTTTCTGTTTTGTTTTGTCTTTTTGTATCATTATTATAGAATAGATTACATTTATTTTTACAAAAAATTTCATAGCACATTAGTATAAAGCCAAAGCTTACGAATATTATTTTTCTAAGCTGATTGAATTTCAAGCTTCGCAAATATAGACAATATATATAATGTAAGATTAACTATAAATAACTCATGTCTGAGATCGTATAGTAGTTCAAAAGAAGAATCTTTTTCGTCTCTTTTCTTTTCCTACAGTGTATATTGAGTACAAGAATAGGGTGAGTCATTTATTTTTTGTAACCTATAACTTTATTTTCAAAATAATGAAGATAAAATTTGTAGATGATTATGCCAAGTATCTTAATTTTTTGATTGGTCAATGCATGATGATACCTGTGCAACAATCTTGAATCAAACAATTATTGATGAGTTATGGGCTATAGAGAATAAAAGTACTCAACTTATTTTTTATCAATATAAAATATGGGACAAAAACAAAGCAGGACCTTTTTTGTCCAGAGATGTGCCTAGATATTAATCAGTATTTAATTATTTATGATTGTACGAATAAGTATGCTCATCAATTTTAATCTGCAATCTATTCGATTCCATTCTGGAATGTATTGAGAAATGCATAACAACTCCAATATTATTTGCATGTCAGTAATCAGTAAAATACACTAGCGTAGGTTTGGATGGATGATATATATCTTTACAGAAATTAAATATTTACTTAGAGAGAGGCCAAAGCTCCAGTTTTATTTTCTATCTAACATTTACTCACGAATAACAGGATTTTCTCAATGGGAATAAGCTGATCAGTTTAAAACTAAGGTTCGTATTTACTAATCTTCTGATCTATAGAAAACATTTATGGGTTAAAAAGTCAGTCGTTATGAAAACACTATGTTATAAAGCCATAATTTAGTCGATGAATTCTAACATATGAATCATATTCTGCAAGTACATTTTTACTTGAAGAAACCTTAATCATGCCAATTCTTATATATAGACAAAATATCAAGTTAAAAGTATACAGCTAGTTGAAATAGTTAGCTCGTTAGTATATGTGTGGAAAACTCCAATAGATTTAGAAGCAAAACTGTTATACTAAAGGATTAATAATTATGCGGATGATAGATTATAATCTGAATATTTTCATGAGTCATAAAACGCTAAATTTATATTTGTAGTTAATCTTTGGCATTTATTTGCATATTGATACAACTGACAAAAATAGTTTTATCAATAAAAAAATCTTTATTTTAAGATCTTCACTAACAATTAATTTTATTTGTACCAGTGACAAAATTAACTTTAGTTACTTCGTAGTTTCCGCATTGATGTTAAGACGTGTCGAAAGATTAATTGTTTTCAATTATAAAGCAATACTTCACTTCACACTTAGGCTATACATGTTAGAGTAAAACTTGAAAAAGGACGACGAAAACATCCTTTATTATTCTTATGAATACATATGAATTTGAGCAGAAATCTTATCTCTTATTAAAAACCAAAATACTGCTAGATATTATCCTCAAAACAGGAAAATGATATGATTAAAGTCTGCTTGAATCTGACTGACGTCTCTTCCAAAGGATTAAATATAAAAATGAAATTTTGTCATATATCTTATTTGAGTAATGGAAAATAAGACTATTCCTGTGATAAATTCTCCATAGAGCAAAAGATTAATGTGATTAAAATGTCTGCAAGTTCTTTTTTCTGTTTGTAATGATAAAAATAGATGAGAAATATCTCTATTAAATTTTTAATTTCCTTTTAAAATAATGAATAGTCTACGTTCTTTCAGAATATATATCTGTTGAACTTTAGGAATTACAAAATATTTTTGGTAAAACTAAGGTAATTTTCTACATTTCTTCTTATAAGCTCATCTTATATCTGACACCTTTATATAATACCAGAGATATTCGTCTCCTATGATCTATCAAGCAAAGAAGTATTTTCCGTCATACACATCAGTAACTAAATTTTGTCAAAATTAATCGTCTATGTCAAAATAGAAATTAAGGTTTATTTATAGTTATTTTCGGAAATCTCGGCAAATTGTTTTCTTTTTATTAACACATCTCGGCATTGTATTATTTAAAAGGTTTTTTTTAATTTAATAAAAGAAAAATATCAATAAATTATCCGATCGAAATGAATTAATTAATCTGAAATGTAAATTTCATTAAAGATTGAGATTCAATATAATAAATTATTCAAATCTTATTACCACTGTTTTGTTGTTTATCTATATGATTTATAAAAAACAAAACCTTATCCTTTCAAACATTTTCCTACTTTATAGGTTTTCTTTTTCTTCGCAAAAAATGTTCTTATTTTGACAAATGAAAAATTTAATTGCATTTGACGGAAGACAAGGATAATTTAATAAATTCCTCAGTTTTTCACCTTTTTTTCATTGTAAATGTCTATGTACCTAGTAAACAATATATTTTAATTTGTCTTAGAAAAACCAATTCGAACAATTTATGTATACATCAATATCATTAACATGGTAATGTCTAGAAAACATGCAAGCTTAAAGGTTACAGTCATAGAGTAGAGAAAAAAACGGAACGGAAGGAAGATAATGTTTTCTCTTTCACCTATTGGTAAAATAAAATTCCTATGAAATGAAACAATAGTATTAATAATCTTAATGATATGATTTAACAATAGTAAACAATTTATCAATAAATATCTATATATGTTCTCCGAAGCGTAAATACAATTTCCGTTTTGTATAATAATAAATTATATGAATATAGAGAGAGATTTTTTTTTTTTGATAATAATTGATAAACAAATTTTTGACAATACTATGATAAAACAGCGTATGTTAGTCAATCAGTAGTATAGTCGATGAATGAAATGATTTGAGTACTTTTAAGCTTTAGAAATAGTGATAATGAATTGAATAATCGAACTAGAACGATGGCACTCTAGGAGATAAAACTAAAAGATGAACTAACAAACCTAATTAGATCAACAGCTAGAACATGTTCAAGTAAGAAAATGCATCCAACCATTGATGTCTTTTCCTTCTTCTTCTTTTCTTCTTTCTTCTTTTTTTTGTGTCATAACTATTTTCTCTATATGTGATGAAGTATGTTACAGAAAACAAGAATTATATTCTTTACTGTATACTTTGTTGCTTCTATCATTTTTATTTTTTTTCTCTGTTTTACCAATCGATTGCTAATTACTACCAATAGTTCTATGTTGTTGTTTAGTATTGAACATGTTTTTGCTTTTTTATCACTATTATGAGAGAGAAAGAATCTAGATAAATATATAGACACGAATGAGATTAGATTTATGTTTCTTCATTTTTCCTCTCGTTTATTTCGGAACATTTTCTTTTTTAGAAACGCGTGGGTTGAGATGGGAATATTGCATTTAGTATTAGATTTATCAATACAATAAATCTTCTCTTATTCAATCCAATGCGTTTCATTTGATATAGAAGTGGATGCTGCCGCAAGTAACAAAAAAAGAATGCAATAACTGAGTGAGTGAATGAACAAAAATATTGATTAGAATTCAAATAACAAAAATCAAACAATGACAAACAAAACTCAAAAAGAAACCTTTTCTTTTATAAATCATATAATTGTATTTTGAAACATTTTTTTTTATTTCTAGATAAATATATCCTATTGTTCGTATAAACACTTGTCTGTAAATTAGCTAACGCTATGCAACCAATCAATATTCTGCTCGTGTTTATTCTCGGATGCGTAAGTTTATTAACAATGACTTATGCTCTTTCAATTGATATTCATCAGGTAATGAGAAATTTATTAGAAGAAAAGATTTATTTTTACATATATTTATTTATGTATGCTATTTTTAGAAGGAACAACCATCACTTGCTGATATGCGTATTAAACGTTCACTGGAACATAAACGTTTCTATGATTTTGGTTCTCGATCAATTCATAATGATGATTTACAAGAATTCAATGATGAAGAAAATCGTTTACGACGTTTCTATGATTTTGGTAGCAAGAAACGTTTTTATGATTTTGGTTCGAAAAAGAAGCGTTCAAATGAATAATGTAATCTGAAAAAAAAACATAAACAGCATCTTCTCTCTTTTTTTTTCTTCCTATCTGTATCTGTCATATATACACAACAGACTATCCTTATTTCCCAAAGGGTTATCTAAGACACGAAAAAAAACCAACTAGTGAATGATTTTAATGTTGATCGAGGTTTAATCTATTAAAGTAACAACTTTGGTTTTATCATTTGCATCATTGAATACATCAAATAAAAGAAATAACTAACACTAATATTATGATTTTATTATTCTTTGTGTGGAACAAATATTCATCAGTTAGACAAGAACACAAAAAAAAGAATCATGATTGATTATTCTATTTATAAAATTCGAAATATAGTTGATGATCATAGAAGAAAATATTATATATAGTTTAGAGCATCCGCGGAAGATAAGTATCGATTGAAGTTTTCCTGTAGTTCGATTTCTTCAATGTTTTGATTTATTATTTCATATAGAATAATATTTATATTTTGTATCAACATTCTATTCTTATGATAATAACCTCTAGTTAGAAAATAACGATAGTAAGTCATTTTTTGTTTGAAATAATCCTATGAGAATTATTTTGATTTGCATAAATAAAACATTTTCCTTATGAAAAGTTATTTAAAACTATCCTGACCTCCACTCATTCGTTAATCTAGGGAAACTAGAACGACAATTATGAGAACTCTCTTTTTTTTTTGAATTACATTTGAAAATAGTTTTCATTTATTTAAAATAGAAAACCGGAACTGTAAACTTCATCACACTAAAAGAATAAAAAAAAATGAAAGGTGATTTATTCATCATTATAATTATTAATTTATTTTGTATTGAATAACTATTGATGTCAAATACTAAAAAGACTGATTTACTTTGACAAGAATAATAATTAATGAGATGAGAAAGTACATTTTCTGCCATGTCTATTTATTCATCAGAAATTGACAGTTTAATTATGAAAACTATTGAACTATAGAAGTTAATTGATTCTTCTATAATAATATTATTTATTACACGAAAACAATAAGCAATCTAATGAATTTCATATAGCATATAATTTATTAACTATGCTACTAAATCATAATGTTCTATGTTTAAGAAGAACTGGAAGTATTTTATTATGAAATCTGAAGTAAAAAATGATCGAGAAAACACGAATTCATATATATAAGTAATGATTTGATACAATCGATAGAGTACTTATGATGCTAATCTGCTTGAGAATAATGTCAAGAGTTTTTTAAGATATTTTTAATAAAATACTTTCGTTTAATATATTACTAACAACAAAACTTAACCAATAAATTCATAATAGTATCATTAATAATTGTATTCATAGTTTTATTTGTTTTTAAAAATAGTAATATTACATGTATTCATATGTTATGTTCAATAGATGGCAGAAGTTTTTCATTGGTATTTCAAATCATGTTAAAATTTGTACATCGATTGATATTCAAAGATATCATAACAAACACGAATAGATTCCAATGTTGAAATCATATAAAAAATGAAATAAATGTGGAAACTTCAGACTTTATCCGAGAGTTATGTGTACTGCAAAAAGTGTATATGGGAATCATAGGGAAATATCAGTATTTTTGCAATAACTCGGGAATGGCTCAACTTCGAACTCGTCCCGGATCTTGATAAGACTGAATTGTGTAGAAAATTTCATCAAAATCTGCCTCTCCTTTCGAAAGTTATCGTGTATACAGCCGGTCACACTGACCGATTCTAGAGTGTACTCACTTTTTGAGTACACAATAATACAATACATCTGTATAAGAGAATAAGTATACAGTAATCGCCAAAAAAACTTCCACAAATTTTTTTTTTGTTTGAAACAAAAAATATGTTTTTCCAAGTCTTTTTTCAAACATTTGTATATGCAGCGACAAAACTTTTAATTCTGTATCATCCCATATACAAATGTTTGAAAAAAGACTTGAAAAAAAAAGATTTGTGCAAGTTTTTTTAGCGACTACTGTACCAAAGAAAACTCTTTGATCTATGATGTTATTATAGTTAGCATTAATCGTGCATATAAATTGTTCTAATATTTGCCTAGACTTTATGACTCCGAGGTTCTATATTTTTGATTTTTTAAGTTTTTCTTGATGAATTTATTATTTATGAAAACAAATTGTGTAGGTGAAGTGAACTGAACAAAGATTACCTTGTAAAATAATAATATTAAGAAATATATCTTATTTATTTTAGCAATTCGAGAAGGTATACTTTTGAAATCATATTTTAGATAAATTCAGATATTCGTAAAAATAAGAATGAAGATTACAAATGATATGAATAAATAATTACAACAAGGAAAAACATCTTTCTATTTGTACAAATAAAGATAAATAAAAACGTGACAACTTGAAGATGATATTGATTAATATCTCGAACATATGTCATGAAAATGTGTGTTACCGAAACGATCTATTAATAATAAAAGTAATTATTTACACTTATATCGACTAAGAACTTGATCTATATTCAATAATAAACTAAATAAAAACATGTTTTACTTTTTATAAAATAATCTATTTCCTATATTCTAAAAATATAATTTTCTCTTGTAGATCAATACTATATATAAAAAAAAACACAACATGATGTCTCTCTATCATTCTTGCAGAAGATGACATGAAAAAGAAGTTTTTAGAATTCCTTTTCTTTTAGTCTACGACATTATTGATCTTTCGACGGAAGTATATCCGTTATGTTTTACATTAAGATTATATGGAAAAGTTTCTCTTTGATTCATTTATTCGATTATAATACTAATGCACAACATTTTGTAAACAAATAAATTTTCTATATTGTTAAACTAGCTGAACTAATCGAATTATGAAGATAGATGAAAAAATCTTTTGTCAACATATATAACCTTGATAATAAGCATTGACATTGATGTGGTTTTTTTCTTCTTCTTCTTCGTTATTTTCTATTGAAAATATCTGTTATAGAAATCTATTTAATCTAGTGTAAAAACAAGCGATAAATTATTTACTAGTATTCTATTGATAATTTATTCATATAATGAACGTTAAATTATGATATTTTATTAATTACAAAATAATCTTCTTTTTGGTAAACATGAAGTTGAAGAATTTAACAGGTATTTAATCTTAAAAGAGATGTTAGTATTAAATATCAAAGATGATTGCTTTGGTTTTTTTTCTGATAGTTAAAAATTTTCATGTTGTCTTCATTGTCAAATATAATAATCATGAATTTCAATCAAAAAGCATAAGAAGATAGAGTACCCAAGAAAAATTTTCTTTAAAGATATATCATGCAATCACTTTCTAGTTCTTTTTTGTTCTATTCATCTATTTATTTATCTCTCAAAAGAAAAAAAGATGAGTATTCTCATCAATGAATGTGCATCGATCAGCGTCTTTAGATAATGACTTGATAAGTGAATAAAAATAACATGAGAAAAGAATAAAGAGAGCTGCCCTCGAAAGGCTTGCTATTCAATATAGAAAGTCGAGTAGCAGATCGTCAGATACACGGTACTCGCTCTCTCTCTCTCTCTCTCTCTCTCTCTCTCTCTCTCTCTCTCTCTCCATTTCTGTTTTGCTTGCATGCGTATACTTTTTCTCTTTTCTATAGTAAGAAGGCTCATTTAACGAGTACAGAGATCCGGTCTGTTTACCTCATCATTATCAGCAGAGACAACGGCAGAGAAAAAAAAGAACGGATAGCAGAAGAGCGTATGTGTAAGGAAAGGAGCAAGGCGAAAAAAGAAAAGGTACACACATAATACGTCTGTTTCATCTCTATCATTACCCATAGAGTAGATACTAAAACGAACAAGAAAGAAAAATATCTATCGTCGGAAACAGAAAGGAAAAGGAATAGGATTAGCTTAATCGTTACATTTAATCATTTTTAGAAAGTAAGCTTTAGAATGTAATTGTTTAATTTTTAATTATCAAGTTACACACATATATATATAGTTCTTCATATTATAGATAATAAAATCAAATCAAAATAGAATGACTACACATGTTACCAACAGAGATTTAACAATGATTTTACTTATATCAATGTTTACAATTTTTATTATTTTATTTATTGTTGGAAAATGGCTCAATTTCCATTTATTTTCTTCATTTCTCAATTGGATACGGAATAGAAAAACTTCAACAATTATTTCCGCTAGGGAACAATATACTCAGGTTAGAAATATTTTTTTAAGCAAACAAAAAAGAAATAATTATACGAATTTTCTTCTATTCAGGATCCTATGGCATCATGTATTGACCTTAGTACAATTAACGAACCGCTAAAAACTACTAATGACAGTAGTTTATGGACGCCTGCTTTTGGTTCTATTTCGTCGTTAGTCACAGATGGCACAATATATGACGATACACTGATGCGTTCGTTAATTCTTTCCTTTCTTCTTTTTTACATTCCTATAATTTTCTCTTAATAATGTAGCTAATAGTAATAGTGCATATGATATTGTTTCCTATGCAAATAATATACAATCAACATTAAAGCGAACAATATTATGTGATTCTGATGATGAATCAATTGTAACATCATTAAATGATTTATATGTAACAGAGGAAACTATTGGATCAGGAAAATTACAAATAACAATTAATTATAATGCGTAATTTGAATAATTCATTCAAAAAAAAAGAAGAAATTCATAATGATGTATTTTTTCTTTGTAGTCTAGAAGAATATTTAGAGATACTATTTATTCAAGTTCGTCATCTGTCAATAACAAAAGGAAGCAAAGATAATTTAAGATTATTTATAAGTGCCTATTTAGATCACGACCGAAAGCAAACTCAACAGACTCAAGTTAGATAGAAAATTCTTCTTTTTTTATACTAGAAATTAATTTTTATTTTCTTAATTCTATAAGTTAATTACTTATGATAAAAGTCAGCCTGTCCTATTTAATTCTTCTATGAAATGGAAAGTTGATGATGATCGTTTACCATGTACTGTTTTACATACAACTCTCTACCTTCAACATGAGAATAATAGTGAAACAATAATTGGAGAATGTTCATTTACGATTGGAGAAATTTATATTTATCAACCATTAACAACTTGGCTAAATTTCCATGATAGTAATGAAGTAAATGAAATCTATAATCAATCATTTGTTTTTTCTTTATATAGTATTTTTTTTCTTTAATAGGCATTCTGGTATCGTGGTGAAATAAGTATTTCGTTATGTTATCATCCAACAGCAGATCGTTTAACCTGTTCATTAATTCAAGCACGAAATTTGACCTTTTATAAACGCGATTCTATCATCACTGATATGATATCAACTGAGTGTTATGCTACAATTTCTTTACTTCATCGCCATCAAGTCATAAAAAAAACGCGTACAAGTTATCATCATGCAACTGATAAAAATCCTGTATTTAATGAAACATCTGTATTTAATGTTTCAAGTAATGATCTCCTTACTTCATATATACGTATTGTTATCTATGAAATAATACCATCACCATTAACGACAACAACAAAAACATTCGAAATAGGTCATTGTCTTATCGGTAATCATGATCGTACACAACATATGTCGCATTGGCAACAAATGTTACGTGTTCTGCGACGTCCTGTCATCGTTTGGCATCCACTAAAATTGTAAAAACATCTTAATCATCAATTGTTTAGACAGGAATATTTTGTCATCAACAAAGATATGCGCGCGCTACAAGCTATTTCTCTGTCAGAAATATTTATATAAGATATATCGATTCAAACCCTTATAAATATCAATCACTGTAAGTAGTAATTGTAGTATGTGATATATATATTTATTACAATTTTATTGCTATTTATATTTCAGATGAAATTCATACGGTTTATTTTTTTATAAAAAGAATTCTTTACGAATGATAAATTTTTTTATTGACATATTATAATTTTTTTACTATTTATGATATTGTTTGAAAAAAAACGAACTTTTTTTGTATATTTTTATTAACTATTATATAGTAGATGGAAAATGTTATTAAATACAAGCTTTAATATAATTACAAGGAAACCAAAGATTTCATCAGAGGTTGGATATTAAAATGTGCGTAATTAGAAATCAAGGATGATGAATAGAATAGATTCATATAAAACTAAAAGTATCAACTTGAGAAATACTTGAATAATACCATTAATGTTGTTATTATTTTTATTTGAATCATTCTACCTTCGTATATAATAGAAAATTGTATACCATTTATACACGATCATGAGTATTTCTTATATAATAGCATGTAGCGAAGTACAATCGCTTTTACTCATTATAATACTATAGTAAAAAAATTCGTACTCTACGAACAGAGTAAAATCAAATATATATATATGCATATCATAATCAATTATTTCTATGAGTCAGAACCTTCTTTCGAACTATTTACAATACATTAAGCTCGATCTATGATGTTTTTAAATATCATTTATTTTATATCATCTATCTATCAATCAATCAAAATTAAATACACGTACGTCAGGTTTTTGAGTACAACAAAATTCATGGTATAGATTATCATTTAAAACTTGATATCTTTTAAAATAAAAATATTTTCTATTTTTAATAATATGTAATGAGACGATTATTATTGCTTTATAAATAATGATTCGTATGAATCCTTAGTTTATTTATGAAATCTATACTTAGATAATTTCTCTGATAAGTATATTTGTGCGTAATAGAACTTGAATATGATATTATGTATAAACAAGTATACAATCGCATTAGATTGCCTTGTTAGACAAGGATATTTCATTGAGTATTCACGCTTGATTTATCAAGCGATACGATAAATAGTATCATGATGATGCTTTAAAATCAAACATAAATTGTATAAGCTATCATTCATTATCGTAAAGGTAAACTTGTGACTATAATAATCAGTTAAAAAAAATTATCAACAAAAATGGCTAACGATCCCGTTGTTGCACAATTGAGACCTGACCAGGTTCAAGAAATTACAACAGCTTTTATGGAATTTGATATAAATCGTAATAGTTATATTACAGCAGTAGAAATGAAAGAATGTCTTCGTCGATCAAACATTCAATTTCAAGATGCTGAAGTAGATCGTGTTATGGCTAATATGGATACAAATCGAGATGGTACAGTTTCATATGATGAGTACATGAAATTTATGGCTCGTGTTTATACTGGACAATTCGATCAATTTCAACGTGGACCAGGTCCTAATCCACCACCACCAGGACCAGTTCCACCCCCACCAGGACAGAATCCGCCTTATAATCAAGGTAGTCAGCCTCCTTACAACCAAGGCAGCCAGCCTCCCTACAATCAAGGCAGCCAGCCACCCTACAATCAGGGTAGTCAGCCTCCCTACAACCAAGGCAGCCAGCCTCCCTACAATCAAGGCAGCCAGCCACCCTACAACCAAGGCAGTCAGCCACCCTACAATCAAGGCAGCCAACCTCCCTACAATCAAGGCAGTCAGCCACCCTACAATCAAGGTAGCCAACCTCCCTACAATCAAGGCGCTCAGCCACCCTACAATCAAAACCAACCACCTCCACCCAATCCTGGCCAACCGCCTTACAATCCAAGTCAACCACCTTACAATCCAAGTCAATCGTAAGTTTAGAATAAAATCTAGACTTTCACTAATCTTATTATTGTTCATCTTTTATAGAAACTATCCACCACCACCACCACCAGCCCCAGGATCAAACTATCCTCCACGCAATTATTGAACTTCACATATATTTAGTTTCGCATAATTAGCTTTTTCCTATATTTAAATATTTAATTACTTTTATTATTTTTGTTTCATTTCATTTTTGTTTTATGATTTCATAAAATGTAATATTTCTATCAAAGAAAATACAAATATTGATACAACTAGAAAATATTAGTTCGATTATTAAACCTAATAATGTTACACAGAGGATACTAAATTAGATTCTGCTTAAATATGTCATATATCATACAATAGGTCATATTCTATCTGTTATTCTACAGTAGTATATCATCAAATCGAATTGTTCTGGATATACCCAATGGAATATACTCCTATAATGAAAAGCAGAAAAACGAGTCATATGGTATAACAAATGCAAAAAAAGAAGAAAAAAAGATATATATATAATATAATATAAAAACTTTTCAAGTTATTTGCATATTTTACATATCTAAATAAACAAAATTAATATTTATTATTGTAGATATTATTGAGAAAACATCAATATTATGTATTAGTATATGAAGGTTTTTATTCATGCCAATAACCTTGGATAGTACATGTGATAAACAAGTTTATCCTACTTATTTTTCAAAACAAATATAATACTTAGATAGAACGTGAAATAATTCGAGCATATTATACAGATACCGTTTTTTAATATACGTAAACATATCCAATGAGTAAGAGTATTATTCATTTACTATGTTTATATGCAAATGATTAAAGAAATTTCGATGAATATATCTAGAAATTGATCTTATAGAATAACTACTAGTATGTTAGTTATATTCAATCATGTTGATCAAGCACTTCATTGGAGCGCGTTTCATCATATCAGCATAAATAATACATGTGATTGATTAGAAAACTATGAGTCATAGCTTGAAAAAAGAAATGAGATTTCTAATGCAAAAGCTATTTAAAAAGATTTTAGAGAACTGAGAAATTTACCCACTGTTGATATAAAACACAAAAAGAAATTTTGTAAGTGTTGATTTGAATTCTCTTGTAATATCGTTGAATATAACCAATTTTTCGCCATTATTGAAAGGAGATATAACCTAATAGTTTTATATTGGATTTTACATGAAAACTATTTATGAAATATTAAACTGAATTTTTTTAATCAAATCTTTTGTTATTTATTCTTTTTAAGCTAAATAAAACTTATTATTTTAATGAGAAATGATATAGATATATATCTGGTACTTGAAAACATCGAAAGCAAATAATGAAAACTCTCATAGAGACATATATTTGCATAAAAACATTATGACTCAAGTTATGAAAAAGATTTCCGATGCCATTGGCTCTAACACTTCTCTAGTATTTGAAAACGATTGCCAATAATATTATTTTATATATCTATATATTTACATTAAATACGTTTCCTCTCTTTTCTCTCTAATAACAAAAATCTCTCATATATTATCTAGAAAATTCATCAAAATATCAATTTATCATTCAATATAATACCGAACAAATAATAATTATCTTTCACATACTAACAATCTTAGTATATGTTAAAAACACTAAATATATATTTTTAAAAAAAATCATCAGTTTTATTGTTTATCATATACACAAAGAAAAACAAAACAATTTCTCAAATGTATTTCTTTAATAATTCAAAGCACATATAAGTGCAACACCACGTTTAATCCAGTATTGTTGTGTTTTTGATGATGGAATTTCAATTGTAAAAACGAAATTTGTTGAATGTCCTGTTGTTGATAATGTACCAGCACGTGTTAACGTTTTATATACAGGACACATATATATTCCAGATGTTGGAACTTGTCGATTTTGTTCTGGTTGTAACCATATAACAGGCATATCTGTAAATAATTCTTTTGCTCGAGATTCACCAAGTACATGTGTTGCATTATCCCAACGAGCACCTTCAACAAATAAACCTCGAATATAACAACCATCTGCTGGTGCTGCAGTTAATTCTTTCATTGATTGTTTCAAAACCTTAATAAATAGAAAATTTATTTTTTGAAATATTTTTATTTAAATTTTCGACATACTTGAAAACCAAAACTAACTGAATCAATTGAGATAACATGTTTTCGTGCAAAATTTTGTAGAGTACCAGTGAGAAAAGCTTGTGGAAAAAAGAAACCACTTATCCAGAATATATTTGGAATACCATTATCAACCCATCCTTGAACAAATTCAACACGTTGAATTAAATCAGCAACCCATGATGCAAGTGGTTTCAAACTTGGATAAGCCTAAATAACATTTTTTGTTTTATTTAGACAAAACAAAATATAGAAACATACAGCTTTACTCCACATGATTGGTACAGCATTATTAAATAGACTTTTTGACATTTCTTCTAAAGCTTGAGAAAGTACAACTAAACCTTTCATTGCTTTTAATAATTCTTGTAATGATGTATGAATTACATTTAATAATTTATTATATCTAATTATAAAGAAAACGATAAGATAAAATACAAAAATAAGATTTATAACGAACCGAATAATTTCTTGTGTTAAGACAGTATTCATTGACTAGAAAGATAAAAAATTAATTTTTGACAATAAGATTTCCGATCGGAAATGAGAATATTAATTGTATTCTATCAATATATGCGTGTCATTAAGAGAAAAATTTTCCGTTATGTTTTTTTCTATCTGTTATAGGAGATTATTTTTTATTGACATGAGAGAAAAATCATAACGTATTTACTAATTTACCTGTTCATACATAACCGGATATTTTTCCATAACAAGAGCTAATGGTATAGGTTTTGGTACACGTGATAATACATCATTTGCTAATTTTTCAATAGCAAGATCTCGATTTTCACCAGCTGTAGCTGTTTTTGGTTGTAAATCAAGTAAATCTTTCATTGTACGATATGTTTCATTTTGTGCAAATGTAACTAGAAGAAAAATTTATACTAGATTTTATTCGAAAGTAAAATTTTTCTAATTTACTATTAGCATTATCGTGTAAACCAAATATTTCTGGTGTATCATTGATTGGTAAACCACGAACATATGCGAGATATGCTTGATGTTCAGATGTTGGTGGTAATTGATGATAGATTTGTGATTGATCATAACAAAAATTTGAATCAAGAACTTTAGCTGCATAAAAATCATCAAGTATATTCATAACGCATCGTCGATCCCAATCATCTGTCACACGACCACCTATTTAAAGAACAAAAAGAAGAAAATATAGGTCGTGTTGACTTATTTTAAAATTCTTTACCATAATTTATTTCACCAGCAGTATATTTCAAAACCTAATTTATGAAAATAAATTACAAAACAAATAAATAAATAAATATTAATTTACTTTATAAGCTATTTCAGTATATTCCATTAAAAACATTCTCAATTGACTCATACATATACGTAAATCACCATCAGTAAATTCATATGGTATATTGAAACCAAGTGGGCCTTAATATGAAATGAAGAAGTTTTATGAATATCATGAAAATAAAAAACGTTTATACCAAATTTTCGACGTTCGAGTAACACAGCATGAAATAGACAAAGTGAGAAAAGAAGATGTTTGAATTCATCCGTCTATTTGATAATAGAAGAAAAAATAGAATTTGAAATAAATTAAAAACAGTTATATACTTTTCCAGTGCATGATGAGAGAAAATCATCGTTCAATGTTATATAAGAACGTAATAAATTAGCCTTGATACCACGTGGTGGTTCTACTGTCATTTTGCTACCATTCTGTAAGATCATTACCGGAAATTGAGGACTAGGCATACTTGTTAACCATAATCGGAAATCTTTGTGCACCTAGAAATGATACAATGTTTTATAATATAAAAAGGTTGCTTTGAATAAGAGAAAGGAAGTCATTATAAATCTCTTGCATTTATTCTCTTATCATTTTTCGCTTGACAGACCAAATAATCTAATAAGCAAATGTCGATAAAATAAAAAATTGCGAGAAAATAATGACATATTAATGATTCAACTATGAGTACATTAGGTCTTACATGATCTGGATCGACTTGTTCAACTAATCTTTCTAATGTTGGCATCCATGATGGTGACAAATGACAGTTTTGAAAAAATACCCATTGTCCTTTTTCCATTGCTGCTCGCATCATTGCTTCAGCTCTTGGGCCCTATAGAAAATATATATATGTACAAAAATCTCTGTGTTTTTTTTTCTTTTGATTATATTACTTGTCCTTGACCGAGTGATATTGTATTGAGACGTTTAGAAAATTTCATTTCTTCAGCAAATTTATAGAGATCAGCAGCTGGATCAGTACCAACGGATAAAACGAAAATTAACGGTGTTATTGCTGATGAATCACGAAAGACAAGATGTAAATCAGCTGTCTACAAGAAAAAAAATTATTGATTGATAACATCCAGATATAATTGACAGTATCTCTTTTTTTTATATTTTCTATGTCATTTACAGTCAAAAATGTATATTTTGAAGGGTGATATATTGACCAGATTCAAATAAATAATGTGTCTATTTTGATAGATAGATAGGTATACGTACTTGAGGCTCAATAAATTTTTGACCAAGATTATTGGCTACAAAATCTTGCATAGCATTTGTGACTTTATCTGGACGAAGACATTTGAGAAACATTATTTTTTGAAAATCATCCAGTCGATCCGTCCATTCTTGAGGTAGACGAGCTCTATGTTAAGATACGTAAATATAGATAGACAACAAAAAAAAGTAATAAGTTCATGACAAATCACGTGCCCATGTGGGATAGTTATAAGTAGCAATCGAAAACCGAATAGCTGCTCCCCAAGGAAGAATATCCGCTCTTATGTCTGTCTTCTCGTTCCTCTTTTTTGTTATATTATATAAAAACGATCTCATCATCATCGTCAAGTAGGAACATAAAACACATAATATATGTCTCAGACTGCCACAGATAGTTCCTTTTTCTATCAATAGTGTTTATGTGTATAGCCACCAGACATTATATATCTCGCTCTTATCGATAGATATATCAAGAGTAAAACTAGAAAAAAGTTTTATTTGATAACAAACCATCAACAACATCAATGCTATTTTTTTGCATCTACTACAATCGTTCTTAAAGGTAACTTATTTTTCAATCATTGATATGATAGAATCAATAGGTCATCCTTTAGAAATGTACTACTTCCACTTTGTCTACACTCAATCAAGAAAAGTCACACACACACATATTATCTTTTCATATAGTTTATCATTGACATAAGCATTGTGACATAGTTCCTCTTCTTATTGACAATAAAAATAATACAATGGCAATAGTAAATATAAGACAACGAAAGTCATCAATAGTATATATCTCGTGTGATTTATTCATTGATTGAACAAAATATTTCTACATATATATTGTCTATTGATTCAATCAATAAAGAAGCAGAAGAAGAAAAAGATAGTCGACAGAAAATAGAAATTTTTTACTCGCTATAATTCTATCTCTCCTACTAGTTTTCTAAGACATTACTCTTTCTTTCCCCTACTAATCACGTATGACCTTATATCAATGATATGATCTGAACATTCTACGTGTTATATTTTATGACTTTGCCATTTTCCGGAGAAATAAATTTATAGTATCAGCAAGTAATGATTTTCACGAAAACAAATATACCCTGTGGGGTAAATATTGTTGATGTGTTCAGCCTTACAAGTACTGACAACGAACAGATTCTTTTTTTCCTTTATCTATAGATAGTCAACGAGAGGTAAATAAATGTTCTTAGTAGCCTTAATGCATCTTCCATTATATATCAAAAATATAATGTCGGTTGATCTTTATTAGTACATAAAATAACATATGTGTTTCTATTTTAAGATAATTCTATTACTAAAATTTGACTTATTAAAAATTTGTACTAACCTTTCTGGTTCACTACTATCGAACATTTGTTTAAAATCTTGTAAATGATTACGAAAATTCAGCGCAAAACCTTTAAATGGTTCTAATGATTCGAGTGTAAGAATTTCCGACCATATACGATCTGTAATCCATTTCGGTGCTGGATTTGGTGCGTCAACTGGACGTAATGCACCGCCAGCCAAAAAGAATCGATATTCACTCTAAATAGAAAAAAACAAAACAAAACATAATTTTATTTTTAGATGTATAAAACTAATTTCAAAAATATTAGCATGAGTACTAATCCATGTTTATCAAATGTCAATGGATCAATTCGATTTGATACATTACATGATATTGAAGTAGCTGGTTATCGTTATGTAATGTTAACAATATGTATCTTTGGTGTTGTATGTAATATACTTAATTTATGTGTTCTTCTTCAACGACGTCTTAAAGAATCACCCTATACTTATTTAACAGGATTAGCACTAGCTGATATGCTTACACTTATGTCAATATCACCAGTATCTATTGTTCGTGGTGATTATATTCGACATGAAACGATATTTTTTACTTTAACTCGTCTTGAAGCACAATTATATATGCCATTAGCAAATTATTTTGGTCAAGTAAGTATAATGATAACAGTTGCATTAACAGTTGAACGTTATTTATTTACAACTTATCCATTACGTGCACAAGGTTTTTGTAAAGCAAGTTATGCTCGTCGTGTTGTAGCTACTATTGTGGTTATATGCGGTATTTTAAATATTCCACGATTTCTAACTGAAACAGTTGAGAAATTAATTGCACCAGAATCAACATTTGTTTCATCCAAATGTATAACACATCCATTTAAAATCGAATATTCATCAATAAATTCTTCACATATTGGTGAATGTTTTTGTGTTGTTGGCAATACAAAAGAAAGTTTTTTACCATTTAAAAATTATTATTATTATACAATGTTAGGTATTAATCAAATTTTACCATTTGCAATATTACTTTATTTAAATTTACGTTTAATAAGACGTGTACAAATATCAAATCGTTATACATTAGCTGAATTAATAGCACGACAACATAGCCCTATGAATTCATCAGCTCCAACAATGAATTCAGCAACACAAAAACGTTTACGTGAAGAACATCGGCTAACAAAAACACTTGTTGCTGTTGTTATTGTTTTTTTAATATGTAATACATTTACAATTATATCTTATCCTGGTCTTGTTCGATTAGTAACAAAACATAAATATCCAAAATATTTTTATGTTGGATTTCGTATACAAAAATTAATCACAAATATTATGTTGTTATTAAATTATTCGATAAATTTTTTTTTCTATTGTGCATTTAATGAAAAATTTTTATTTACATTAAAAAAAACATTTCGTTATGATAAATTATTTTGTGGATTAATATCATCTCACAATCGAAGTTTATCATCAAGTTCAACAATGAATCTACATTCAAATATTTTAAAAGCAAATCAATGTATTTCAAGTTATCATAATGGTTCAGATCAAATTAATAGACGACGAAAACATTATTCAAATTCACGTGACTTTAAAAAGATATCAAGAGACGAATTAATAACAAATGAGGACTTATAAGTATAAATAAATTTGTAATAAATAAATATTTAAATAAAAACAAAACATATTGAATTAAATTATTTTGTTTTTCAATATGATTAAATATTCTGTACTGTTTCGTGATCTTTTTTTTCAGTTTGTCATTACAAACCTTTGAATAATTATCATTGATGTAACATGCAAATATTGAATTGTTTCTAATTTTCTATCGGAGATGATATATAACAGATCAAATATGACAGTTACTAGACACAGTAAATCGAATTAGAGAATTATTATTAGGATCAAGATGTCATTTCGGATTTCTTATTGGAATGATAAGGTCATAGTATGTTAATCTAAGTTTAATATTCGTTGAGATTGTTATGAATAATTATTCTTCGTCTTTCGAAATTAAATACAATTTCTATCGGATATAGGGTATATAAATCAAAACTCTAAACAATGCTATCTCCATAGACTCTTTAACTTTATACATAGATTAGTATCTATCAATCACAACAATCATTACAAGATTATATTACGTCTGTTTCGCTGTAGGATTAATAATAAAAATATTTTTCTTTTGCTCTTTTATATTATTTTCTATTTATATACGCGAATAACAAAACAAAATAATATCTTTTTTTTTTCTAATAATTATCAATCGAAAACTAAACTTTTGCGATATTATATATATATTGCTTATATAAAATAATTATAACTTACCAAATGTACTTTCTTTTGATGCATGAGTACTCGTACAGTAAGTAAGAATGCAAATAATAATTTATGTTTTTCAAATAAACTTCGGCAAACATTACAATAAAGACTAAATGTAAAAAATTCATTGATATTTTTAATACGTTGTTCCAAATTATCTAAAAACAAAAGAAAAACATGTTTATTTTATTTCATATTTACAAAAAACAATTTCTACCTGCACGTGGTGCACTTTGAATACTTGATAAAAATATATTTGTAAACCATTCTAATGAATATTGATACATAGGATCAACATTTGCTAAATCAGATACACAGAAAAATAAGATCTGTGTATTAACAGCTACAGGAACATATTCAGCACGAGTCAAATCAATATCTTTTTCTGTTTGTTCCGCTGCTTGCATTTTTGTCTAGAAAGAAATTCATCTAATTATTAAAGTGATTCAAAAGAAAACAAACTTTTATTTCCGTTGATTTAGCTTTTGATGCTTCTAATGCATTAATCAATTCAATATCATCAACTGGATTTTCACTAGTACTTAATTTTTCTAAAATTGTATCTTCTAATGCTTTTAATTCATTACGCATTGTTGCATTTGATATAATCAATGTGTTTTTCATTTCTTCTAAATCAGGACGTTCTTCAGCAACAACACGAGCTAACATTTGATCTTCCAAACCACTACACACAAAAAGAAAGCATACAATATTTTTTGTATAGAACAAAAATATATATGGATTAATTACCTAGGTGATAATGTAAAATTAACTAATGTTACTTTAACAGATATTTCAGGTGTATAATGTGGATTAGGTAATTTAGTTGTTATATAAAAACGAAAATCATCATGATATGGAATAACAGCATCACCTAATTTTATCACTGTACTACCAGATTGACGAAATGTCTATTTAATGAAATAGTTTATATTGTATTATTCATGAATTCGAAAAACTTACTTGTCTTAAAAGAACAGGTTCAAGTGCTAAACAGAAAAAGAAATCTTAGAAAAAACAAGTTATATAAGAAAATCTACTAACCAGGATCGATTTCAGTGCCAACATTTTCTAATAGACAAGGTTTACCGAATCGAATAGAATTTTCCAGTGTACGTAAATAATCACGATCAGATAATTTCATAACATCAAGACCAGTATTTTTTTCCTAAAATGCAAATATAAAATAAACATTTCCTAACATTATCTATCTACCATATTTTTAATCCATTTATTAGCTTGTCCTTGTGGATCAATAAATAATGGCCAACGATTTGAATATTGTACAATAACACCATTTTGTACAGATAAATTATCTTTAGGTAAACCAGCTAATTGCCAACTACGAATTTTAACTGCATCACCAAGAACTCGAACTAATTCAGGGTTATCCGAATGTGGAACATTGTATGCTTTTAATTTCGTTATCCATTCTTTAACCATATTATCACGATATTCCGCCTAAATTACATTTTTTATTTTTAAAATAAAATAAAATCAATTTCTATATTTACAGTAAATGGACCAAGATATGCAATAAATCCCGAACATACAAGTACATCACCAATAACATTTACTAATGCATGATCTAACATTAAAACATTTTCTTGCCAACGAATTTTTTCATCTCCAAGACCAGTTGTTAACTATTCGGAACAAATATATTTTTTTATTTGAATTTATAAACAAAAAAAACAAAAAATACTTACACGTTCTGCTCGAACAATTCGTTGATTACATTCTTCAACTTTTGTTTCATAATCTGTTTTCTTTCGAACAGCATCTTCATATTTAACTTGTAATGTTCTTAAACCTTCTTCTAATCGTTTTAATTCACGTTTTTTCGTTGCTAATACTTCTTTAACAACAGCTAATTCAGCTTCAGCATTTGCTAATGCTTCTTTACGTGGTGCAACTTCTTTATTAATCATATAAAATGAATACATTGCTCGACACCACATACATAATGATTTACATGCTTTAGAAGTTTTCTCAATTTTAATTGGATCAAAATCTGGACTATCAATATGTTTTTGTAATTTTTGTATAACAATTTCTGGAATATTTTCTTTATCAAAATCTCTTAATGATTGAAGAAATTTTCCTGCATCAGCTAATAAAGCACGGCCAGGTTCCCAATAATCATCTTCTTTTTTATTTTTACCAGGTACAGTTACTTTATTTGGTTCAACTTGTTTTAATATCGAAACAGCTTCCATTGTTAATTTAACACCTTGTGGTGGACGTTGTAATGCACGTACTTCATTAATATCATTTTTAGATAAAACTTCTAAACTTTGTAATGCAGCTTCAAGTGCAGGCAAAGCTTCAGCAAGACGTTCCGATGCTTCACTTGCAATAGCACGTGTTTCTCGAACTTTAACTTGAACTTCTTCTTCTTCAGCTGCAACTTTTGTTTTAATGACTTCTGTACTTGCTGTATCTTCAGCTATTTTAGCCATTGTTTCATTGGTTTCTTGTACAGCTTGATCAAGTAATGGTAACATTTCATTTAATTCAACACGTAATTTAGCAACATCTTTTTCAGTTGATAATAATTTATCTAAACCAGTTTTTGTACGTTTTTTAGCAAAGACTAATTCATCTTTTTTCTTGCCAAATATTTTTGAAAATATATTTAATAATTCAAGATATGATGTGGGTGTTACATAATTATGTCGACTCATTTCATCACGATATTTTATTGTCATTACAGCTGCTGATTGATGGATTTCTTGACATAATTTAACAAGACCTTGAACAACTTTAGCATCAGCATCTAATGTTATCATATTATTTAAATAAGTTTCAGATACAGCTTCCAAAGCATCTTTAGGCCATTCAGAATACCAATCAATTGTACAGCAACTAGAAATAAATATTTATTACTACATCTTTTTCATTATGAATTGAAGCTCATAAATTCAGATTCTACGATATTGTTCAATTAGATATCTTCTATTAAAATATTCAGGGCTCCCGATTGTTTTCAAAAGTGCTGTCATATAGCTTTTTGACGCATATAACGTAGAAAATACTTAAGCTATACACTTTCTACGGATTTTTGCCCGAAAAAAGTGTTTTTATTGGAGTTTCTGGCGGAAAATTGGCGAAAATAGCATAAAAACCTGATTTCTGACCAAGTTTTCAGCAAAACTTTAAAAATTTTGTCAGAAAGACAGGCAGTTTTTCGAATTTTGCGGGGGGCTAGACCTCCTCCCCTTAATCTGAGTCCCTGAAAATATTAGTATCCTTCTCTACTTACTTGACTAATGCTGGAAATTGACGAAGTCGTGCACGAAAAACTTCACCAATTGGACTATAAATAATTGAAAATAAGAAATTATTTGTTTTTATTTATAAATAATTATTACCTCATACAAACAACTGTATGTAAATTTTGTCGTACACGTTTTGTATAAGCTGAATAAAGATTCGTTTTTGTTGGTGGTAAACCAGCTTCTGATACAACAGGTTTCATAAGTGTATAGATTTGTTCAAGTTCATCAATTGCATATATATTTGGTACATCACCACTATTCAATATATTATTCAAATCTTCAAGAAATGATTCACTTTTAATCTATATATATATATACAGAAAATAACATAAACAAAATGATAAAATATTATTATTACTTGAGTATCCGAAAAAAGAAAGACAGTTGGTGTATTACGAAGGCCAGCATGAAGCATAAATTTTCTTAAATCTTCTTTCCATTCACTCATACCTTTAATGATATACTATAAAAATATGTTTTTATTGTAATTAGAATATCTTACCATAACTTTTCGATAATTGAATCGAACGAAGTTCATATTCCGAACTAAATAAATAAATATTTTCAATTTTAGAAATTAACTTCAAGAGAAACAAATGATTACATGAATGCAGCTAATCGAGTAAGTGATTGTCGACCAGAACCACCAACACCTAATAATAATGAATTACCAAGTGGTTGTTTAATAACACGTATAATTCTTGAAAGATGTTTCATTGCATCCAAAAATAATACTAAATTCATTTTTGTAGTATTAACTTGATTATATTCTTCTAAATATTCATCTAAACGTTTTTTCATCTATAGAAAAATAAATAAATAAAAATACGTTTAGAATTAAATAATAAATATATTACTAATTTAACATCATCGATTTCTTGATAAGATTTATCAGCCGATGAAGCAACAAAATCACCATAGAGTACTGGTTCTTGTACAACACTTTCAAAATTCATATTAAAATCTGCTTTCATACGATCACCAAGTAATTTACGAAACCAATCTCGATCTTCATCATTGATTAGACGATCTTGAAATACACGACAATTTTCATGATACCATAAACGAAGAAGACCTTCGACATTCTATAAATTTCAATTCGATATTAAGAAAAACAGATTATAATTTTTTGTTTTCTTACATCAATTCGTTTTGCTTCCATCATTAACATTCCTTGAAAAACTTTTGATAAATCTCGAAGATTAAATGTATAATGTGATTTGCTTGGTGTTGGTAATAATGATGCACAAATTGTTTTATAAACTTCAATTGATGACATAATTAGTTTATCACTAAGATTTAATACAAATTCATTTTGTCTTGTCCACCAATTAAATATTGTTGAAAAGATTTTTTTCATACTGTCATTTTCAAGTTCAGTAAATGAAATAAAATTAAAATGACGTGTTAAACGTGGTGTAACTGGATTACGACCACCACTATTCAAAGCAAGAGAGAAAAAACCTGATAAGGAAATATTTAGTTTATATAAGAATTTTGTTACCCTGGTGGACCCATAGCACCAATAAAGTTAATATCAACTAATGTACGAAATTCACCAACAACTTTTCGATCATACCAACCTTTAAAATCCATAAATTGTCGAATTAATTCAATAGGTGGTTGAGCACCATATGTTTCTAATGCTGGCATATTTAAATCATCAATAAAAAATAGAAATACTTTGCCAAGTGGTGGGCCATAAATACCACGACGTCTGAAATGAAATAAAATTTATTTATAAGATTGATTAATTATTGAATTAACAAATTTTAACCTTTTATCTAATTTGGAATCGATTAAATCTTGAGTTTGATTCGCATTTGTTTTTGCTGAAAACACAATAAATTCTGGACTAAATTCTTTTGGCATTGAACGCATAAGTTTATCAGCAACAGTTAATGTTTTGCTTGTTCCTGTTGGACCAACACATAAAACTGGTCTATCCATTCGAAGAAGCATTTCAATAACATGTGCATTACGAATATTATCAATAGTTGGTACAAGTATATCCGAAAATTTTGCATCATGTGAAATTTGAAATGGTGGTAAATCAGCTAACCAATGTTTCCAACGTGGTTGTCGTTTTTTACTATCATCACCACCTTCTTCTTCATTTGCTTTTTGTTCTTCACTTGGAGTGACAATACCGCCATCATCAAAAACATAATCATAAACAAGTCCTGCAGCAGGTATGGCAAGTTTAATCTAAATACAAAGATTTTATTGATGAGTACAATGATAATTTCTATAAACTAACCGGATCATGTTCCAATTTTTGTCGTAACCATTCTGAAAATTTTCTTCGTGAATCATTATCACATGAAGCGCCAACAGACCAAATAAGTGAAAAGATAAACCATGGTTCAATTAAATCACCAACACGTTCAGCAGCTTCAGGTGCCGCTGGTTTATCTGACTAAAAAAAAAAAAGGATTCAGTTATATATGTATCAATAATTTTAATATATATATATTAAGCATAATATAGAAGCAAAAATCAAACAAATCGATTGCTTTTTTTTTCTAAGATATTTATAAATAGCAACAGTTAGTAGATAATGAGTAAATATTCTAAGAAAAACGAGCTATTGTTACTCACGCGTCCTTGACGTTGACCTTTCTATTTAAATAAAATTTAAAAATTTTCTTATTTTTCTGTTTTATTTAAATTTAAATTTCTATAACAAATTTTTATTTTCAAATCTTACTTCTCTTGGTCGAAATGGTTGTATGAAACAATCAAACATTTTAATTAAACTAAACGTTAAATTACTATCATAGGTTGGAATAATTTCTTTAACATTTTTACGAATAAATTTTAATGATGGCTAAATAAAAAGAAGAAAGATTTCGATTGAATAATAATTAAACAATTGAAATTACTTCAAGGTAATTATTAAACAATTGATTAATTGCTTCATAATGTTTAAATATTGGATCAGGTAATTTTTTAACCCAACATTCAACAAATGGTTGAAGACCAAGAATAGAAGGTTCTAAATAAACCATACCACAACGTGATACAGTAGCTGGTGAAGCTTGAGATAAATCAGCAACTTCGAACATCATTGTCATTGCCTAAAAAGTTTTTTTATAGAGAAAAATAGATTATTTCAGTACTAAAATTATGTAAATTATACTTCAGTCATTTTTATAATTTCACCACTACTCAAACATAATTTTTTATTATCATCTAATACTGTATTCATATTTTCAATCCATACAGCATCAACAGGTCCTATTGTAATAGCAAAATTATCAAAAAAATTAGTTTTCAAAAAAAAATAAAGATTTACCATCAAATAGATACCATCGTTTATCATCATTTTCTGCTGCAACACCTTCTCGCATTAATGTTGATAATATACCATCAGTCCTGAAAAATAGTATATTTATCATGTTTAATATAGTATTAATTAATTAAATTTACCATTCATGGGTTAAATCATCGAATGCACCATATAGTTGACCCATAGTAATAGATTTTGGATTGAGAATATAAGTATATACAGGTTTGAATGGTGTACCGGCTGGATTTATTTTTCCTTTCATATATGTCATCGCAATTTTTAAAGATTCATAACTTTTCGTTTTTCCAGAACCAGTTGGACCGACAAGCATCAGACCTATACAAATAAAACAAACTCATGTACAATCGGCTCCTTTGAGAATATTCATTCTGACATTGCATATTTTTCTTAGAGATACAATGATAACTAACTATCAATCTAATAAACTTACCATGTCGAACAATTGTTGTTTCGAATAATTGAATACATTTAAGTAAGAATCCCGGTACATCTTTAATATTAAGTTGTTTACATGCATGTCGTAAACCTTCTTCGAGTATTTTATAATCAATTGGTTCTTCTCTATAAAAATTTAAATTTATATTATATTAATATTCTTTATCTATGAGTTTTTCTTACTTAATTTTCGGGAAAAGATCAGAAACAATACCAGTAAATAGTTTTAAATCATCTTGTAGAAATTTTGGTATATTTACATCACGAATAGCTCGTAAACAGATTAAGTCCTATATATATATATAAATTTATGTTTATTAAGATAATAAAAACAATCGATAACTAACTTCATTCATAGTTGAATATTGACGTTTTAAATTACCAGCTGCTGAAATAACTGATTTGACAGCACGCATACCAAAATCATAATGATCTTGTGAACTTAATTGTTCGGATGATAATTTAAATGTTTGTACAATTTTTTTCGCTAATGGTTTAGCTTCCGAAAAACCAAATGAAAAAAGTGAATTTTCAGCAATAAGACCGTAATCAGGGACCATCATAGCTAAAATAAATAAATACATATATTCACATGAATGTATCAATCGTTATTTACTTACCAACTGGTCGAAATAAAGCTTTAAGATTATCAGGTAATTCAGTACTAAAGTGAATAAATAAATATATATATAGTTATTGATCATTTAATATAAGTTTGTTTTATTTACCGTCCAGCATAACCTGGATTCATAGTAATGAAAACAGCACAAGATGATTTAAGTACAATTTCTTTTCCTTCGAACATGAATCGTTCAGCCTAGACACAAGAACATAGAATTAAAATATGCATTTAATAGAAATAATATGAGCAAAAAGAAAATAGAATTAACAGCAGAATCAATATACATGAGTACGAAGTGCTAATTGAATTGTTAGTACTTGATTTGCTATTACTGATAAGACTTCAATATCAATACGCTATTATAGATTAAAAATATCCATTTAGAGATATATATATCTATATCTATGAATACTAACATTGAATTCATCCAAACAACACCAACAACCACAACTGATGAATAAATGTATTTTTTTTTAAATTAGTCACATTAATTATTATATTAATAGAAAACAGTAACGAAAACCAATAATCAAAGAATTACCTTTTGCATAAGAGCTTGATTAATTACTTGAATTTGTTGAGCTACTACCGAAAGTACTTCAATATCGATTCGATTAAATTCATCGAAGCAAGCCCATGCACCAGCACTGAAGGAATAAAAAGAGCAAGAGAATACTAAATTATGAGCTAAAAGATTTTAATCAAATAAAGAATCCATTGAAATCAATTTAGCAGCCCAATTAAAAGAAATTTAATCTACATTTTATTTTTTTTTATACCCGTAAACGAGATGCACGAAGAATTGTAGCTATTTGATTAGCTACAACGCTCAATACTTCAATATCTATACGATTAAATTCATCAAGACACGCAATCGCACCAGAACTTTACGTATTATGATGATATATATATATTATAAAAATGTTAGTACAAAAAGATCGGTTTTACTCACCTTGCTAAACCACAGAAGAATTTGGCCATAGCCTAGAATGCAAAAAAGATAAACACATAAGTTATTAATGCAATGTTTTTACCATAAAATCTAATTGATCAGAACAATTGAATACGACACATTGAACAGCCATAGCTTTAGCTAAATCTTTTGTTGTTTCTGTTTTTCCTGTACCGGCGGGTCCAGCTGAAAATATTCAAACCGAAAATAATCTATCAAGTATTTATCAAATATCTAGTAATTACCTGGTGCACCACCAAATTTCAAATGTAAAGCGCCGGTTAATGTCAAATAACATCGATCAGTTAATGGAGTTATAACCAATCGTGGTGTATTACCTAAATATTCATAACCATATCGAAATTCAGCATTGACAGCACGAATATATAAATGATCTTCATTCCAATAATAACGTAACTAAAAAATAGTTATAGTAAATAATTTTTTTTTTAGATAAAGTAATTTATTTACTTGTGAAATCCATTCAAAATCATTAACATTCATAACTTTTTCATCAATAAGATTAATAACTACATCACGTGCATGTACTTCAATAACAATTAATGCTTTTAATGTTTCACGTGCATTATCAGTTAATTCTCCACGTACTAATTCTCGAAGTTCATCTAATTCATGTAATTGTTGTTTATGATATTTAACAATTTCTTTTTTTTCCAAGGCTTCGGATACTTGTGTAGTCCAAAATGTTTGTGAACCAGCTACAACAATTTGACCGGGCCAAAGTTGAACCCATTGTTTACGTGGTCGCTAGAAAAATAAAAAAGTAAAGATTAATTATATGATCTTTTCTACTCACTGTTACGTAATCTTGTAAAGCATCTCGAATAACTTGTCGTAAAGTTTCACGCATAACTTTTTCAATTTCACACATCCAATCTTCAACATTACCAATTGGATATATATCTTTTCGAAAAGCAACTTCTTCTTGTTCAGCTGAATACATTTTTGAAATACGCATATCATCTTCAAATTTAACCTAAAATACAGAACACAATATGAGAATTATCCAAGAATATAAATCTTCGGTAGACATTATCGAAAGCTTTTCTACTAGATTGACGATATAATATAAAATTTCATAATTTACTTTAGTAATATTTTCGAAACATTTTCTTAAATGTGGTTGAACAGCTTTTGGATCTTTTGTTTGTGATAAAATTTGAAGTAATTCATCATCCGATAAGAAATAAAATCGTGGAAATGCCATACGTTTTGTTTCTAAATATTCACTTAAACCTTTTTGGACTTGTTCAAGTAATTTATTTGCTTCACGTAAATTATCACGTAAACGTGCTTCAGGACATAATGAGATGACTTCAGGATTTTCTTTAGCTTGTTTCATTACTTTACGCCATATACGTTCCATTGTTTGATATCGTTTTGATTCAACAGGTAATTGTCGAATAATATCTTCTGATGAAAAAATTGGTTCAAGATACTACAAAATATAAATAAATAAACAATTTTCATATTTTTTTCTATTAAAACTAACCAGCCATGAACGTTGGCAAGCAAGCCATTCATCTAAAACTTCTTGTGTAATCTTTAATTTATTTTCCCATGAAGCAATACGTTCTTCGAATGCTTTTTTAAATGGTGAAAATGACATTGATTGTGTTGCAACAATATGATCATCAAGCATTTGTGAAATATCTTCAGATGCTTTTATTATATATGTACCAGTTTGTTTGTATGGTAAAACTTCGAATCGAATTGGTTTCCATTCTTGTTCCATTTTATCGAGTTGTTGTTCAATAGAAAACTCTTTTGCTGCTTTTTCAGCTACTTTTGTTATAACTTCTATATGTTTTTGTAAGCCCATTTCTAAACATTTAGCAAATGTTAATTCTTTCTTTGGTCGTACAGCCATTTTCACTAATTCCGAAAGCTAAAATTTGAGAATATTCATAATCAATAAACTAAAAGAATATTAAAACAAAAACACAAACCTCTTCCCAATGTCGATTACGCATACCAGGTGCACGTAATGCTTGTATTAATGGAATTGAAGGTTTAAAATCTTCTATTTGACCTTTAATTGCTACTGCAATCTGTTGAATACCTGATATAATTAAAATAAAATAATACAATACGAATAATAAATTGTTATATAAAAGGAACATTTAGATAACATGACATACACAAAACAACAATCATGCTAATCTTTACGTTCATGCAGAACAAAAATGGAAGAAGGAAGAATATTTTTTTTTCATGGTAAATTTTCATTGTACAAATATAGATGGGTATTTAAAAAAACCTCGAAGATCTGATATATCAGGATCATATATCTGAGCAAGAATAATAAATCTAGCTGAAAATATTATTTGATTATAACAAAACTATTATAACTTTTTTGTGTATTTTAAATTTTTCGTCTCTTACCTTCATTGTCGGCAAAGGTTTTTATAGATTTATGTGTATTTTTATACCTAGGATAAAAATAAATATAAATAAATATATTTAATGAAAACTAGATAAATATACATTTCAGTAACATTCTTCTCAATATCTTCAGCATTAACTGAAATAATTGGATCATTCATCCAACTATCATATGAACGAAGCCAATCCGATGTTGTTGACCATAAAACACGATATGGTTCGAAATCTTTAACGAGTCTACTTAATTTATCGTACTAAAATCAAAAACAAAATTAAGTTTTTGTTCCTATTCATTATGTTAAAATGCACTCACATTTGTAACAGGTAAACCAAGTAAACGTTCACGATTATTATATGTTTGTGATGCTTCGACACATTCTTTAAGTGCTTTATTAAGTTTACGACATTCATTAGCAACTTCATGTGCTCGATCCATGCTCATATGTCCCGAAAGACCAGCAACAGACATCTAATGAATATACAAATAAATAAATAAATATGTTCAGATTATAAACATACTATAAGTTGATCCATTTTATCATTAAGTGTTGCTGTATCTTGAACTTGTAATTTTTTAAATCTATCTTCATCTTCTTTATGTTGTTCTTCAACTGCTTCAAGCATTGTTCGAAGTTTCCATGGCCATGATAATAAACCATATCTTAAAATATATAGAATTAAATAATGACAAAAACAAAAGGAATTTTATTTTTAACATCATACTTCAATTGAAAATCTTCGTTGCTTAAATTATAAAAGAATTCATCAAGTACTGTAAATTCTTCAAGTATTTTTTGAATATCATCCTTAAAAAATACAAAATAAAAATGAATTGAAAACGAAATAAATATATATTTTTACTTTTTTATCATCAACTTGTTCTGGTACTGATTTCATCCATTCACGATGTTCAGATAAATCTTCAGCACTATTCGGTTTTTCATATAATTTTCGTTGAATATCACGGAATGTATCATTTAACTAAAATATATTCAAGGTATGTATATTAATCGAGAAAAACTCTCACGATTTTCGGCACTTACTTCTTCTGTTTTTGATCGAGCTCGTTTTGTTTGACTTAATAATAAAGCTTCAATTAATGCTTTTCTTTTATTTGATAAAGCTTCACGTAGTTTTTGGGCAAATACAAAATAAGGTCCAATAACAATCGATGTTGGAATACTTTTTTCAAGTTTATCTTTTTCATTAACATGAATTAATATTTCATTTCGATATTCTTCAATTGATTTTTCGGTTTTTTCAAAATCTCTACAAAATAAATAAATAATATCATTAATTGAATCTTAACATATCAATTAACAAACTTTGTATAATGATCAATATTAAGATTCATTAGTGGTACATATATTTCATACGCTAAAGAACAATAATAATTAACAAAACTATTTATTTAACTGAAAGTTTTACCTTCAGCATAAGCTTTTAAAGGTATAAGTGAAGCATGAACAGCTTTTTGTAATGTTTCTCTCCATTCAATAACTTTCTTTTCTTGTAAAGCAACTGATTCTAATCGTAACATTTCACCACCCCAAAAAATATTTTCCATAACATCCTAAAAAATATCTCATTTTCATTACTGATTCATTTATTTTGTATCTCTACTTTTTCGATTTGTGGAATAGCTTGTGTTTGTAAAATTGCTCGATCAAATGCTCCCAAGATAATATTAGGAAAATTTTCATAAGATGTTACATAACGTGGACCAACTTGATCAATAGTTAAATCCAAATGAAATAATGGATTTTTCGGTGGTCTAGAAATCATATTATAAACTTTAGCAATATTATTAAAAAAACATATATATATTTACTTATATGGACTATTAGCTAAATCATCTTTAGGCCATTTAAAATCTTCTTTCAAATGTAAGATAGGTGTACAGGCATCTGTTATCATTCGAACATAATTCTGACATGATTCTTGTACGAGAAATCTGAGTGTATCTTGCATCATAAATTTAACACGTTCAATAAATTTTTTTAATTTCGATACTTTATATATATGAAAATCTGATTCATTTATATTATACCTTAAATAGAAATATTTAATTTGAAAAAAAATAATCTTTGGGTTTTTTTTATATACCATCCGCGTCCAACATCGATAAATTGTGTTTTAATACCTTGACGAAGATTATTTTTCCATGTATCAGTTAAATACATATGTGTCTAAATGATATTTTATATAAATATGAGATTTTATGAAATTAAGTAATTTACTGTTGATGTTTGATTAACTTGCATACTTTCAAATTCATCAAGTTTAACATGTTTTGGGAAATTTTTTTGTAATAAACTTAAATTATTAATAACATAATCACATTCAGTTCGAACAAGTTTTAATGCATCAATAGCTGATTTTGATGTTAATAATGAAATAAACTAATAAAAGAAAAACAGAAACAATTATTTCTCTCTTTTAAATTGAATTTCACATACTTTAAATCGATCAAAAACATCATTAAATGAATATTCAGGTATACCAATACAACCCGAAGGTGGAACAAGTCGACGTTGTTTTATTGGTAATGTTATGAATGCAAATGATATTGGATCTGATTGTGTAACTTCTTCAAATACCATTGTATTCATTGTACGAGCATAATCAAGATTTACTTCTTCAACAATTGGTGTAACAAGTTCATCTTTACTAAAAAATTAAAAACTTTCAAAACAAATAGATAGAATTTTGATAAATACATACACTGTTTTTGATATAGCACCAGTTTTAGTTAATTCAATCATTCGCTTTATACGTTCATCATCAAGTTTACCAATACCATCAGTTGGCATACAATCAATAAATAATGTAGAACGAAGTTCAGCTTCAGTACGTTTTCGATCAAGATAAGCTTTAGTAACTCGATCAGCAAATATACGTGGATCTTCAGCAAGAAAATGTAATTGTATACGAGGTATCCAATAGCGACCATGAGTACCACTTGGATGTTCATGATTATGACCTATAGAAAATCAAGTAGACATCGAAGTTTAAGTGTTTTATTCAGCAGTTGATATTATTAAGACTATGAGAACTTTAGAATGATTTATGCTTCAACTATTCACTAAATTTTCAATCTTCGACAAAGTTTCATAAATTTTCACTTATCAATACTATCTCATTTGTGATTTTTGAGTGGATATTTAATTAAGAGAATTTTTAAATTAAAACTTAAAACAAACCATTAGTAGCTGAATGTGGCGTTGCCGGCTGTTCACCTTCAATAGCTTCCATTTGTTTACGACTTTGTTTTGCTGGACGATACATATCAAATACTTCATGTTCTCTATTATCAGGTGTTACAAGCCATAATTGTTTTTCAGCATCATATTCATGAATACTGACATTATGCCAATGAAAATTTAAATGACTATCTTTTATATCTTCTAAAATTTCAAGAAAATATTTAAACAATTGAAAATAATAGAAAAATTTAAACACATACTAATCTCCGATTGTGGTTTATCAGGTAAAAGGGCAATACCCGGTAATGGTTTATTTAAAGCCGTAAATGGATCATGACCTAAAGCAAGCCATGTTTCTGGTGTCCAAATTTCAAAATCAGTATCATCAAAATAATACAATGGTAAAAATGGATCAAATGGTGCTGGATCCTAAAAAATATCACAAAAATAGATTTTATCAACGAAATAAATTTCTTACTTCATTTGGCATATTCAATGTAACTGGTTTATCAGCTGGTACATATTTTGGCATAAGTTTATTTGTATCAATATTTCGTTCTTCGAGTAATGTAGGTAAATCAAGTGAAAGATAGAGACGTTTTCGTCTATAAATAATGCAATATATATATGATGAAAAATTATAGTTGTAATTCTTACCGTTCAATTTCAACTTTTCTTGGTAATGTATAAGGTGCCGTATAAAATGGCATGAATACTTTTGGTTCAAATGTTTTTTCCAAATATACTTCACTTCGTTTAAATTCAGTAGTAAATTCTCCTTCTTTACTATTAGCCAATATTTGTGCAATATCAATTCCTTGCAAATCAAAAATACTTGCTAAAAATACGAAAACAAAAAGAAGTTGATTAGATATTTTTTTATGATTAATTCTAAGTCAAATACCTCGAGCTGTATTAGACATACGAAATGTTTCTCGTAAAACATCATCATGTGCAGCTGGTGCTTGTCGAGCAATCTAAAAATTTTATTCAAAAAACAAAATTTCAACATAAAAATTTTTTTAATTTTACTTCAAATGTTGAATCAGGATCAACTGTTGCTAATTCGGAATAATATCCACGTTCTTTAATTTCTTGATTTCGTCGAATTCTATCAGTACTATTTTCATAATTATTAGAACTAGCACGTGAATGTGCTGATCGAGCCGAATGCCGATTCAACTTGTGTCCATTCTCTTGAGGCATTGTGCAAATCTACAATGTTACATACAAAAATGTTACTTCGTATTTATAAAGTTGTTCAGTACAAAATATTTTGTTTCTCGTCGATTCTATATACCGACATTAGCATCTATATGTAATTTATGTTGTCATAGAAATATTCTTTTTTCTTCAATCATAATAGATGTCAGTAGTTTTTGAAGTTCATATTAAGATTATGTAAAGAGTAAAAAGATTAAAGTATTATTCATTGAATGATAAGATATAAATACCATCACAATTCATTCTTTCTTTTCATTTAAAAAAAATGTTAATTTTAATTTTTTTCTTTATTGGTTTTATTCCATCATATTCAATCTGTTCACAATACTATTCATATGGATATAGAAATTCATTTAAAACTGTACCAGTTGATTTAGCAAATATAAACATCATTCTATCAGCACCTCATGCTGGTAGCGACATGCCAAATGATATACCCGATCGTACTATTGGTGGTTGTCAACGAAATGATTCGAAAGTATGTACATTTAATTATAATGATTCATGTTCGAATGGAACTCGATGCAAAGTTACAACAGTACAAGATTTCGCAAGTTTTGATCCATTTACAGAACGAATAGCAGAGGAATTATACAAAACATATAATATCTCACCTTTTGTTGTTATTGCTAAATGGAATCGAAAAACAATTGATTTCAATCGTGGATTAGAAGAAGCGACATTTAATCATCCGAAAGTAATAAAAGCATATAATGGCTATCATAATTATATACAAAAAGCAATTAAAAAAATTCAAAAGAAATTTAATGGTAAAGGTCTATTACTAGATCTTCATCAACATGGCCAAGGAAAGTATGTATTTAAACTTATTTTTCTTGATAATATTAAAAAAAGACACTTTTGTTTAGTTATACAATGGTAGGAATTGGTTTATCTGCTCCTCAACTTAATAATAATAATTTATCTTCTACTACGATTGAATTTCTTATCGAATGTTCTTGTCCTGAGGATCGAAATGAATGTATTCGAGGTTCAAAATCTCTTGGTACTTTTCTTGAATTACACGGTCTAGGTATTTCATATCCTTCATTAAACAATCCAAAACCAAACAATAATACATTTTATAAAGGTGGTTATATAACAAATCAGTATTCATCAAAAATTAACGTTATTCAAACAGAATTATCTTATGTCGTACGAAATGAGTTCGATTCAAATATTTATGTTCAAAAATATGTTCAAGCTTTATTAAGTTTTATGAAAGTAAATGAACTATTAGGCAAAAAATAAAAAAATTTAATGTTTATGTTTGCGAATATCTCGATTATAATCAATAGCAGCATTTAAAATTGTTTTCCATATTTTAACTTCATTTTCATTTTGTGGTGCATAAAGTAATATAAATGATTCAGGAACTTGAATTCTGTTCAAGAAATTGACTCCGTGTAATGGAAATCTTTCTGCCCATTGTTTATCCATCAATAATTTAGCATCAGATGGATGAAGAATCATATGAAATGATCCATCATTTGAATGTAAATGTGCAAATTCACCTTTCCCGAATGTTTTTTCATCAGCATTAGGTAAAAATAAAGCATCAGCGCCAGTATATTCGGCTACTGAACTGCCACGTAATAGAAATTTATCATTTGTTGTTTGTCCGCCATATTTTGGTATTGATATTGATTCCATATGTTTATGCATTTCATACATAATATCATCTGGTGCTTGTTGAGTTAGTTGACGATGTGGTAAAGCACGTAACATTTTTGGTCTTGATTGATTGCGTGTTGGAATATCTTTATCAGTTAAATATCCTGATTGATCAGTTGATTTCAAATCATTTGTATTAAGACAATATTGTTCTGTTGTCCAACCTTTATAATCAAGAAAACGTGTACAGAGCCATAAGAAATAAGATGGTCTTTCTCTTAAACCATGTGCATATTTATTATAATTTTGATGTAATAAAACTAGTAAAATAATCAATATAATAAATGTAATAAGTATAAACATTTCAGTAACTAAATATTGTGTATGCCTCGTTCGTGCTATTTATATTTATGATCGAAGTCGTACTTTTCGTACTTATATGCCGATAGCGATAGTTACATATACTTAATCGCATATGAATCAGTACTATCTAATAAAAACTTAATATCGTAGATGTCATCATGTACGAAATTCATTTTTTCACACTTTCATTCGAGTGTATGTACATTTAATTATAATGATTCATGTTTGACTGGAACTCGATGCAAAGTTACAACAGTACAAGATTTCGCAAGTTTTGATCCATTTACAGAACAAATAGCAGAGGAATTATATAAAACATATAACATCTCACCTTTTGTTGTTATTGCTAAATGGAATCGAAAAACAATTGATTTCAATCGTGGATTAGAAGAAGCGACATTTAATCATCCGAAAGTAATAAAAGCATATAATGGCTATCATGATGAATTTAAGTCGCAAAGACGATAATTAAAATGTATATGCATGTAGTATCTTATATATCAATGATCGCATTCAAAGATTTATGTTCAAAAATCTATTCAAGCTTTATTAAGTTTTTTGAAAGTAAATGAACTATTAGGCAAAAAATAAAAAAATTTAATGTTTATGTTTACGCATATCTCGATTATAATCAATAGCAGCATTTAAAATTGTTTTCCACATTTTAACTTCATTTTCATTTTGTGGTGCATAAAGTAATATAAATGATTCAGGAACTTGAATTCTGTTCAAGAAATTGACTCCGTGTAATGGAAATCTTTCTGCCCATTGTTTATCAATTAATAATTTAGCATCAGATGGATGAAGTATCATATGAAATGATCCATCATTTGAATGTAAATGTGCCAATTCACCATGTCCTAGTGTTTTTTCATCAGCATTTGGTAAAAATAAAGCATCAGCACCAGTATATTCATTAATTGAACTACCACGTAATAGAAGTTCATTATTTATAGTTTGTCCACCGTATTTTGGTATTGATATTGATTCCATATGTTTGTGCATTTCATACATAATATCATCTGGTGCATGTTGAGTTAATTGACGATGTGGTAAGGCACGTAACATTTTTGGTCTTGATTGATTGCGTGTTGGAATATCTTTATCAGTTAAATATCCTGATTGATCAGTTGATTTCAAATCATTTGTATTAAGACAATATTGTTCTGTTGTCCAACCTTTATAATCAAGAAAACGTGTACAGAGCCATAAGAAATAAGATGGTCTTTCTCTTAAACCATGTGCATATTTATTATAATTTTGATGTAATAAAACTAGTAAAATAATCAATATAATAAATGTAATAAGTATAAACATTTCAGTAACTAAATATTGTGTATGCCTCGTTCGTGCTATTTATATGTATAATCGAATCCGTACGTTTTCGTACTTACGTGCCGATAGTTACAACAGTTACATTTACCTGATCCCATATGAATCAGCACTGTCTAATAAAAACTTAATATCGTAGATGTCATAAGGTACAAAATTCATTTTTTTCACACTTTCATTCGAGCGTAGTACGCATGTAATTTAAATAAACTATAATGAAAATATATATTACAAAGTTTAATATTTCTTCAATGGAGAAAATAAATATTTTATGTTAGCAAGTGAGAGTAAATATAGACGGGATTCAAATACACACATTGATAGTTGTTAAAAATATGTAATGATAGTAATACATATTGACATTATAACCTGGAGTGCAAATAACAGTTGACAATTTCGATAAAATATTTATTCTTTATTAAAGCGAGATTTCTTACAAAAAATTATCTAACCTTCATAAAATATTGTAGTAAAATTATGAAAATAATTGTTTGAAGTTCTTATCAGAGAAATATGATATATGAAATAAATACTTTTGTAAATCATCTGTTTGATTGTAGTATACATTACTAATTATTAGATTAGAATAATTAAATATCAACAGAAAGAAATATGAGAATAAAGAAAATTTCTTCATTTTAAACATAATCGTAAAAATTTCGATATGAACTATGTTATTTTTTAAGTAAAATGTATTTTTCCGTATTAATTAAATCGTTCAAATACATAGTTTATTCTTTAAACTTTAGTATATTATTTAACTAGATGAAAAAAACTCGAGCAAAATTTTAGGAATAATTTATTGATAATAATAAAAATATTTTTGTTTTGAATCAACATATACTCATAAAGAACTCAAGAAAAAAAAAATAAGTTATTATTTTTTCTTTTTTCACGCCTATTATTTAAATAACAACAGGCAGACTTCTATTTTAGTAAAATTTTGATTAAACGAGAAAAAAATGACTCTAATGACATTTACAAACGTTCGATTGAGAGAACAGTAAGGGCAAAAAAAAATGGCGTTAGTTTTATCTGAAAAAAAGAAAAGACATAGCAACCAATATGGTAAGATGTATGCATGCTGTTGCCATTATTATTATTAGTGGTAGATGCATGTATGAAATTTTCTTTGTTCGCTTTCCTTCTGAATGTTTGTTTGCCTGACTAAACAAATGCGCAAGTAAAATCTACATCATATTAATTATTTTGAAAACATGTATTCAAATCATCAACAATCAATAGGAACAATGCATGGACCATTAGCTACAAATAAGTAAGTCAATCAAAATTTTTTTTTTGATTAAAAAAGGAAAAGAAAATTTCCTTTCCTTATTTTTATTTAGTTATATTCCACCGAATACATCACGTTTTTCAGTAGCTACTAATCATAATCGAAGAAATAGTAATGGTACAAAAGATGGTGGTAATATTGAAAAAACAAATATGATGTCAAGTGAAAATCCATTTGTTGATCCAGCTCGTCCATTTGAACATTTTAGTTCACCACGTTCAATAACTTCTATAACATCTCCACGAAAAAATGATGGTTCTCTAAATAAATCATTAAATCTTTCTGATGAAAATCCATTTCATGCTATTTATGGAAATTATCGTTATCCAGTACAAATCGATCCATCGAAAAAAATAACCAGTCAAAGTACAGCTAATCGTTCAATAGATAGCAAATCTTTGCATATGTCCGGTGAAAATCCATTTTCGAAAACTTATGAACGTTATCAACAACCAACACAAACAAGTCCACCAAAATATATTCCTGAAATACCAAAAGTGACAGAATCATATACTTCGTCAAACGGATTGTCACATTCTAATTCATTTAGTAGTTATCGACCGTCATTAATTCGACAATATTCAGCTGGTGATATTGGACTTGGATTCAATTCAATTTCAACATCTATTGCTGATTGGGAACGAAATAATCCAGCACCACTTTCTTATAGACCTATTCCTGTACAAAGACCACCACCAGAATATTATAGTTATAATAAACCATCGTATAATCCACCATCCAGTCCACCTCGTCAACAACAACAACAGGTGCCACCGCTACAGCTATCACCACGATCAGTAGCACCTCTAACATCAACATCATTTCAAGCTAAAAAACCAAATATGTCAGCTCCATTAGATAAAACATCATTAAATATGAGCCCTGATAATCCATTTGCATCAACTTATGGTCGATATTATTATCCATCACCTGACGAAATTAAATCACAAAAACGAGAAAGTGAACGTACTGTTCGTTTTGCAGATGAAGTTCCTACGAATGAAAATCGTACAACACAATCAATAAATCAAATAACTGAACGTTCAGAACCAGAAAAAAAAGATGTAAATACAGGCAAAAGCAAAATGAAAGCTACACGTTTTGACATCGAATTTTAATATTAGATAGATTATTTATTTAGTTTTCTCTGTTTTTTTTTTGTTATCAAATGTCATTTATTTTGTTCATTATCAGACTATCAACCTTCTGTCTTTTTTTTATTACATAAATCCAGTAATTTTGTATATTAACTTGTTTTATTCTCTTCTTTCCACGGTGCAATTACAAACAATGTTCAAATATACATTACTATACTTAAAAAAGTCCAACTGTTCAGTTCCTGCTACTTCATCTGCAGTTCTGCATTATAATCAATCAAAAAAAGCTTCCTGTATTTTTTTTCTCCGAACATCGTTATTCTTCTTATTATATATTCTAATCGAAATTGGTAGACACAATGAGAATAGAATATTAATATATATCAAGGTATATCATATGCTTATTTTTACAATCGACATGCCCTTGTTTTGACAATGGAAAAGGACACTGCTAACGAAAAACCTATTTTTTAAACCTTCATCAATAAGACAACACAAGGTTTTATTCATATTGACAAGAATAATATTAACATTTCTGTACTATGAACATCCTTGATGACTACACTAAGCCAAAACAAGATATTCTTTTGATCTTGCTTATTATACATACTGAATATTCTTGTTTATTTCATCGTTGTTCAATCAATGACTATTCTAATATGGTACATACCTATTTTAAATTAAATTCAATCTATTTCTAAAAGATTTTAATAATGTTTATTTGAATATATATGAATCAATTTACTTATACAAAAAATATCGTAAGAGTTTCTCTAGAACAAAAAAAAATCTATTAAAATTAATTTTTAACTTTAGATAAAATACGTTGAATATTTTCATCTATTTTCATTATATTTGGATGTGTAGGGGGATACATATTTTGATAGATTCTAGCTGCATCTGTATAATACATTAAAGCATCATTGAATTTACTCTGATCATCATAGATCGCACCTATATTATTATAAGTTGATGCAAATTTTGGATGTTGTGGAGGAAGACATTTTTTATAGATTTTCAGCGCTTCTTGATAATAATATAATGCTTCATCATAAAGTTTAAGAAAATAATAAGCATTTCCAACATTATTATTTGACATACCTAAAGATATTTCATCATATGGAAAATATTTCTTACGTATATTATAAGCTTTCATATAATATTCAAGTGCTTCATTATAATTTTGTTGATCTTGATAAACAATACCAATATTATTATAACATATAGCTTGTTTTGAAAGACTTTTACCTGATGAACTGTCTTCCAAAGTTGTTAATGCTTTTTCATAATAACTAAATGCTTTTTTAAAATTACCTTTCTTTCGATAAATTTCTCCAAGATGATTATAATTTGATGCAATATCTATTGATTGTTTATTTGATGTTGCCAGATTTATTTTAAGTGATTTATGATATAATTCAAGACTTGTATCATAATCACCTTTTTCATTAGCTACATCTCCAAGTGCTTCATAACAACGTGCTAAATCAACATGTTTTATAAATTCAAAATCTTCAAGTAAACGTTGATAATATGTTTCAGCTTCATCGATTTTACCTATTGTTGTAAGTACATGACCAAATGAAAGTAATTTACTATCATCATCAATTGACATTAATTGTTCACTATTATCAGAACAAAATTTTAATTTAATAATCCACATATTTCGATCTTGACGATTGATTTCAATAATTTGAAAAATTGATCCGATCATAAATAATATTTCATCTTCTTTATTCGAACCATAGGATTTAATATTAGCAAATGGTTTATCACTATTTAATCGTGGATCAGCATCAATTTCGAATAGTATTCGTTCGGAATCATCTGTATTATTATCGAAATATGATAAAGCTAGATTAGAATCTAAAGTAGTTGAAAAAAATCCATTTATTGTAATAAATTGTCCAAGGGAACTTTTTAATCTTTTGAATTCATCATGTGCCATCATTTGACTTCGATAAACTTTAATTGGAGTTGTAGAACGAAGTTTTTCCAGTTGTCGTCGTATATCAATAATAAAAAATTGAAAATAAAATAATATATCAAGATTTTGTATACGAAGTGCTTTATTGAATAATCGAAATATAAATGAATCTATACTATACCACCAAATAGCTGAATTTGATGTATATTTTTGTTCAAATTCATTAATAGTTGATAATTCCGATCGATTTTTTCTATAGATTTGTTTGCCTATTGAAATTAATTCATTCTTATCACCTATATTTACTTTCATTTGAAGAAGACAATTAATTAATAATTGTGTATGAATAAGATTTCCTTGAAGATCAACGGTAAGTTTTTCATGAATTATTTTCGGATCAAAAATACTAATTGGTAATGTTTCATGTAATCGATTTTTTGGTCGTTTTTCATGATCAATTTGAATTCGAAAGATAAGTTCGGTTAAATCTGTAACTACAGCTTTTACTTTTAAATATTGACTTGACCATTGTTCATTTGCATTTTGATCTTGACAATAAATATAAGCTGATAAGACTTGTTCCAATTGATGAATACGTGGTATTATATGTCGACCTAATGAACCACTAACAATTAAAACAATTCGATCTTCTTTACGTAATGAATGTATATGTTTTATACATTCATTTAAATCTTCAAATGTTTTTAATTGACTAACTGTTGTTTGAAGTTCAACTTGAGCTCGAAGATTTTCATCGGTTTTATTAACTGAAGTATCAAGCCAAATAAGAGAAAATGTTTCTATATTACCATCCGATAATGTAACAACTTTATCAAGAATCTGTCCCATAATTGTAATATTTTATTTTATATTAAAATATATATATGTAGTCAATAATAAACAAATGAAACTTCTCATTGAATTAACTGAAATTGATATATTGTATATTTTCAATAGTTGAACTCAAGGTAATGAAAATACTTTCTTGTCTAATGTTCGTACTATTTCGAGCGACATAAGAATAGAAATAATTGATATAAGAAACAATATTTTGTACCTATCGAAAAGAAATGTATAGAGGTATTACCTATAAATAATCATTGGATTGTTACGTAAGCAGTGATAAACGAGTAATATAAATAACTCTGTATACATACTAAAAATAGATATCTAGTTCTGTCGATGCTAAGTTATTATTGTCGATAAATAGTCACAATGAATGTTTCAAATATTTTTGGTATTAAGATTTTCGATTTCTGCTTTTTTAATCATCAATTATCGATCTAGGACAATATGAATTGTAATAATAACCCTTGCAGTACCAAGAGGGGTCATTTTTGACCCCACATCGTCAAATTTTCATACAATAAGGATATTTTAAAAACACCATGTGGGATGAGTACGCAGAGAGTGCTAGATGTCCTTAAAACTCGAAAAGAGGCCTGGTACTCCAAGGGTTAATATTTGAGGAATAATCTTACATTATCAAATAGATGACAATCATTTACAATCGAGTGACTACAACATCAGTTACTAGTTTACTTTCAAATACTTTTTGTTTACATAGAATTCTTGATCAGAAGAAGAGATTCTGTGTTTAACATGATTTGCCATATGATCGTGATATTTTATATCGATTGATAGAAAAAAATTTCTTAATCAACAAACTGTATTTTGTGTTTTCTTTTTTTTTTTTTTATATTAATATAAAAGATCTTTGCATCACACAATGACAAGAGAAGAAAAAAAGACGCGAGCATAAAATTGTTCGGACATGGATATATAATAACAAAAGAGTTAACAACTATCCTCATACCGGGGAATTTAAATAAAAGAAAAAGAAAACGAAAATGAAGACAAACTAAAACCAACGTTTACGTTTAAAACATGAAAGCATAAGAATAGCAAGTGTAGCCATAACAGCTAAGACAATATAATAACCATATTTATATGTAAGTTCAGGCATATTTTGAAAGTTCTACGAAAAGAAAAACAAAAGTAAAATATCATAAATGCAAAAAGTTTTGTTTTGTTTTTTACCATGCCATAAACTCCACTAATAAAAGTCAATGGAATAAATATTGTTGATATAATCGTCAATGTTTTTACAACTTCATTCATAGCATTAGAATTCAACATCATATAAAAATCAATAAATGATGCTAACATTTCTCTATATGTATCAATAGAATCATTAACTTGTACAACATGATCAAATAAATCTTTTAAATAAATATTTGTACTTTCTTGCATAATTTGTGTTTCTTCTTCTTTTTGTAATTTTATTATTATTTCTTTTAATGGAGATATTATTGCACGAAGATATAACATATCACGTTTCATATCATAAATAGATTCTAATGTATCACGTTTAAGTGTTTTCATTAATTGATTATCAATTGATTCAACTTTCGTACCCATTGTATCAAGTACATCCATATAATGATCAACAATAACATCAACAAGTGAATAAAAAAGATAATCAATTTTAGATTTTCTTATACGACCTTTTCCTTGTCGAATACGATCTTAACAAAACAAAACAAAAATTTATATGATATAATGACAAATTGGTTTCTAGTTTTTTTTACTTTTTATTGAATCAAATAAATCTTTTGAAGTTTCTTGAAATGTGATAAGAACATTTTCTTTTAAATAGAAACTAATTTGTTCAATAACTGTATGTCCTGTACGACCAATATCACGAAATATTAATTTACATACAAGAAATAAAGCATCATCAAATACATCTAATTTTGTTCGTTGCTCTGTCGTTGTTATATCTGCTTGAACAAGTGCATGAATATCATAACGATTACCAATTTGAGCTATGATATCATGTTCATGTACACCGTCCACATCAATCCCTAAAATTTAATTATAATAGTGTACTTCAAATAGTGAAAATATGATTCATAGAGATTATTCGTAACTACCAATCGTATTTAAGTATAATTCTCTATTGGATTACGTAGTTTATACATACATAACATTGGAACCATCGGTGTTACAGGTGTATTTGGGATTTCATCAACTTTTTTATATTTTCCTTCTGTATATGAACTTTCATCATAAGTAAACACATTCAATTGAACAGGTGCTCTAAAATTTAAAAAAATTTAAAAAATCTACAAATCAATTGAATTGTTTATCTTACGATGGATCAGAAAAATGTACAAGTGTACCTAATGAACAAGAACCAAATGCAAATTGTGTTAGATGCCGATGAGCTGATAATCGTCCATTAAATGTTGAATGATTTGCTGCACCAATACCTGGTTTCGTACGTCGAAATGGTATAAAACTTGTTTTACGTCCTGTAAAATTTTTCACCATTATAAAATAATAAACTAAAATGAAATAAAATTTTATAACTAATTAATTAAATTTAATTGAAAAGAAAAACAAATCTTTATTAATAAGAAGTTTACCTATTAATTTACATTGGATTTCTAAAAAGTAGTTTGTATTAAGAAAAGTATAACAAAAGAATTCATCAAGTTCTTAGTATGATTTAATAACTTAGTTGAATAATAATGACAATTGTAGATAGTAATGTATTTCATTAGTTTACATAGTCCATACTATTTAATGTATAGACGTACATATAAGAAAGATTCATTTTCTTTTATTTATTTTTTTTTCTCTCTCTCTCTCTTCTCTTTCACCTTTACGAATAAATGACTACGACTATGTTTAATCGAAAATCAAAAGTCTATTCATTCACATAGTTTTCCTCTATCAACCGTGACAAATGTAAAAGAAAACAGATGATTTTAAAGAAGAATATAACAATAGATAGATATGTATACATATATATATACCTTGAATGGTTATTTGATAGGCAAATAAAGAAAAAGAATAAGTTAATTAAATGAAGATGGATAATCTTAATGTTAGTTGGATTCAAGCGTGCATATCATTGTTCTTTGACCTATGAATCAATTAGTGGATGACCTTCGTCGAGATTAAATTCAAGCACGATTTGATAAGTCACTGGAGAAATTTAATAAACATTTTTCTCTTGTAGACTTATACATCATTTTATATACCATATATATATACATGTCTTTTTTTCACGTCTTTGAATGACACCTCTCGAAAGAATAATTTTATTAGTTGAAAAAAAAAGTATCTAAGCAACAAGTCTAATGAATTAATCATTTTCTACTTGAATGGAACTATTTCTATTAAAGTACACATGTCTGCTAATAAAGATCTTCGATTAAATAAACTTCATCGAACACGAGAAAATAGTATGAAGAGAAAAAATACATCAACATTTTCAGAAAAAAAATATTTATTCGTATAGGTCTTACTGATGTTGTTCGTGTAACAGATGAAAATATTCCAAAATATCGACAAGTTAATTATGATGCTATGCGAGCACTTATTAACGAAAGAAAAACAAGTGGAAAACAGGCATTAGAACGAGGTAGAAGAAATGAATATTATTAGAAATATTCTTTTCTTTTTTATTTCATATAATTATAGTTTCAAAATTACAAAATGAAAGTCATCATGTTCGAGAACAAGCTGAATTGAAAATTTCTCGTGAACATTGGCTTAATGAACAGTATAAATTAAATCAACAATATAGAAAATATGATAATGAACATCGAACATGGCTTACAGAAGCATTCCATGATCCAGATTTATTAACATTATTTCATGAAATAACAAAATATAGAATTTGGTTAGAGGAAAGTTCCATACAATTTCGAAAAACTACGGTTTTACCAATTGTTCAATTAAAGTTAGTCTATTTCTTTTTCTGCTCAGAGATGTTTTATGATTGAATATTTTATTTAGAGAAGAATTGCAATCCAATACAATAACAACAGATAATATTTCGGATGTAATAGATGCACTTCGAGTAGTAGAAAAAGAACAAAAAGAACTAATTTCTATACTTGATCAAGAAGAAAAACAACTTGAAGAAGAATTAAAAGAATGTAAAAAAATATTCTATATTTATTTATATCTCTTTCTTTCTTTCTTTTTCTATATAGTTCAACATTATATTGATGAAGATGATGAAATCAATATGATTGAAGAAGGAATACCTGACTCAGTTGTGCAATTACCTTGTCCAGATGACGAATTACGAGTGACAATACTTCAAGAATTTCTTATTATTGATCATAAATATCGAGAAACGCTTGTTGATTTAGATGCTAATTATTTAAATATTGTCGAGTAAAATATTTTTAATTATTTTATATATTATTATATCATCATATTTTCAGGCTAGAAAATGGTGGTTGGAATATTGACGAACATGAAACATTAGTTCATCTTTATGAAATGTATCCAGTTGATTTAAGAAAACGACGAACTTATATATACAATCATTTTCGTCGTTATTATCCTAATCGTTCTAGACAAGAAATGGTAAAATATTTATTTGTATTTATTTTATATTATTTCTATCTTATTGAAAATAGCTCACACACGAAGAATGGTATAATGCTCGAACATATTATCTTAAACATAAAAAAATGGTTCTATTGGAATGGTATTTATATAGTGATTTCTTTTTTATATAATTTTCTCTATGTAAATATATTTAGGAAACAAGCTCGTGTAGCATTAAAATTAAAAGCTCAATCAGTATTTGAAGAAGCATTTGAATTACAAGAACGTTTAGCGCAACAACATGAAGAAAAAATGAAACAACGTATACTATGTGAACAATTAGCAAATCAAGTAGAATAGTTTTGTTATATGTATAATTAATTATTTATGTATTTAATTAGGTACAAAAATGGAGAGAAAAACAATTTGAAGTATTAGAAATGAAAAGGAAATTAGAAGAATCTACACGACAAGCTGAACTTGAAAAAATACAACAAGAAAATGAACGATTACAAAAACATCGTCAACAAATGAAAGAAAAAGTTAGTTATTTTCAATTAATTTTGTGCATGAATGCAAAAGTATTCTTTATTTAGATTACTGAATATTATACTAAAAAGGAAGAAACTCGAGTAATCGAGTTTGAAAAAGAAAAACAACGTTTAGATGAAATGCAATCAATGCTTGCTGAACAACAACGTAAAGATTGGGAACGTATAAAATTTCGTAAAGAAGAATATGAACGAAAACGTCAAGAATTACGTGAACGTAATGAACTTGAAGCATATGAAGAATTACAACGAGAAGAACGTCTTCAAGCAATTGCTGATCGTGTTCGACCACATGTTGAAATTGATCATGCACGTGTATTACAGCCAACTAAAGTAAATAAAAAAAAATTTCTTCTTCTCTGTGATTCATAGAGTTAATCTATTTCCTGTTAAGGCATATAATGCTCATCGTGGTTTATTAACAGATATCAATGATGATATTAATATTCAACAAGAATTATTTCCTATTACGACATTTAAAGATCGAAAATTATTTGGTGATATTCGTATTCGTCTTGAACAACGTTTACGTGATGCCGGTCTTATACAAACTGATTATGCACGACAAGCAATGGCTGCATTACAACAAGCACCAAAGCGTATTGATACACGAGAGAATCAAATGTGGTCTGGTTTCGCATTTAAAACAAATGATATTGAACAACATAATATATCAAAACCAATTAAACGAGATTTTATTAGTCATCCAGTATTTTATGGAATGGACAATTAATTATATGAAGAAAGAAAAGAATAAATAGATCATTTCTTTGTTGTTGTTAATTTTTCAAAAAAAAATATTTTATACAATATAAGCATTTAATAAAAGTGTTAGTACAAATATTCAAAGAAATTGATTTAAAAAAAAAGACGAAGAATTTATATATACTTTTCATCATTTTCTTTTTTAAGAGGATATATTGCTGATAAAGATGGTTTTGTAATAAATGATAGTTTTTTAATACTGCTGTATCAATTAGTGCCTCAAATGATCTATAAAATTGTTCATATGTTACACTATTTTCTTCACGATCATCAGTTGTTAACATAGATGTTTGCTCATTTATATAAAATTTGAAGGTGAGTGTGAATGTGAGTGGACGTAGTTGCGATGTCTTTATTTTTAAACACTCACCCACACGCACACCCCACACCCTGATCATCCATATAATAGCATACTTACCCAAAGTGTTTACTGGCAAGGAGTATTTCATCTCAGTGTGGCAGAAATTATAAATTCCATCTGCTTATCACGCTGAGAGGAAAATACCCCCGTTTTTTTTTAGAGTCTCACGCAATGCCTGTCACTTTTATAGCAACAGTTTTGCTCATCTTGAAGTCTTACGAACTTTTATATGAGGTGCTTTTCATGAAATCAGAGAAAGAAAACGAGGGGGCCTCTTTTCATCGTCGAGCTGTATGTTTTTTTTTCTTAGCCAAAACGTCGATTCGTGGTGGTAAAGGCGTCTTACTTGGTTTTGGCCCTACATAGTAGACTAGAACTCGATGTTTATCATTATCAAGTCGATAAAAAAGACGAAACGTCCCTTCAGAAAGCTCTTCTTTGTACTCCCACGCTTCACGGTATTTTTTACCCATAAGCGGGAAGATTTTCTTTCGAACGACTACATCAGGATTCGAAGTCAAAGTGTCAACGATTTTCTGATGATACTTCGGATATCTATCGCGTATATTGTTCCACTCACCCATATATTTTGGATCTATCGAAAGCGTCCAGCTAAGAAAATCACGAGTTACTGCCATTCGATGACAAAAGGTTTGAGGTAATGTGGATTGTGCTATGCTTTTATAGTTTCGGAACTCCTACATTTTTTCTTAATGACGCATACAGCATTTAATTTTCTTTCTTTAGTCACTATTGACTTCATGACGCAGTAAAGTAAACTTTAAACTATACGAAAACATGAAAACGCCATTAAAAGAAGCAAACAAATGCCATCACGACTGACGGTGTTAGAAGAAATTTGTTTACTCACCATTCGAATCTTTTTTATGCTAAAAAATTTTTTTGTGTATATATGCATGTAAAAAAACGATAAAAAATATGATTCAAATCGATTTTAACAGATTTCTATAATAAAAATCGATTTTCATCGATTGAATTTAAAAAAAAATATTTTAGTGGTTTTCTCTTATGGAATTGGTTTTCATTGATTTAAGCATTCAAAACAAAATATTGTAATGAATTTTAAAAACAATAATTGATTTTGATATAATTTCTCTATTGAAAATCCATTCTAATCTATTAAATACTTCAAATAATATTTTTGAATCCTTTTTTTAAATTCTGATCGATTTCAATAGATTTTTCTAATAGAAACTGATTTTCATTGATTAAATCATTGAAAAGAATATATTTTAATCAATAAATTCTCCGCAGATAATATATTTCAACAGATTTTTCTAGCGAAAAGTCGATTTTAATCAGGATGAAGAAAAAACGTGTTTTTCTCTAGTTTCTAACTATTAGACGGACTTCTCGACCTTGTTTCCAGAATCCTTGTCAACAAATAGTAAGTATAACGGTAGAGCAACCTGTGATACTCTTATCATATTTCCAGGTATGATATAGCTCGATAGTCACTCACTTATGCAAAAATATTGATGACCCTGATTAAAAGTGATTATTTTGGAAAATCGATGAAAATCAGATTTTCACATTTTTCTTCGATCATGGGATAACGCTCGCTTATACTTCCTAGCAGAATACTACTTTATTCGAGAACGAAGATTTTTTCGAACAATTACATTCACATGGATCTAGTATTAGCTGAAGATGAAACTGTCCGGTGCATCATATCTGCAAATTGCTCATTAGCATTGGACATCCATCAAAGACAAAAATTACACATTCTAAAAACAAAGTTTTTTTTATAAAGCTTTTCCAGAACGAGTAGAGAAAGGTTTCGTATTGAACCATTTCATGAAATTAACAAAAAGATTTCGTGGTGGTAGTTTCGTTCCAAACCTTCTGTCAACATTCGAAACAAAGATTTCGTGCATCGTGATTTGCACCAAAACTTCTATTTGTTGACCAATAACACGATGTATCGATAAGGGTGTGGGTGTGCGTGTGGATATGAGATGTGTATAATACTCACGCTCTCAAGATCTCGATGGTATTATCAATATTCAACAAAAATTATTTCCTATTACTGCATTTAATGATCGAAAATTATTTGGTGATATTCGTATTCGTCTTGAACAACGTTTACGTGATGCCGGTCTAATACAAACTGATTATGCACGACAAGCAATGGCTGCATTACAACAAGCACCAAAGTGTATTGATACACGAGAAAATCAAATGATATTGAACAACATAATATATCAAAACCAATTAAACGAAATTTTATCAGTCATCCAATATTTGATGGAATGGATAATTAATTGTAAGAAGAAAGAAAGAAAAAAAATAAATAGATCATTTCTTTGTTGCTGATTTTTTTAAAAAAAATATTTTATACAATATAAGCATTAGTCAAAAAATATTGCATTTAATAAAAATGTTAGTACAAATATCGAAAGAAATTGATTTAAAAAAAGAAGAAGAAGAATAAAGAATTTATGTATTCTTTTCATCATTTTCTTTTTCAAGAGGATATATTGATGATAAAGATGGTTTTATAAGAAATGGCAATAATGTATGCATTTGAATTAATGAACCATTATCAGTTGTTGATGGAGGATTATTTAATGCTGCTGTATCAATTAATGGTTCAAATAACTTATAAAACTGTTCATATGTTACACTATTTTCTTCACGATCATCACTTGTTAACATAGATGTTTGCTCATTCATATAAGATTTAAGTACATCAGGTCGACATGGACATTCAAAATGTACACAATGAAAGACTTCATTAGCAGTATTATGTGTACCACATATACGTATAAAAACGACAATACGTGGAGAAAATGTTAAGATTTCCCATGATCTATTGAAAAAGAATTGTTTACAATGAAATAAAAAACAAGTAACGTACCTGCAAGCAGCTGTTTGTCTATCAACAACTTTTGACCATGTCATATTATCATATGATGTTTCAATGTAATAAGAATATGACCGATTATCACAATCCCAAAGTAATAATCTAGTTATAAATGAAATGATATTTTTAGTATTAATTATACGATTTACCTCATAGAACTAACAACATGTGGTTGACATAATTGAATAACAATTCCGCCTGAACCAAGCTGATGGCATGTATATCCTAATTTTAAAAATACATATTATAAAAAAAATTCAAATTTCTTAAATACCTGAATCCCAATCATAAGAAAGATAATCTCCATTAATTAATGCATTTCGTACTCGACTAACACCTTCTGATACAACAGCACTACCTTCTAATGTTGCAACATTTTCTACTGGAGCTAAATTAACAAAAAAATAAATGAATGAAACATTTGTTTTCTATTCTCATACCATAAATATCACCAATAAGTGCAAATGGTTTTTGAATATAATAAACTTCCATTGAAACAAGATGGAAAACTTTATTTACAGTATTATGTGTACCAACAACACGTATTGATCTAAAAACATCAATTATTTTTCTTATCTTTCTTTTTTCTTAACATACGTGGCAACAACTGGTGCAAAATATAATTTTTGCCATGAACGACATAAATATGTACGATAATCAATAATACGTGTCCATGTTAGATCATCAACTGATACTTCAACATAATATGAATATGCACTAGAATATATTATAAAAAGAATTAGATTTGAAGAAAAAAAATATATATATAAATTTTCATTTACCGGGTATCTTTATCCCAAAGTAATAATTTAATATGATTAATAATCGATGGACCATCTAATTTCACACAAATACTACGCATATCATCAATTGGATGTCGAGTAAAACCACGATCCTAAATCAATAAAACTGAAACTAGTTATATGAAGAAAACAAAATGCTACAAACCAGATCATAATTAGTTGCATCACCATCGAGCAATGCATGTTTCATTTCTCCTACAAAATATCCAACTTTATTTTTAATATTATATTAATATTTCACAAAATAATTACCATCTGTAACTTGAGCATGATGTATTTTTGTCGCAATATTTTCATCTAATCCTAGAAAATATATTTTTATATATGTTAAAATCTCTTCTTGAAATAGTTTTACTTAATCTTCCTCGATAATTTTTTCCACGTATTAAAAATAAATCTTTATTATTTCCTGATTGATTCGTACTATCATCATTATTATTAACAGATGTTTTTGTTTCATCATTTATTGAATCAATTGCATCCATTAAATGATTAAGATCAAATAAATTTGAATATCGTACAATTTTTAATAATTCATTCATTGACATTAATGTTAAACGTACTTTGGATACAATATCATCACGTGGTTTCCAATTTGTATCTTGATCTCGATAGTGATATTCATGCCATTTTTTGACTGCATAGAATATTTCAATTTCAGGACAATAAAATGAGTCACGAGCAATTATAGATGAAAATGCTTCCTAAAATATGACAATGCGTTGATATTTCTTATCAGTTATATATATATATATATAGTTAGTAGAAAAACGAAAGATAAAACATTTGTACTTTACTAACATGATATTACAAAGTTTATTTATTACAATTTTAATATCAATAATAAATGCACAATATCCAGTACCTATACCACCAGGTGGTCGAATGGCAGTACATGGTTGGCTTATTTTACCTTGGGATACAAATGTAACGGATGGTCCTATTCAAGGATGGTTTTCTCATCATGTTCCAGAATTTTGGACTGATTCTCCTCATAATTTTCAAATAATTCTTAACGGTTTATTAACTCCATTATCTTGTTTCAATACCGAATCAACTCCTAAACCTATACCAATTCCATATCCTCCGCAAGATAATCTAATTCAATATGAATATACAATAACACCTCCTCCACAATTTTCATTAAATGATCTTTTATTAGAACGATTAACTGAATTAAAAGGTGTTATTTACAATGGTTCATTTGATACATCTTATCAACGCATTCCATTAGCTTTAGGTACATTAACTGTTCGAGAATTAACAACAGCTGTTTATTTAAATGAATCAAAAGTAATTCCATCATATCCCGAATTACGTTATCTTTCTTATCCACGTGATATGTCACCTTCAGCTGATACAAAACCATTTCAACATATGTATTTTGCACATGAAATTCATTCCGTACCTGATTTTGATCATATTATTCACGGAAGTATTGATATAGCAAAATGTCATTGTGATATAAACTTTCCTCTTCTATGTAATACTAAAAGACTTTTACAAGAAATTCGTACACCTGGTATTGAATGGGCATTTCCAACTCTAACAAATGATTTAGAAAATCGTTTACTACCACCAATGGTTATCAAAGGTCGAGTAACTAGTGGACCTGTTCTTTGTCCAATAACTATTCTCGAATCAATACATTGTACGATTGGACCAGATTTTAATAAAAATTGTTAGAAGATATAAAAAACTTACAGATGATAATGTTAAAAATTCATTTGTTTTAATAATATCATTTGCATGATTATCAATAAATTGTGCTGAATGTTGTTTGAGATTTTTTAAATTATAAAGACAAGCTGTATCATAAATAGTACAAACATTTTTTAATGATAAAATTGATTTTAAATAGACTGATAAACTTGTTTCTAATTGTTGAAAACCATATTGATGTACAAGACCAAGTAAATCAAGTAGAATATCTTCCTTTTGAAAAGAAAATAAATATATTAATTAATAGAATAAGTAAATAAAAAAATGTTTTACTTTCTCTTTGATTAAATTAATACGTCCAGTATATGTATATAGTAAAAGAATTTTAAATGCAGCTGCTTTACATTCTTTAATTTCAATTGAATGATTATTATGTTGAGATTCACGTAAACCACCATAAAGTAATGCACGAAAATATTCTGAACGTGCTGCTAAAATAACACGATGAGCATAAAAACGTTCGGTTTGAACAACTAATTCAATATCACTGTAATCAGATTGATTGAAAAGATTACCTAGAAAAACAAAAACAATATTCGATAAATCTCAATTATCAAATAGATTGATCTTTTATAAACACGTTCATGATATCAATCGATCGTATAACCTTGAAATAATATATTTTTGAAAAACAAACTTTTCCTATTTTTAGAATATATATATAAAATTTTTCATACCAAAATCTTCTGAAAGACTTGATATATGATTGATTTCTCCTAAACTGTCCAAGATTTCTACTGAATTTGATCTAACATTTGTAATATGATTATTCACTAGTTGATTTTGATTATTGACTGTAGTATTTGATAGAGCATGTTGTTGCCAAGTAGACATAACTATCTACAATAAATATTTACAAATATAGTAATTAGAAGAAAAATAAAAGAATTAGCGATTTTTATACTAATTTATAAACTAACCTCTTGTTGTCTCAAGAATATTCTTCTTCTAAACATTATCAATTTGAATAGATAAAAAAAAGAAGATATAAAACAACTGTACAAACCTTTTCAATGGATTATGTAAATTATACTACACGTGATTTTATGTCAAAAAAATGTCAACTTTAGCTCGAAGTAATTTGATCTGATAGAAAAATAATATAGAAACAATATTTTTTTATATCAAAAAACAACACACTAATGTTTTCCAAGGATCTTTTAATGCATAATTTCTTGCAATTGCCGATTGATTAGTTAATGATCATTTATTTTATTTTACTTGAAGGTAAGGATCGAACATCGTAACCAAACAGATAAGATATTCTTAGATGTCACTAGAACATAGTTTCATTGAAAAAATTACAAGTTAAAATAATCATTAAATTGATATCTAATCAATTGCTTTAAACAAGAAAAAATCATTTCACATCTGATTATTTATTAGCAAATCTCTAAAGACTATAATCAGTTTTTAAAAAGAAGCGTTGTTAATATATAAGTAAATGCATCTTTTTCCTTTCAATGTCAAAATATGGAGAACAGATCAAATAACGATTTAATATACTTCATAAATAATCAAACAAAAAATTTTTTCAGCATCATCGAGTAGATATAGTTGCTCTATATGATACAATCTTCTGAGGTTTTCATGACCTATTCATCTCTTTTGATCGTCTATATATAAAGAAAGAAAATGATTGAGACATGAATGAGTCTTGATCGATCAATATTAGTTTTTTTTCCCGACTTTCTACGTTGTTAACGGTTAGATGTTGATACAATAATAAGTTCATTGTATGGAAAAAGAAATAGTCAATGGGCGTAGTTGACAGAAGAAATAAAAACAAAAACACAACTGAATACAAGTAACAATCATATCATTAAATGTAAAATATTTATTGTTTATAAATTCTAAGTACATATCCTAGATATGACCTGTTTTTTTCCTTAATTGAAGTCAATATTTTATTTTTTTTTTAATTAAGTTCAAATAAAACTAGTATAAAACCTCTTAGTTTGTTCAATGTACTTAAGTTTTGAAGAGATCTTGATAATAAAAAATTTATCCATTAAAAAAAGAAAGAATATTAATTTAAATGAATGTCTGACATGCAAGAAATTGTTATAAATATATCTTCTTGTTCTTGTTCTACAGATTAACTATTCTATTAACTGAAAATAATGAAGAATAACTACTACTAGTATTATCAATCATTTGTAACAAAAAATAAATTAATTAATAGAAATTTTTCGAAATACTCATAGATTCCCGATTTAAATTAAAAAAAAAGAGAGTTCTTTTGCACTTTAACAAAAGTAAATAAGTTATAGTTATATATAATCATTCACGGACATTACTATAGACTATTTCCTTTAATGAATACCTGACTTTGAAAATAATCATTCTTTTCTTTTATATGACATCAGTTTTATTATATTTTTTTTCTTCTGAATGAATTATAGGAAATATATTGTAGAAGTATTCTTTTCATAAATTATTACAAATATAGACATATATATATTGTTCATTGAACTAGATAAATGAATATAGACATAACGTATCAATTTAAAAATAGTGTATTCTCAAGATGAAGTGGTATTCTTTAGAGATTTTTTGTAATTTTATTAAATCTATTAGTTTTAAATACCAAAAAAAAGTTAATGATTCGCTTCATAGAATTCTATCATTTACTAGTATATTAATTTTTCATGGTTTTGCTTTTCTAACGCAAAAATGTCGAGTTAACTGACATATTCATAGAATGATGTTTTATGATAGAAAAAGAAACCTCGACAGTAGTGATGCACTTGTTGTTTCTAGAGATACTCTAATAAACAAGATGAGTATACTTGATAAAATTTTGTTTTCCTCATGTTTTTTTTCTCTCTTAATAAATACTATATTTGTTATATCCGTGGCCGATCTAATATTTTTGTATATAATCGACCTATGATTTGATTTAAGACAAATGAAATATTAAACGTTATAATCAACTATTGTGTGCCCGAAGGCAAATACATCGTAGAATCTAATATGACTGCACGTTATGATCGCCTGTTGCTTTATCCGAACTCGACTGACTTCCGACTTAAATATTTCTCTCTTATTGACATATGTCTCCGAGACTGCCGATTGGTAGCACATATAATTCTTCGTTCTTTCTCATAAATACAAGAATATATGATGCTCTAGAATACGGACGTTCATGATTAAACAAACAAATCATTGAATAAAACCTTATATATTACTCAATATATATATATATATATATATCGTTTATGGTTTCTCAATGGCGTCTTTTAAAATAAGGATTATATATATATAATGAGCAAAGGTTAACATTTCATGATTTGAGATATATAATTTCGAAGTAAGTAGAGTAATGGTTCACTGTAATTTCTCTTGTTCTTTTACTTGCTCATTCACTTGCGTATGCAATTCTGTCTCTAGAGGAATTTAGTCAAAAAATGTGAGGAAAGCGTAAAGGAAAGAGCGGCAAAAATGGGAGAAAACACCAGACCAATGTAGGCAACATAGGAAAAAAAAGAAATGTGAGTATAAGGAAATGATAATTAAAATGACAAAAGGAAACGACAGTCTTCTAGCGAAGCAAGTCTAGTATAGGAACTTAGCTAACCAATATGTAATGAAAGTCTATTTTGCTTTTCTCTTTTTTTCCTTCTTAATATTAAAGGTTGATATTATTTTTCATTTATTCGAACCGTTATTTTCTAATCATAAGTTTTTTTTCTTTTTGTTATGGATTAAAATAAATCGAACTGATCGATAAGGGATTATTAGAAGAAAAAGAGAAAACTACATATTATCCCATAGGCTAAATATGTAAACAGAAGACAAATTATATTCGCTTATCTTTTTTTTTTTCTGTTGTTATCATCTTTATATTCACGTCTGTTGTTGTTAATTAATAGATTGAGTTTTTTCTTTAAGAATAGGAAATAGTCTGAAGTTTTTTAACTTTTACATGCATTATTTACTAATTATATTGAAATATGTTTTGTGAGTACGAAAATATAGAATAAAACGTGAATGATTAATGCACTCTATCTATTATTTTTGTTCCCGAAATTTGTTCAATATTAATTATCTTAGAGGGACGACAAAAGAAAGACAATCAAATATTCTAAATCTATTCAATCAAATTTATTAAAAAATTGCATCATATCGTTTTTCTTTTGTTATATAGTAAAAACACAAGCAGCGTTCGAGAATTCTTTTTCTTTTCTTTTCTTTTCTTTTTTTCTCTTCTTCTTTTCATTCATTTTTTTTCCCTCAACATCTTTCTATTGTTTCCGATTTTAGTGCATGAATAAGAAGTAAACCAGTTTTTATTATCATTATTTCTACTAATTCCATCCATTTTCTATAGATATTCTAATCGAGTATTTGTTTTTTATCCCTTCATTTTGCATTTCAGTTTTTTTTTAGATTTCAATCAAGTATGCATAACAAACGATTCCCACAAGGATAAATTTCCTCTTTTATTGTATAGATAAATAGTTGATCGTCGATGATTTTCTAGATAAAAGAATTTTAGACAATGAATGACATGTTCAATATACGTTCGTTTGTCGAAAATCAAGTTGAGAAATTATCATCACCAAAAAATATTCTTGTTGATAAATTTCGTCAAACAGTTGATAATATTAAATTACCATTTTCAACGACAACAAATAATGATATAACCACACATGATGAAACATTTAATTCACGTCCATCAGAATCATCATCAAGTTCATCTGTATCATCAAATGATCAAACAAATCATTCTTTTATTAATTCTCTTAAATCTTCAACAACAACAACAGCAACACGTTCAAATCAATCAACACCACCAAATTCACAAAAATTTTCACGTCTTTTACCATCAGCATCACCATTATCATCACCAAAATTATTATCAAATTTTAAAACATTTACCGATCGTTTATCTCGTCCTCAATCAATACTTCGTCGTCATGTTTCCGAATCCAATCAACCTGATGAATCAATTATAAATAATAATCAAGATACATCTTTATCTCAACCGATTTATCATAATAATCCACCAATTGATATTAATCCGATCTCTGATGATAACAACGATACGAAGAAAGTAGCTGATGCAACAGCAAAACTTCTTGGACGATCACGTTCACTTATTCGACAATCTACTGATACAACATGTACATATCCAATACGAAGACCAATGAGACGAATGGAATCTGTTGAAACAGTTGAAATACCTGGTTTAAATGGTCTTAAAGCATTACGTTATTTAAATGATAATCTTGGAAAATTACAACCTGATCTTTATATGAAACAAACATCTCAAACAGATCCAACATATGGTTTTGGTAAATTAATATTTACTTTATTCTATAATCAACAAACAACATCATTAATTGTTACCGTTGTATCGATTGATAATCTACCATATAGAGAATTAAATACAAAAGTTTTACCAGATCCATTTCTTAAAATTGTTCTCTTACCTGATCGACGTAAAAAATTTCAAACAAAAGTTTCGAAACGAACTCAATCTCCTCAATTCAATGAAACATTTCAATTTCAAATTGGTTATGAAGAATTACGTCGACGAATTTTATTATTATCTGTTTATGATTTTGGTCGATCAACTAAACGAAGTTTAATTGGTACTGTTAAAATCGATGATGTTTCAACAATACCTGATATAACTTCACATGATGTAACATGTACGAGAAGTATTGTTCCTGGCACTGAAGTAAGTTCGAGCATGACCATAAGATATTTTCGATATCCGTTTTATTTTTTTGTTCGTCTTCCTTAGCAGACATATAAAAGATAGCGGAAATTAACCGGGAATATAAAAAACAAAGGTGACTATTAATAATCGCACTGAGAACTTGTCAGGTTTTATCGATGTATACATCCGCTAGTAGATATTCGTAGGAGGACAAAAAATAAACTGAATACTCTGTCATTTTTTTCTTAATTTTAAAAATTCTCGAAATACGAATATTGAAAATATCGAATAGTCTATATTGATATTTGTCATCAATCATATTAGCTATTCTTTAAACGAATGAGAAACAAAAGAAGCATATGTCAACATTCATTATCTAAGCTATTGCGATCTACATTATTAATTAGATACTAATATACAAAGTACCAATAGAAACAAGAAAGAGTTTTTCAACAAAAAAAAATAGAGTTTGTTCGCTTGTCATAACTATATACATTTTATAACTCAATGAGAAATAATAATAATACGATAACAACATTGACGAGCAATCAACAAGGTCTCTCATTTATTATAAAATATAAAATGTTCGAGGCGATACAAATTCCATTGAGATTTCTTTGATAAAGAGAACAACATAACATGCAATACTAATCAAACAACGTGATGATAGACAAAATAACAAAAAATACACGCTAAGAACAACACAAGGCATGCATACATATTTTATTTGTTAGAAGAGAAAACGAAGCACATACATACATTTCCCTATCTTTTTTAACTAATGAAATTTATTAAATAAGGAAAAGAGAAAGTTTTTGCTGTACAGAAATTTAACTACAACAAAAATTTGTCCATACTATTTATAGATAAAAATAATATTAATAATAAATACTTCAATGTTATAATGATAAAAGAAATCTTATCTTTTATGAATACTTTATAATATTAGAAAATAAAGAGAAGAGTTATCAATTGTCTGAAGTTTATTGTGGGTGGATCTTTATTTTCATAGACGATGATTAATAAAAATATTCTTTTATACTATTTATTTAAGAATTATGAATAGAAGTCTAGTTGAATTACTTTATTCCTAAAGAAAATACATGACTGTCTTTCAAATAGTTATAAATAGACGTTTTAGTTTTTTATGATTTATTTATTTTTCGTTAGATATATAGCATTCACCGGGAACACTTAACCTTCTTTATTGACTTTGACATAAAGAAACTTCTATATTAATAAATATTTCCGGCTAATCACTTGTACGAAGGAAAAAAAACAAAGCAACTCAACTTATTTCTTCTCGAGACTACTTAAACTTGACAAAAAAAGAAATGATTTTCTAATCAAATATAAAGAAAAGAAAAAAGTTCAATAGGTTTACTTAGCATTATTTTTAAGATAAAGGTTATCATTAATTATAGACGTTCAATACTTTCTTTTTTTTTAGAGCGATCCAGATCTTGGTGAATTAACTGTGTCTTTATGTTATTTACCTAATGCTAAACGTGTTACAGTAACTATTGTTAAAGCAAGTTCATTAAAACCTATGGATATAACTGGTAAATCAGATCCATATGTAAAAGTTATTTTATTAATTCATGGAAAAAAAGTTCGAAAGAAAAAAACTTCAGTTTTATCAAATACACTTAATCCAATATATAATGAATGTTTAGAATTTGATGTTTCTATTGAATCACTTGGAGATGCTGATCTAATATTTAAAGTAATAGATTATGATCGTGTTGGTTCAAATGAATTAATTGGTTGTGTTGGTATTGGTGTTCATTTTGATGGTATTAATCGTGATCATTGGTATCAAATGTTAGAACATCAACGTGTACCAATAACCGAAAGTTATAATTTACGTGAAACTATACCAATGATACCATGTAATAGTCCACCGACAACTCAGAAAGTATTAAATTTAACTAATAATGCTTGACAGAGAAAACAAGACACTTTTCCGGTGATGTTTTTTTTTGTACAAAGAAAATTTTATTTTTTCCTCTTGTTTGATAGAAAAATAAAGAAAAAATTTGACTATTTTATGAAAATTCTTCGTCGCAATCAATAGGGTTTGATGTTGGTTGTTGACCGGAATTAGTGGAAACTGTTTGTTTACTACGTTTCGACTGTTCAATTGAAAATGATGGAACTTCACTTTCATCATCTGGCATGGGTCGTTTCCGTGATTCATCTTTCTATTGAAACAAAAAGAATCTTAAAGATTAAACTTCGTTTTTTTAACTTACTGGCAAACGAGATAAACGACGAATAAGTAATGGAACTGAATCATTGATAATTTCTATTGCGAAAAAGAAAAATACAATTATACATCAACCAATTAAGTCGGAGATTTTGTGGGCGGATAAAGTAAATATTGATCAAATAAAAGCATGACAACAATGGAAAAAAAGACAAAAATATTTAGTCAAAAATTGTTTTATAAGAATATATTTACTCTCTTGAATTTATTATTCTTAATCGGAAGAAATGTCTTTATTCATGTTTCTATAATGTCCGATCAAACAAGTTCTATATGATTCCAAGAAAATGTACTCATTACTAATCTTGTGAATACTTTAATATATATAACTTATTATACGAAAGTAAAATAGTTCATTATAAATAATATCGATGTACTTATAAAGAAATTGTAAGATGACATAATCTCTTATAAGCTTATATTTCTCGACATTTATATATATATTCATTGAAAATAAAAGAAGATTTATTTAATTTCCTTTTTTTTTACTCTGACCTTTATGTAATTCTATTAATCAAAACAAATCCCACTTAATTAATATAAAAATAGTTACGTCTGTGTTTTTTCCTCTTGTCCTCAAATATATATTGTCGTGCAATGAACATGTCAAAGAAATAATTTATTATTCTATACCTTTTGCATTTAAATCAAGCTTGGCAGTATATGTCGGTCGAACAGACTAGAAAATACTTTCAACTATGTCATATAAAAATAACTTTATAATTTTACTGTTTGACGAACAGCACTTTGAGCATGAAATTTTGTAAAACTTTCTGGATTTCGACAAGGCAAATCGTTTAAGAATGGCGACTAAAAATACATACAATAGAATAATCCAGAAGAGAAATTTTTTATACAAAATTATTACCATAATAATATTAATCTAGTAACTTCTTTAATAAATGAATAATAAATTGATGGATTGACAATGTAAGAAGAATATATTAAAGGTTGATTTTTTACCAATCATATATAGAAAACACAAGATGTCGGTAGTGTATCAAAGAGGATGACGGTATGGGTCATTAAGGGCAAAAAATGCATATAAAAAAACGTCGTTTTTTTGCGTCAATATACACTTTGCTAGAATGGCTGCAACCGAACGTCGAGCTAATGTCCGTGTTCATATATCAAAAAATGTACAGCAATGTAATTATCCTCGTGGAGCTTTAATTATGGTTGCTGGTGCAGGTGGAGGTAAATTTTAAATTTGTAGTTAATAAAAAAAATTTATTTCAATCTTTTAGGTTATACCGGTCCTGCCGTAAGTTTATGCGCAAATTTTTGTTTTACAAAAACTAGACCGTATTTATATTCATAGGCCATTTATCCTGATTTAGCTCAAGAAATAATAGAAAATTCAAATATAATATCAGTACAAATGGATTATAGATTTCCAGGTGATCTTAACCCATGTGTAAGTCATAAAAATTTATTGATTATAAAAATATACTTTTCTCTATTTTTAGATTGAAGATTTAATAGAAACAATCGATATTTTAGTATCGAAATATCAAATCGAACGAGTTGTACTTGTTGGTTGGTCATTTGGTGGTGCTGTTGTCATATCAGCTGGTGCTCAACATAATCTCGTAAAAGCTATTGGTAAAAACAAATTATCTGAATATAGTTTTTCTTTCATATTCATATTTCTTATGATTAGCTACTGTTGCATCACAAACTGCTGGTACAAGTAGTGTTAATCAATTAGCTCAAAAAGGTAAAGCATGTTTATTTATTCATGGTACTGGTGATCAATGTTTACCACCTCGATGTTCTGAACAACTTTATCGTCTTGCTGGTGAACCTAAAGAACTTGTTTTATATAATGGTGATAATCATGGTGTTACCAATCATCGATATGAAGCAAAAGATAAAATTAAAGAATTTACTTTAAAATATTTATGCGCACCAACAAAATAATATTTTCGTTTTCTTTTTTTTATTATTGTTTAAAAAATATATTTAGTTTGTTATAATCTCGGTTACTTTATTCAAGCAATATGTGTATATATACTTGTGTTAAGCAAGGAATAAATGTAAACAATTATCGTTATAGCCATGTTCTTTTAATAAACTAAAAAGCAGAAAAATAATTCTTAGAATAATCGTGTTTTTCATACTAAATACATACTCGATAGCTAATTTAGAAAATGGTGTTGGCCCACAAACACATACAAGTGTTTCAGTCACGTTAGTCGTAGAAGATATTGATGGTAGTAAACGATGCAAAAGTTCACCGCGAATATAACCGGTTTCACCTGTCCATTCAGGACCAGGTCGAGAAAGGATATCATGTACAATGACTCTATAAATAAAAATAAAACACATTGATTTTAGTGACCTTTTAACTATTTGACATTGGAGTATTTCGATAGAAATCTTAAAATAACTTTACTAAACTATCAAGTCTTCAATATATAGAGCTTCTAGCTCATTGGATAATATATACTTTCGAATTTTATACATAACAAGGCTTCAGTTTGATTAATTCTCATGAAAATCTGAAGACAATTAGTTATATCCTATAGAAGCTTCAGTAAAAACATTTGAAGATTTATTATTAGAGGCAAAGATAGGAAAATGAATTTTGTTTTTTGTTTACTTATTTTGTTTTGATATTGTTTGTAATTCTTCTCCACATAGAATATCATCTTGAGTTTTGTTAAAAAATAATAAAATTACATTCATGTCTACTTGATTTTCAGTTTGTTTAATAACATAATTAATAATTCGAAACATTGGTGTTAAACCAGTACCAGCTGCAACAAGAATAAGTGTTTTACACGTATTAATTTTCGTATAATCAAATGTCCCTTCAAATGAACTCATTTCAATTGTATCACCTTTTTGAACGGAAAATATTTAATTAGAAAAAAACAGTATACGTAGGTTTTATACCTATATTTAACTTTTGTAACATCGGTGTCATTGTTCTATCGGTGTAATGTTTTATTAATAATTCGATAGTCTGATCCGATGATAGATTTTGTTCACTATTCAATTTATCTACTACTGTATAGGGTTTTACAATCAATATACCTAAATGAAATCATAGTAGAAAATTTGAAAACAAAATTCGTATAAGTATTAACCATCTTTGGATTGTCTTAATCGAATATGATAACCAATGGGAGGTAACATGAAAATATTAGATGGTAACGAGAATGTATACCAATCACTATCATGTGTTACTGGTGATCGTTTGATAAGAGTAGCCATGAAATATATAGGTTCTATGTAAAAAAAGAAAATATTCGACCAAAAATTAATTAAGTATTTTCTTTACATTGTCAATGTATTTATAATTATAATAACTATCATATATGAATAATCACATGAAATCTAGCTAAGAAATGATTTGTATTCAAATAAATGTTAATTATTCAGCAGACATGAAATGAATCGAATCGAAACTGACTGATGAAAATGTTAATTTTTGTTTTATTCGTCTACATAGACGTTTATTATATTCTATCTCAAGTAAACAATGTCAAATATTAAAATATTTTATGATTGATACAGTTAATAGGCACTGGATGTTCAGATATCTAAGATCATGTTGACTTTTATGTGATTCTGACAGATCTACACTGAAATCTGACAAAACTTAATCATTTCTTGTATGGTTTTGGTCGAATTGCTCTAGTCAAAAGTCATGTAAACTAACTAAATCCAAGGAAATTCATTTGAAAAGACTAATTAATTCCATCTTTCATTGTATAAAATTGATATGAATCTTTTATTTACATACCAAAATCTTGTACAGGACAAACAGATAAATGATTTGATGCAAATTTTCCAATTGTTTTCCATATTTGATCATTTTGTTTCTTTAAATCTATTTCAATTTGACCTCGACTATTCGTTGATATATGAACTAAATAATTACAAATTGCATTTTATTCATCAAAAAATCTTTATTTTACCAGTAATATCATTTGTTACTAATTCAAACAATTCTAAATACAATTTCTTTATTATAATAATCACTTTCTTATTAGCAGATTTACCTATAGCTATAGTATGAACAAATCCATCAATGAAAACAAGAATAGAAATCTTTTTGGAATTTTCAATATGAACAAAAATATTTTCAGTCGTTAATGTTAGATATGTCGTATAAATAAAAAGTTTTAAACTCTTTGAATCTGGTTGACGAAAATCAAATCGAAGTCTTGGTGGTAAAGATTTTGGTTTTGTTGATGCTGTTTCGTTTGAATTAGGTTTTGAAATCAATCGACCAACAAGACATTTTTCCAGCATAGAACCAAAATTTACCTTTAATATAAAAATATGATTTTGTAAATTATTCTAATTCTAATTAACTAACCCAAGAGTGAATTTCTTGAAAAAGTGTAGTAGCATCAATACCAGCACCTCGCATGATCTCATCAACACCTCCTGGATGAAAATCAAGATATGGACTTATATTATAAACATTTCCTAAATATAAAAATAGATTGAATGGAATATTTTATTTTATTTTACCGGCAATAGCAGTCCAACAATCCGTTTTTTTATTATGTTTAGCTAATTCTTCTAGTGTAACATTTAATATTTTTCCATTTGTACCAGAAATATCTGGTGTATTATTCATTTTTCTTATCCAATCCATTAAACCTAAATCAATAAATAAGAAAATACTTTCCTACACTCCTATCTTCTATTACCATGTCGAGGAGCTAAAGCGACCTATATATATACAAAAGGTACATTGAACAATTGAAAAAATAAAAATCTCACTTGAGCTCGTGTTTTATTCGTAGTTATAGTTTGTGCTGGTGGTTGAAGAAAATTCATTGTTTGATTTTGTTCTCGTGGTTTAATACAACAAATATCTTCAAAGAATAAGAAAGATGATTTTTCTAAATAAAATATTTTCTTATCTAAGTTCTACTTACATGTTCGTACAGAATTCATTCTATTTTCAATACTCTATACTTCACATCTTTTAGTTTTAATATGAGATCTTAAATCTTAAGACAAGTATGTCACATGAAGTTTATGCCATTCATGTAAATTATTTGATACACCCTGAGGAAAAATAGAAAATATGTTGACATCATCGTTTTTCTTTGACGGAATAAATTAAAGAAAACTAGAAACGTTCTTAGACATTCAATTAAAAAGAAAAATGTGTTTGAAAAGTTAACACGGTAAATTTTTCTATTCTGTTAACAATTAAGAACGATTCTTTTTCTCTTTTTTATTTGAATTTTATGATGCATAATTATCTTTTGAAATTCCTGGTTACTTTCCTTTCCGAGATTTTTGCTAATTAGTTGGTTTGTCTTATAAAATATTTTCCAACTATCTTTTTCTTAACTTATTCCCTTTTATTCAATACAGGTTTAGTCATACATCAGTGATCTATCCCTGCATGATGCAACACATGGTATTCCTAACTTAAATTTAATGAATGATCGCCACTCAAAATTAATCATTATGATAAAATTAAGAGATCTTAAACTACCAAAATGGTACGAACGTTTAATAGCTGATAAAAGTCTTTGCTATGCTTTAAATTCATAAAATAATTCTGTCAAAGTTTATATTGATAGTGGAATCTATTGAGAAATATATGAGTAACATTCAATAATATTTATGATAGGTCGACACGTACACTTTTTGGTCTGTGGAGTGAGAATAATACTCTTCAATTGCGTAGATTAGACTGGGATTTAAATGACAGCTTAAAGGATTTAAAAGAAAACTTTCTCTTTTACTTTAATGGCAGTTATTATTTCTATTTTTGTTTATTATAAAATAAAGTTATACTGAAATATTAACTGGTATGACAGAAATATGTATTTCACTTCCGAATAATATTTTTTAAAATAAAGATTTTGATGATTTACCGCTTATTTCTTACAATATGCAGAAACTATTGTTTATATAAATGAAATAAGAAGAAATCTGTCGATTAATCTTAGGCATTAGAGATGGGAAACTTGGTACAGCTCGTCTTCTACCCTATTCAAGAAATGATATCAGTATTTACGAAGATGAAACTTTACAACCATTGACTGAAAGATATCTACACATATCGAATAGTATTTACAATGGTATGGATTAACAATGTCCTACATATCGATATAAATTATATCAGCACATAAAAAACTATTAAAAAAAAATGGCATCTGATTTAACAGATAATCTGATATATGTCATAAATGTACGACAAACAAATGAACATGAACTACTAGAAGCTTACCAAAAACAGTTCGTTTAAGTTGATCTTAATATTGAATTTAATTTAATCGAAGTCAATGCAAAAATTATTAAATTTATTATTATTTTTTATACATCTAATAATGAAAGAATTGCAATTGTTTATTTAGTTGTAAAATGTTTTTTTTCTTTGTCTATTTCCATAAGCAAATATATATTTAAATTCAAATGAATTATCTTTCTAGGTCACATTTTTCGTTCCCATCAAAACTAAAAACTAGGTCAGATAAGATTATTTTTTTTGGTACTTTGTTTTTGTCCAACGAGTACTTTAGTACAAAAATACAGAGAAGAGTGTAGGACGTGCCATATGTTGTCCTTATCAATTTTTGTGACCAAAAAGGCAAATATCAGAGGCAAGGCAAACATGTCCTACGCAAACTGTGAAAGTAAGAAGGCGTTACGTCCGCCTTCTCCTTTCATACACCCCCGATGTTACATTCTAACATGCGATTCGATTTCCTTTAATTATAATACTCTATATTTTTATGGTATTTTCATGCTTAAAATATATTATACAAGGGTTTCTATTTCTACGGAAGTTACTTAACATAAAATTTGTTCATGTTTTCCGCATTTTCTTTTCCTCTATTTGATAAATAACGATCGCTACATCTATATTTCTATGTAAAAAAAATTGAAATCCAGATATTTTTCCTCTTAGACAACAGGTAAACAGTTTATCGCGAATCAATAGTAGACGAAATTAAAAACAATCACAAATAATGATCTCTACCGTTAACATAATATATTAGAGTGATATAGTTATGAATTCTACATTTTCTGAAACAATTGATTATGCCCGTGTTGACTGATCGATTATGAGCGATCGACTATTTAACCTTCTATTAATATTTATACATTATTAAACAGATGAATAAAGGCTGCTTGTCATTCAAAAGATATCTACGAATTTCTATTTCTAGCATATTCTAGATAATTAGACATAGATAAGCTCTCATTTCTATTCTTGCAGTGTACAGAATAATTTCAATAAGTTAGATATCAAGTCATATATCGATTTTCTACAGTCTATTACGCAACGCGCAAAGAATAGATTAAAATCTTGATAATACTTAATAAGATTAATTTTCATTATTCTTATCTATTTTCTCAATACTCTATAGTAACTTAGATGAATGTATTATGAAATTATCTTAGTCTCTAGATAATAACGAATAGAAAAGAAACATATAACAATTGTTTAGACATTTATTAATTAAAAAAGAAAAGAAATTCTTATAAAAAAACATGTGATTTTCGTTGCTTTTTAATTTGAAATAACGGTATACCACAAAACGTTCGATTACATTGACTAGAAGACGTTTGTTCATCATCATTATCATTATCTTCAATACTTAAATTTGTATCAAAACAAAATCGAAAAGCTCGATCATCTTTCGTTGAATAAACATATACTTTTCTATTTAAATTTAATTCTAATAATGTTTTTAATTGATTTCGTAGAAGAAAATGTTCATCATATTTATTTGCAAATTCAATAATAAATGATGTTAATTTTGGATAAATTTTTATTAATTTTTTAATTGATTTTAAAAATATATCAGTTGCTTCAGATAATGTATGATAATGTAGAATAAAATGTAAATGATTGATATTTATTGAATAAATAGTATTAATATGTAAAGGAATAAATGATGAAAGATTAGAACGATTAATCATATTTTTACCTGAAATGATCAATTTTAATTGAATAAAACAAATCATATGTATTAAAACATACCTATTGTGAATGATTTTAAATTAGGCCATTTAAATTGGTTGCTATGTTGAGCAATTTGTTTCAAGAGAATAAGAAAACTTGGACGGTTATTATCTTTATTTTGTTCTAAAGTAATCATTTTATCTAATATTCTAACATCATTTAATGTTAATGAGATTAATTGTCGAGTAATTAAACATAATTGTACAGCAGTTCGACGTGACATTTGAATATTATTCATTACAATTGTTTGTATAACTGATTGAGATACATTTGTTATTGTGTGAAATATTCGTTTTAAATCCCACATTCCTGAACCCATTTGATCGATTTTTCCATCGGTTATGATTAAATCAGATAATAATGGAAAACTAGTCATTAATGTAACTAAACCATCAAGACTTAATTCAAATTTACTAATAGCTAAATTTCGAACTGATGACATTAAATAAGGTACATTATATATTGATCGAAGTATATAAGATTCAAATGACTGTGGTTTCTGATTTTTATCTGACCAAATCATATTATGTTCATTCAAAAGGTTCATTGATGTTGTTACACATTGAATATAATCAATTGATATTAATTGACGTGTATACCAATTTGTATGTTGAATATAGGATCCATATCGATTTATATTCGATGAGGAATTTAATTGTAAATATTCTATTGGTAATTCATATTGATTTAATTCAATAAAATCTTTCATTTGATTTAAATGACATATATTAATAAATATAATTCGTTGATATTTTGAGTAATTAATATTTGTATGCAAAGATAATGGACACATACCATGTAAATAAGATAATTCTAATGTATGAAGATAATGACATGAATTTAAATAATTATTAAATTCATTGGAAAAATTCACATCATTATTTACTAAAAGAAATTTAAGTGTTAAAATTTCTAAGTATTTATTTGGTAAACGGGAAAATATTGCACGAGAATTGTGATCATAATCAAACATTATTTTTAAATGTAAATTTTTTAAATAATTAAATTGATTTTGTAACATATTTGTTGAATAAAGTGTTATTTGTAAATTATTTAATTTTTCTAAACTATTTATATGGCTTAAATTGCTATGATCATTTGTTAAACGTAAATTTTTTAATGTTGATGAACAAAAATGAAGCGATTGTATTGTATTACAAATATATTCATCATGTATAATCAATTGTTCAAGTTGAGAAAATTTTTTTAAAGAAAATCCATTATCATATAGAATTTTTCGGCAAATTATATCAAGTTCATCAATTATTAATTGTCGAGTTGTTGACGAATTTGAAATTAATAAACGAGCAAAATATGTAAATAAATTATAATCAACAGTTGATTCAATATGAATATGTGTCCATAAACATGAACTATGAGCTATTAAATTTTGTATACGTTTTGATGAATGAAAATTATGATAAAAACGAATTAATTCTGTATGAGTAAATGTCCGAAAAATTTTTATTAAGGCAACATCAGGTAATTCAGTTAAATACATCTAAAAGAAATATATTATAGGTAAAATAATATATGAAAATAAAATCGAGCATTTATAGATATCCATCAACTATTCTGATTCATGTCAGATGCTAGGAAAAATACAATGACATCCAAGGACATATGTTGTCACTCAAAAACAGAGCGATACAACATGTAAATAAATGACATATTTTTACTTTCAAAATAGTACATTTTAAAAGAAAAACAGAACGACTCATTGTAAAAACATCGGCAGTAGACATGACGCTGACAACCACGTCCTTCTTTCGATGTTTTTACAATAAACCGAAACAGGACTACATGATTATAGTCCTGATAAAATTCCATTATATTACATCGAATATTGATTTTTTTTTCTTCTTTTATATTTCATAAATACACACATACACATACATCTTGATTGTTACGAAAAAATAAAATTCACAATTATTCTTTATGTATACATATAGATGAAACATGGAACAAAAAAAAATCATTTTGTTTTTTTGAAAAAATCACACATATGATTCAAATGCATACTTATTTTCATAAGTTAGATATGCTAAAAGTTGATCATTCATCGATGGATATAATGATAAATGTTTAATATCATCTGGAAATTGTTTAATATGTGTTTTAATATATAAACGACAGATTGATTTTAATGAACGACATGATGTTTCGCGTTGATAACGTAAAATTGTATCGAAAAAATTAATAAAACCAATTTTTTTATTTTCTAATTTTTTATTTAAAAATTGATATGCATCTGATTGTAAAAGAAGTTTTATTTGACGTATATCAAATGATATTTCACCATTATCATATAGTTTACGAAGAAATTTACTAAATATAGATGTATCTTTGTCTTTTTGATAATCTTGAGAACTAGAAAACAAAAATATATCTTATTGGTTTAAATAGAGAATAATTATATTTATTTCATACGTTAAAGTTGATGATGGATATGGAAAAAGCATATCTTTTGAACGTGAATTAATAAAAAAATCATGATGATTGGTAAAGAGATAATAGATTGCAATAATTTCAACAAAATACCCAAGAATCTTCTGTCGAATACTATTTATATTTGTTTTATTATTTGTCACTGTTGTAAATATATCACGTAAACGATATTTTAATATGAAACACGCTAAAATAAATAATAAAAAAACGTTTTCTTTAATTTTCACTATCAAATAACTAGATAAGTTTTATTCTATATAATAGAAGTAGTTTCTCTATTTAATCGAAAAATATATCCTTAAGTTGAGTAATATAAGAAAATACTTTTTCATCTATAACGGCTTTTTTTTAATATTATATTTAAATGAGTCTTATGTAATGAATTTGAATGAGCAATTGCTTAATATTAACACTCTTGATACTTTCGGTGTTAAGAACTGACAAACAAAAAATCCTTCCTAGAGGATGACTAGCTAATAAAGAATCCATTCGTCAAAGTCTATTAATAGATATTACTTATATCTATTAGTTATAGTTTTATCTCTAGATTGTCATAGGCTTTACAATCCAAATGAAAGAAATCTTCATCTTAATTTATCTAAATGAAATTCTATCATATCTATTATATATAATATTCCATGAAGAATACTTTGTAATTTAATATCGTGTTATTCTCTATATAAATAATTATCTGTATATATCTAAGAAAAGCAAAAAAGAAAGAAAGAATATAGCAAACCATTGTGACAACTATAATCTAGCTTAGGATTTTTCCGAGATATAAACGTTTATCTAACGGTAAAAATTTCTTTAAGATATCTCTGTTAACATATTCATTAAATAAATTCTTTTAACTAAATAATCATAAGGTCATAACTTCGTTTTTTTTCAAGGGAGACCTCTCGTTTAGAATAATAATTAGATAGATATCATTGTAAAAACAAAAACTGAATGTATAATTAAAAAAAAGAAGAAGTGAAGATATATATATGGATATCTAAATCTACTAACCAAGCTCAAGTAGGATATCAACGTCAAATTCATTCCAAATAAAACTTGTATAATTATTAAATAGTGATTGATAATTTGAACGATTTATGAGCGATGGAGAATATTCAAAAAATGATTTCGATATTTTACTATTCGATATGAATAGTTGATGTAATGAATGATAGAGATGTTCAGTTCTGTTGTCTATTCGATTTGGATTTAATTTTTGACATAGAATATAAAGAAGATATTGATCAACGATAGTATTACCAAATTGATCATATCCATTCGGTATCGATGTATTATTAGTAGTCGTTGTTGTTGATTGTAATTTTAAACGTGATGAAAATGAATCATTCAATGTTGTATCAATATATTCAAGTATATTTGGTTGATGATCGGATCGACAAAGACGTGGCCGATTAGCGGAACCACTTGCTTGCGAAATTGTATGTGTCATTCGGATGTTATAAAATACAATGTCTTTTTTTTGTATATTAAGAACACAATGTAACAAGAAATAAATTTAACTTGTTCACTTGTAAGTTCTGTTGTAGTAAAGATTTCTTTTGCGTTAATAATCACTTATAAATAGAAAAGAAAAAAAAGATTATTATTATTCATCTAATACTTAAGCGAATAAGTTTTTTTTTTATAATAATTGATTTGTCTAGCTTTATGCTTTTCTTTTTTTTAGAGATGCGAATAGTTTCGATTAACTCAACATTCTTTTGTACGAAAAAGTAATATTGATGATAATAATAATAATAATAATAGCGATGAGGAGAGAAAAACAAATATATATATATATATATAAATATATAAGTCAATAAATAAATATAGTATGGTTGACGGGAACAATAACAGATGAATTCAAAATCAGCAAAAAATGATTTTTTTATCCATTTGATGTTTTAAGAAAAGGTCATTTCTCTATGGAATATAAAACAATAATCTTTACACGATGTCATCAATTGGAAAGCGAAAGAATAATGCAAACAAACAAAACTGAATAGTGCACCGTAGTAGTCTCATTTCTTTCTCGTATCCGGAGTTTTTCTCCTTCTCTTTGTCTCTCTTCTTCTCTTTCTTCTTTTTTTTCTTCTATCGAGAGTGTATGCGAGCGATGATGAAGAAGATGACAGAAATGGAAAAGAAGAAGAAGAAGAAAAAAAAAGAAAAGAAAAAGACTGAGTTCTAACAAACTAATTGGCTAGTGATACCCGCTAGGGTACTCTCATTCACTCATTCATTCATTCACTCACCAGTTCGATAACAACGACATCGATGCAATGAGTTGTCGTTTCTCGGTTGATGTAAATAACGTTTTTCCCTCTTCTATTCCGGATGTTATTTGTAGTTGCGATGTTAGTTTATAATCTATCCTTGCACTTGTATTGCGTTTATTTTTAATAATTATATTGTTATTGATCGTCTAAGTTACATTTCAATGTAACATATACATTTATATAATTGCAACATATATTGATTGAAAACTTCATATTCATGTCATTAGATGAGGATTTAGTAACGAAAGAAAGAAAGAATGAATAGTAAAATAATTGAAAGAGCAAATAAATAATTAATTATTAATTTCATAATATTATTTGAATTAAAGTGTATATAAATTGTATCTGTTCGATGTTTCATTGATAGAAATTATTTATTTTTTCTCCACATATATATATATATATTGAAGTAGATCATTGAGTTCAAATCGAGATTTGAATATATCATTTCAACATATGTTATAATTGCTGCTTTTTTAATACAATGTAATGTATTGAATAAAACCATATAATTTGAATTAGATTCTTCCATTATCAAGATGTAACATTCTCATTTCAACAATAGAGATTAACTATTTCGATGAATAGAATTCCATGATAAGAAATAACTTTAATCGTATTTTTTTTCCATTGATAGATTCTTAATTAATAATGGCATAATGCCAAAACGAATTTAAATCACATTTTTGTTTTCTTTATCTGTCTAAAATATGATACAAGCTTCATAGATTTTTTCTTTAATACTCAAAAAAGAAAAAACAAACAGAAATAGATTGAAGATTATTAGTGTATTATTTTGTTCTCGTTTTTTTTTTCTTGCTGATGAATAAACAACGAACAAAGACAAAACAAAAGAGTAAAGCGAGCACCAGCAGACAAACAAACAAACAAAAAACAAAAGAGGAAAGGTCTTCATTTGATCACTGTTCCACATAAGATAAATTAATTGTTTTTTTTTCTTCTTGGTTTCGAATTTGTTCGACTAAGTAAGGCAAAATGATGCACAAGAAAACATGCAATGCATCTCTTTGAGAACACCAATAAAAGAAGAATATTATCACTTGAGATCAACGCACACGCACGCAGCAAAAAAGAAGACGAGAATTATATGAGGGCAAGAAAGAAGAGCATAGATTATTGTGCCATTCGACTATAAAACAAACAAACACACACACACACATATACAAACAACTGTTTGTAAAAACGATACAAAGATGCTTAGTGAATAGAAGGAAAAAAAAGAAAAATCCTAAAAAAAACACAACTTTATCTTAGAAGAAGACTATAAACAAAACAAAAACTTCACACTTACAACGTGAGAGAGAGAGAAATTTGATAAGACAAAACACAAAAAAAAAGAAAAAGTATTTCGTTCATATTAAACAAAAAGAACAATAAGAAAAAATTTTGAGTGTCTTTTGAAATATAACTATTAATTAAATAAGCCACGATAATTATTTTTTTAAAAGAATATAAAGAAAAAAAATAGTTTTTTTTCTTTTTTAGTTTGTTCCTTTTTTTTCTTGTTTTATACTAGTTGCACATAAACATCTTTCTCTCTCTCTCTGTCTCTTTCCCTTTTTCTGTCACTCTTCTTTTTAAACAGGTACACTTCCAATCATAACTTTTGATACAAAATTAACAATCGCTGTTGATGGTTGTGTTCGATCGATTTCAGCAAATATATGACATTCATTTTCTGGCTGTGCCGATCGATTATTATTTCCATTAATTTTCTTTGAAACAAAACCAAAACATCTATCAAAACGAATATACAATATAAAAACCTCATTATCTAACATATGTGTTTTTTTTTACTTTGCTCGTGGTAACATATCAAGATCAGATAATTGATGTGTCCAAAAACGATCTGTTTCATAATCAACTCCACAATATGTCACATATTCTTTCGGAAAATGACGTCGTGAAAATAATCTAAATAATTCCATGTCCCTCATAGTATTTAATTCATCAAAAATAAATTCATTTATTTTATTACTTTTTCTTCGTATCAGTTAATGTTATACCAGTACTTGAAACTTTAAAATGAACAACAGTTGCTTGTAAACGATCAGCATTATCAAATGTAGAACGTAAAGCTTTATTTAATGCCATTTGACCAGATAGAGATTCAACATCAACATTATTTAAATAAACAACATTACAAGCTAAAAATAAAATCATATATAATTATTTATATTTTTTCCTCGAAGAAAAATTTTACCAGCTCCTTTTTCAAGTAAATCTTTTACAGATAACTTTTTATTTGCATCATGTTGTTGTTGATTTGCCGACATTGTACGATATTCTTCAGTTATATCAGTAACTGGTAAAACTAATTTTGTTGGTAAAGCAAGTGGTGTTATCGAATGTTGATAGACTAACGCTGATAGATTAACTAAAATAGAGAGAGATTTTTATGTTTAATTATTCTGGTAATGTTCATAATAAAAAATATTCAATATAATAATAAAACATCAAGATTAACTTAAGGCAGGTTTTTATCATTGACAATTGTAAGATACTATTTTCGAGCTCAGATAGAGTTTATAGGTCACTGCCAATAGCTGAAAAAGTATGAATTTCTGTTTGAATGCTGAAACAGTAAAGTTTTTTTTATCGATTTTTAGTATTTACAATTATGTTTTAAAATTTTTCTAGGTATAATGTTTTTGAGAGTATTATTGAAAATATCTGCATATTAGTTTATATTTCAAGAATGCATTAGAAAACTTATATATCATTTAGAGTGGTAAATAGTTGTTAATTATAGTATAACTCTCGAGAAAGAAAAAAAGCACTATGCAATTAGTCTATGTAAAAATGTCATACGGTCTGTCCACGTAAAACGTGATTCCGACACGATTTGTTTGTTTTATTACGCATAACTGATTTAGTGTCTAGAATCAAATACATTTGCGACTTCTCATTCATTAAAAACTAGTATGACGAAGTTAATCTCTTTTTGTGAACAAACTGACATACATGTGACTCCTATTTTAAAATTCCATTTTTTCGCAATACTTTAAATCTCCTTTTCAGTTTTCTCTAACTAAAAAAATATTTTAACTACCAAAATCTGGTTCATTTTGACATCCTTTCAATCGAACATGTCCAGTTGGTGTTCGTTCAATAAGATAATGTCGAACAAGTTCAGCATTTGGATCAGCACCTAAAATTAAATTAATCATTCATTTCTTTCCCTACACATCTCTCTACTATCAAATAATATACCTTGTTTTGGTTGAATACCGAATGGTAATGTTTCAACTTTAACTGCAAGACCATAAGAACCAGGAAAACCTTGACTATCTCGAATAAGAAATGTTCCTGGTGGTTTTGCTTTAAGTAAATTGATTGCTATAAAAATAATGAAATTTAATCAAATGGTTAATTTGTTATAGCTAAACTTACCATCTTCACGTGACATTTTTTCTTTATACCAAAATTGACTAACATTATGTGCTTGATAAGCACCATTACGATGTACATCAGTTTCTAAAAACAACACAAAAAAAAAGATAAAGTCAATAATTTTTATCACGCGATGTATCAAGGTCAATATATCATTTTTTGATTAATTTTTGATGAAAGCAAGAAAATCTACATAGACTATGACATATTCTCACGAGATTAACAAGATGATAGAAGTTAAAAAAGAAAATTCTTTCAAGATTTATATATGACATTAAACTAATGATTTAATATTACTTTCCGGAAATAGTTACATGATGAAATTAAGAAGTTCATTTTAGTTTAAAAATAAATCATGAAAGATGATATTTTACCTGTAGCGGAAGATGCACTTGATCGTCTAGAAGTTTCTTCTTGATTTCGAGATGAACTAAAATAGAAATTTATATTAGAATATATAGAAATATGGATTTTCTTTACCTATTGCCTGAACGTGATTGATTATCTAAATATATATATAAAATTCTTTTCTTTTCTAAAATAAATATTAAATTAAAATACATACAAGACTGATTAGTGACTGGAAAAGTAGGTGTTGGTGGTGCTTTTGTATGTATTTGATTATCAATTCGGTCTTGATTAATGTTCGGTATCTATGAAAATCGATAGAATAAATATCTTTATATTTATTGATTTTGAAAACAAAAGAAAAGACTTCAATGATTTATTGAGGGTAACGATTAAGGGGAAACATGAATATATATGATTTCTTACAATATGTGTTGTAGTCGAAAATATTTGTGGTTTCGATATATTCGATACAGATGGTATCGTATTTTCATTAATTGTATATTGTGTTCGATTTGATTTTTGAATACTATTTTCAGCAGAAAATTTTCTTTTCAATTCTGGTGACGGTGGGATTTGTGGTCTATTATTACTTGGTGGATTCGATAAACCAACTGAACCTGGAAAAAGACTTGGTAATATTGATAAATCATTATGCATTGTTTCTAATTGGTGTCTAGCTTCTATTGTTGATGATGGGATTGTATTTATCGTCTAGATGATAAACGGAATGTGATTTTTAATTTTTTTGCTTTTTGCAATTATTTTTTCAAACATTCCATGCGAAATATTCATTCATTTACATGCGAGATGCAATCAAAGGGTGGGGAATAACAATAGAATATGTAGTTATTTTGTTCTAGTTTTCTTACCCTTTTTTGTTGAACTTTAGTTGCTGTTGCTACATGTTGTTCAGGTAAACGTGATATTGTTGCTGCTGAATCATGACTAAAAACAGGTATTGATGTTGAACGTAATTGATCTTGTGAACGATAACGTTGACTGTTATCAACAAATCTTTGTTGTTGTTGTTGTGATACAGGTCTTCCCATTGATTGTTTTCCAACCCATCCACTATCACCATATTGAATATCAATTGGTACTTGTCGACGATTATAATTTTGTTGTCTTATATTCATACCTGAATCAGTTTCATATCCTCCAATGTGTTCTGCTCGACTACGTAATGTATTTGTATTTGATTCATTAAGAAAAGAACTACCACGTAAATTTGTTGGTACAGTATTTAAATTTGATGATGAAACCATTCGATTATTAACAACTAATGTTTCTGGTATGGCTGCCATACGTGGTGGTAATGTACGTGTCATACGCAATCGACCACTACTAATTAAACCTGTATCAGTATCGTAACCATCTGGACGTAACATTGAACGATGACTTCCATTAGTACTACCTCCTGTATAACTTTCATGATGACGATCACGTACAAAATGCATCGGTTGTTGAGGATAATATGGATAATGCATAGGTCCTGGTCCATGAATTGGTGGTGGTGGTGGCCCAGGAGAAGGGCCTCCATAATATCTTGGACCATAACCACGAGCTGTTACAACGCCTGTATCAGTTTCATATCCTGAATAATCATGACCACGTACACGTAGACCACCTGATGGTAACGTTGAACGAGCATAAGGATAATATTCTGGTGGAGGATGTCCATCAAGATATGTACGTGAAGGTGAACGAACTAAATCCATACGACGCAATTCAATGGGTCCATCTGGTGGTGGTTCAGACGCTGCACGAAAATGTGTCGGAATGGCTGTAGTTGATGCCGAAGTAACTGTTGTTACATAACCATCTAATTAGGACGGAAAAGAAAACGTATCATCAATTTTGTTTTGTAAGAATAATTCTTAATCATAATTACCTCGATTATCTTGTCGACTATAAGGTCTCCTTGATGATAATGTACTTGTTGGACTATCAGTTCGAATTAATTTTATTGGAAATCGTCCTCGATTTGGATCCATCTAAATATATTTGATTATTAGTTTTGAAAAACATTCGTAATTTTTTTTTCCGCTCGGTACTAATAAACATATCAACATCAATAAAAACTGACAGTTTCCTTCTTTTGTTTTAAAAATTATATTTTTTCTTCTGTCTTTCATTTGATTATTATGCTTAACATGTTTGATGTTCTTTGTAATCTATCTTTACGTAATATCTTTTTGTCTTACTCTATTGTAGATAGATAGATAATCAATAGATCGCTTTAGTTTCCTTCAGATGCCTTTTCTGACATTGAGATTGAAGAATGACGAATGTTGCTATATCGATGTCCGTCTATTATTAGTAATCGATTTGAATCTTTCATTTTCTTTCTTTCTTTCTTTATCAAGATATGATGTTTTAATTAATCAAATTGAAATTTTAGGTTATTAAACAAAAAAGAACAAATGAAAAGTGTGATCTGTAATTATATAAATGGTTCATTTACTTACACGATGTATTGAGTCTGTATAAGCTGCACTTGAACTATATGTTCGACGATTATTTCCTGCATGTGGCTGATGAATTGGTATATCAGTTGTCCATGCTGTTCGCTGTGTTTGCTGTTGTTGTGAACGTTTTTTTAATGTATTTTGAACACTTTCTAATAATGAATCAATAAGTTGTTCATCAATAGATAATTGATCACGTGATGCTGATCTTTGAGCTGGTTTCGTAGTAGTTGTTGTTGTTGTCGTTGACGATGAACTTGTTACAGGTATATCTATACCACCAGTACCACCAGTAGTCGTAGTACTAGTACCACCACCGCCGCCGCCACCACCACGTCTTATACGTATACGTTCTTCACGTGTTATTTTCGAACGTTGTTCTTCACGTTGTACACCATTCGATGATAATGATGAACCATCAATTAGGCCGCTAACTGTATTAGCATCAAAATCATTACGTTTCTGATTATTTAATGTTGATGCTTGTGTATATGATGAAGCTCGCATAGATGATGGTAATTTTGAAGTTAAATTTTCATTATTATTAGTAGTAGTATTATTATCATTATTATTATTATTTGAACGACGATGATAAGAATATGAGGAAGATGATGTCGACGTTTTATTATTGTTATTGTTATTATTATTAGTAGTAGTAGTACTAGTACGATTATTTGTGTTTGTATCAATCGGACGATTTACTTCGATAAGTAAATCTTTAACAAGATCATCGAGTTGATCAACATCCGATTTTAATTTTGATGATTTTGGCAGAGACATGTTTTCGTTTGAACGATTAAATGAGACAGGCAGCGAAATGCCGCTGTCACTAATTTTACTGACACCGATGTTGCTGTTAGGTAAAGAAGAGACAGGAAGAGAAGGAGATATAACGGGCGTTGAAGAAGAAAAAGGAGACGACGACGATGAGGTACTAGTTATTTGTACAGGCAAACTAGTAGTCGCTTGGTTTGTTTGGTATGGAAAGGAAGAAGAAGGAGAAAGAGAAGAAGAAAAAGGAGTAGTTGTAATATTGGTAGTCGTTGTATTACTGGCGTTGTTAGAATGATTGACTTGCACGTTTTTGTACATAGCCTACAAGAGAAAGAGAAAAAAGAATCAAAGAATAACATTACTAATGTTCTGGTGCCACAGTACTATTCATAAGAGAGCGTGGAAGAACAAAAAAAAGAAAAGGAATGTTAAAAAAAGGAACGAGCGAACGAACGAACGAAAGAAAGAAAAGAAAGACCACTGTGTGTCTAGTGAAAGAAGACGGACAGTAAGAGTAGTTAGATCTATTTTTCTATCTTTCTGTAGTAGTACTACCCTTTCTGTTGTAACACTCGTTTCTTTTTTTCTTCCTCTTGTTCTTTCTCTTCTGTTGTAAATATGTATGTGCTTATATATTTTTACGTAACCCTTCCTCATCTCTCATCTTGGTATTGAGACGAGGGCGCCTGTCGTCCGTCCGTTGCCTCCACTATCGACTACTTAATGGCATCAACGACTTGCACTTTGTTCGTCCGTTCGCTATCATACTGCATTACTCTATCTAATATATGCCTACATACATATTGTGACGTGCAAAAGAGAAAGAAGAGCAAAAAAACCGCTATAATTTGCGTATCTCGACATATATGTGCAATAAATCGGCTTAGAAAATTTTCGTAAGATGAAAAAGTAAACAAAAGTATAAATGTACATATATTTTAGAATGAAAAGAATATTCATAAATGTATGATAATAATCTGCAGTAGAAAGGAGAAATTACTCAATTTCGTGAAAAAAAGAAATTTGATTCAAAATATTCTATTTGTGTGGAAAATATCTTTGACCTTTTGAAAAATTCTCTAATATCTATACAATTGCATCTATAATGATATAACAATATTAGTAAATGTGCTGAAAAGATATGTATTTAAATATATATATATAAATATATATATTAATATATTGTTGATAGTTTGATTTATACATACGTACCAATCAAACGATGATCAAGCCATCGTCGAGTGTTATACACATAAGTGCAGGTCAACTCTTAGGTTATTATGTCTTTGTCAACGAGTAGTGGTAGTTAACGTAGTAGCCGTCAAAATTCATTCATCTGAAAAAAGTCATAGTAGAAGAAATATATATAAAAAAAAGCAAATGAAGAAAAAGAGAAAGCAATCTATACAAGAGGACATTATAGACCAGAGACAACCATGAACAAAGAGAAAATGAAAAAGACTGATACAATATTACTTGATTAGAAGCGTAACATTTTTGTTCTGGTATTAACCACAGACAAAAGCCATTTGTGTACGAATAGTCTTAAATAGAATACTGTTGACTGAATACAAACCACAATAGGTTAGAGAGAAAAAGAAAGAATAAATCTAACAATAATCGATAAAACAATATATGACTGATATAAACCTTGATTATTGTTGAAAAGTCAAGAACTTTTTTTCGAAAAGTGTTTAATCTTTTTCTCGAAAGATTAGTTATCGAAAAAAAAGTGAATTAAACAAAAGAAAAAAAAACAACAATTAGCATACCTTGTCGATCTCCAGTAGTTGCTCATCAATCATATTTTTCACTCTATTTTTACTATAGTCTTTTTCTCTTTTGTCTATTCACGAGACATAACCTAATATAAATTCGTATGTACACGCGCTCTATACAGTGATCACCATCACGCGTGTTGTCTCATCTTTCGATCACGAATCGATTTCATCTTTCTCTCATTCTCTCATACATATAAATCCATATCAAACACACGACCGTCTACGGTGTTCAGTTGAGCAGTAAAGAACTCGTAGGAAAAAAAGTATATCGTGTGAGAGAACGATGAATGGCCCACTGCCAAGCAATATACATACACATACACCGCTTAACATTTTTTTTCTTCTCTCGCTCTGGCTCTTTCTATGTGAATATAAATGTATATATATATATATATATATGCGTGCAAGATGAACTCATTCGACGAGGGACAGAAAAAAAGAGTGCACCCTGACCGAGTTGCTCCCTCTCTCTCTCTCTCTCTTTCTACATTGTTGTTGTTGTTGATGATGATGATGATGATGAAAGAATGATGGCGATAGCAGTGGCCAAACAAAAAGAACAACTCAGTTAGCCTGATGCAAAATCAACAAAAAGACTTCTCCATTGTTTACATGTACGTTATGTCTTTTGAGAAGAAAGAATAGGCATTATACTAGTCCTTCATCAATGCATCAGCATAGTTAAAAACAGCAAGCAAAACAGATTCATAACAGGAGAAGTAAAGAATCTCATATAGTTCAAGGTTTATATATGTATATATATCTTTCATCTGAACATTGTTACGGTCAATCATTAACAATGAGGCTCTACTCTATGCACTTGTAAGAGATTAACGCTAAGGAACAGAGAAGTAGATATTATCAGTAAAATGCATATGTACAGATTTCGACATATCAACATTCAAGAGTAAAATAATGTTGATGACAATAATAACGAGACGAATCAATGATATATACATATACATATATATATGGTAAGTGTTCGATGAACATCAAAATGGACAGAGAAAAAATTTACTCATGATGAGCATCAGATAATTTAAATTTATTCATATATTGTTGATATTCGATTGACGACCTAAATTTCCTATCTATTTCTCCTTTTTTTTCATATTCTATCATCTATATAAATATCGTTTTCGTGCTATGTTCTCATCACCCTTTGGGCATGTTCAACACCACGACAACGAGAGACAAAAGGTCACATACATGATCAACTTGCGTAAGCATATGCGCGAGCATTCGTTGATCAAGGCAATATTGTTGTTTCAACAAGACAAGTCGACAAGGAGTGATTACTATTCAGTTGATTAGAAGGAGAATCAGAGCAATCTAATAACAATAATGATGATCCTCGGGCAGTATATATCCAGCTGAACAAATTTTTGCTTCACATTTATTGTAAGACGGGAGTGAAAGAAGACGAGAAAAAGGATTGCATACAAGATTTTTTTTTTCATACCAACAAGAAGAAGAAGCCGTCGACATGTCTGTTGATCGAATATCAAATGGCATTCATATGTAAATATGTATATATATATATACATATATATACATATATGTATGTATGTATACATATATACAAGAACATAGATCAAACGAAGGCAAAAAAAACTTTACAATAATCTAAAATAAAAACAATCACTGGTAAATAAAGAAAAATGGATGAGGATAGAATTTTTCAATTTTCGATTGCTTTTCTTTTTTTCTCTCTTTTTTATCGTTCGGATTATATTTTTAAAACTTCTTTTGTTAATTTATCATAATTCTTTGTTAAATCAATTATATCTTTATAAATCCAACTACACCCAGATTCTCGCAGTATTTTTTCATCAACACCACCACATAAAACACCAGCTATTCTTAATTTTGCTGCTACAGCAGCTAAAAATAACAAAGATAACCTTGAATTTTATTTGAAATACTAATGAATCTGTTTACCTTGTGCATCCCATGGTGTATCACCAACAACTATAACACGATCTGTCGATGGATTTTTTAATAATTTTAATGCAGCTAAGAATATATCTAAAGTGCCAAATAAACACAAAGTATAAAGTACTACAAAATAAATATTTTTTAATTCTACCAGGATAAGGTTTCGATCGTTTAACATCTTTCGAATTTGAACTTGTTTGAAAATCAACTAAATCACTTACATTAGCAATATTTTTATAAAGTTCTAATTCGTCAGTTTTTGCTGACGAAGCAAGTGCAATAGGAATATTTCGTTTTTTAATTAATTCAAATAATTCTCGAACACCAGGAAATGGTTTGACTTTTTCAAGATAAGTTTCTTCAAATACTTTTGCTTTTCTTGCTGAAATATCTTTACTATATTTTCTAATTTGTTCTTCAGTTGCAAACATAGGTAATAATTGATCAGCAGCTTTGCCGATTTGCATACGAACATCAGCTAAATTTGATTTAATATTATAATATTCTAATGCATCTTGCCATGATTTTGCATGATAATCAACTGTATCAATTAATGTACCATCAACATCAAAGATTACAGCATCTAATTCAGGTCGTTTAGTTGATAAATAACGAACTGATGAAGATAACTAAAGTAAATTGATTAAGATAAAATAAAAGTTTCAAACGAGAAAGTAAAAGAAACTACTTGAGGAAGAATGATTGATGATAGACGAGATCGAAGCATTTTTTCTTGATTTATGTTAAAAAGAAAAACTGTATGTAAATCAAATGATTCATACAAGAATTTTTATTGGATATTTTATTACCCAATTAAATAAACCTATTCGTTTTTTAATGAGTTTTTTATTGATTAAAATATTTCATATGATTACATAATTAAATAAAATTTATTCGATTAAAATATGTATAAGAATTTTTTCTATAAAATTATTTGTTATTCACTATACTCGTTACTAGGACACAGACTTTATTGAGGATTGCCAAATAACTCAATCACGAGATATGGTATGTGAAAAAAAAGAATAGAATGAGTTCTTTTTAATAATCCATCACAAATTTATACATTTCTTAAAAATCATAAAATTGATTAGAATTCTTCGTTTATTATGCATTATTCAATTCTTTAATATTTTAAATGAATAAACGACCTTTAGTTTCTCTAAATTCAATGAATTCAGCTGCAATGGCTAATCTTAATCGAATGACATTTTTAATGTCAATATCAGAAATAACACCACAAATATTTATATCGGGTAGATTTCTTATCATAATTTTATCTCATTTTAAGTATTTATTCTTCAGGTCAAATGGCAGCTACACTTGAACAAGTACATAAATTGGGTATAACTTATATTCTAGTAAGTAAACAATTCTTTTTTGTATTTGTAATATCTATTATTTTTTTTTATAAAGAACGTTGCTGTTGAATCATCAGCTATTGTTTATCCAAAACATGTTAAATTAGAAAAATTTGAAATAAGTGATTTTCCAACAACACCTATAAGTAATTATTTTCATACATTAACTGATAAAATGCATGCACATCTTAATGCTAATAAACAACATAAAGTGCTTGTTCATTGTATGGCTGGTATAAGTCGAAGTAAGATCAAATGATTTTTTTGTATATAAAAATGTTTTTCTTTTATATATAGGTACAACAATTGTTATTGCTTATTTAATGCGTTATTTGAATTTATCATTACGGGATGCATATTTACTATGTAAAAGACATCGGCCTATTTGTTTTCCAAATTTAGGTTTTTGGAATCAACTTATTTCATATGAATTTCAACTTAAAAGAGAAAATAGTGTAAAAAGTAAGTTTGATTGCTGTTTTTTTCTTTTCTAAGCGAATAGTTATTAGAATCTATTTATGAAAACATCATCAATTAGCTTAATTTTCATGTTTCATTAGATACGGAAATGCTTTGAGCTAATACGAAATGTCTATGCAGAAGTTCTATTTTTATATATGAACTCGCTGTTTTATTAATGATTTCCGGTTAGAAACTTTTGTTGTTTCTGTACCCAGAATTTTGATTTGACCTTAAGAAAAAAACAAATTATAAAACTGTAAGATGATGAACCAAAGTTCTTATTTAATGTTTTCAACGTGACTTATTAAGGGAACTTATAGGTCCTCTCTCAATGGCACGTTTGAAAATATTATATTTGTTTTGTAATAACAGGAAAAAGATTTTTTTTAATTTATATATTTGAATAAAAAACAAAATTCCGATAAATGAGAAATCATGTCTCAATTTAATTTTATATTTTCTTGTAGTAAATTAAACTTCTCCTATTTTCTAGTGGTTTCAACTCAATTTGGATATATTCCTGATGTTGCCTATGAAGAAATTAAAAAAATGTATGATGAAGATGAACAACGGCAACAAAATCCACCACAACCAGCGTCTTTACCATTTTTTGCTCCATCTTTTACTTCAAATACTAGAACTCCTAGTATTAATGCGCCTTCAAGTAATAATTCATTATATTTATCATCCAATCATACAAGACCAGTTGTTCGTGATCCACCTCCAAGTAATGCTATTAATACAATACGATCTCGTTCATTAGCTGCTAATGCAGCAAATCGAGCATCAGTCGTAGCTGCTTCAACAAATGTTAGTAATCCGGCTTATCAAACACCATTATTTGCAACAAATAAACAAACATTTACATCTCCAACACGATATGGTTCAAATCCATCACCACCACCACCACCAGTCAATAATTCCTTTCCATTAGGACCGACTTCATCAACAGTTTCGTATGCTAATAGTCGAAGTCTCCCAATAAGTACATCACCAAATGTAAGAGTTCGTACAAATTACCATCAACCACAAGCAAATAATGCGAGTAACATACCAAATCCATCATTAATGATAAAAAGTAGTGATCAACAACGTTCCAATTATGAAACAACCTATCGAGCGAGTTTCATTAAACCTTTAATTCCTTGATAATAACGAAGAAAAAAAGAAAATTGTTTTTTTTCGAAATTTTAATTATTAATATTTTAATGATTTAATCAGAGTATAAAAGAATGATATACGCCTATTTTAAACTGATATATACATATTATATTATATTTCTATTTTGCCTTTTCAACCTTTCTCGGCGTTCAGATTTATATCTTTTTTTTCCGTTTATTTTTTCTTCTCTGAATTGTTAATGTCGTATATGTATTAATCTCGGTGTGCATGTCGAAAGACAATTAAAAGAGAATAATAATAATAATAATAATAAATAACAGTTTTATTTTTATTTTAGAATAATAGTGCGTGTGAGTGTATATGTAGTTGTAAATTTGACAAATTAAAAGCAATGTTGGGTATTACCGAAGTTATCGATAATTTATATATATCTGGCCTTGAATCTCGACAAGCGATATTAAATAAAGGTATTCGTTGTGTTTTTAATATATCATCAGAATGTCCAATACAAGATCTGGGACCATCAGTTGAATATGAAAAAGTAAGCATACAAGATCTACCAACAACATCGATACAACCTTATTTTGATCGAATAACTGATCGTATACATCAAAATATTCAACAAGGAAAAAAAACTCTTGTTCATTGTTATGTTGGTCGATCAAGATCGGCAAGTATTATTTTGGGTAAGAAAATCTTTCTAAACTTAAATCAGCTTAAAATTGTAATTTATTATTCATTGATATGGGTATTTATAAAACCTATTCAATAACGATTCAATCTGTTAATTGAGTTTTACTGATTCTATTTTCTGTTATTAATAATATTTCATTATATTTATTTTTGTAGCTTATTTAATGAAATATCAACAAATGTCATTACGTGAAGCATTTTATTATTTACGTTCTCGTCGACATATTATTGGTCCAAATTTTGGTTTTATTAAACAAGTAATTATTAATTAATATATCTCTATAAAATATTTAATCGTTTATTTATTATCTTCTTTAGTTAATTTCTTATGAAAGATCTTTAACCGGTTATACAACTGTTTCATTTGTTAATACATCATTTGGTGCCGTGCCAGATATATATTTAACAACATCAGCATCATCATCACGCCCACGTCGACCAATGCCATCAACAACAACAGTACCAGTTCAAACAACAACTACTAATAATACTATAAGTAGATCAAGATCATCAACAAAACCAGCACTTAGTTTCTCACCAGTACGTTCAACATTTTCATATTCATCATCACCATCATTAGTAGTACCACCACGTCAAGGTTCATATGTCAATCGTACAGCAACAAGCGCATTACCAGGTCGATCCATAGCTGAGCCGAACAATTCCAATATATACACTCATGGTGCTAGTAGCAATAGTACTAATTATCGTCCGGTTACGACGTCGTCTTCCATATATCAAACACCAAGTAGTTATAATCATCTAAATTCTTCAACAATACGACAACAACCTGATTTATCTCGTATGTATTCTGCATCAAGAAAACCATTCGAATTAACTCGTGAATACTCAATTCCACCGAAAACAAATGATACATTTCGAACAGTCAAATATGTTCCATCAGCTTATAATCGTTATCATCTCCCATAAACACAGAATAACTAAGAGAATATATATTCCATTTTATTTTTCTTTTTTCTTTTTGCCAGATAATTATGCTATACTTTATTATTTTCATTTATTCCAAAACACACAGAAAAAAAACATGCTTCGTCTTTCTTTATTTGACACATAATCTTCTATCACACTTGTTTGTTTTTAATACTCGGGATGATTTTGTATCAAACACGTTTATCTTTGTTGACATCCGGTGCGTGCTTTTCGGTATGTTTTTTTGTTTTCTTTTTGCTTTTTTTGCTTCAAAAAATAATGTTAATCTATTGAGAATGCTATCTATTGTGCCAAAATTCGATTTTATCTTATTTTTTTGTTTGTTTGTTTTTGTTTTCATTACTCGAAGAATTATTTTATTTTGATCTCATTTGAAATAAATTATCAAATTATAAAAGATATATTTTTAAATGTTTACCAAGGTGAAAAAAAAACATGTTTGCACTATACTCAGCAGATGTCCTGTTTGTTATCATTATCATTGTACTGTGTGATCATACTTAAGTGCCTTCAAATAAAAGATACATCAAGCTGCTGACGATGATTCATCGCTTGTACTTTTTTTTCCTACGTTTACGATACTGTCGTCATATTTTTTTTTGTGCTTGAATCGTGTATTTAGTCATATTATTTATGAAATGGTTGAATACGCCTCGCGATAACTGCGCAGTCATGTTAATATTATATTTATCTTATATTTCACAGATGAAAATATTAAAATATGGCTGACGATAAGCCAAACGAACTTTCATCACAATGGCCTATATTACTGGAGGCACGGGTGCAGTTATTGTCAGGTACATTAAACAGGGTAAGTTGACTTTAGATAGCATGTATGTATACATCAGTCGTTAGCTATCGTTTCTTTTTCGTAATTATAAAGAGATGTCAAAGTCCACAAGAAAACGAAAAAAACTAAAAACAAATAATACTGATATCATTATTGCATGCACTTTCTGACGTAGATTTTTCTTCTTGATATCGAATATAAAATACGCATTAAACTATTTAAAAAAAAGAAAATAGACAACTTTTACCTGGAGTTCTTTCTTTATAGCTTTCATTTTTGCGTCGACAAAAAACTGAAACATCGTCATCATCATCATCATTATCTTCTTTACTTAAAAGAATAAACTCAACTATGCAAAATTGTTTATCAACATGTGATCCTGAAATATATGCTGAGAAATCAACATCTCAAAAAAATTCTGAACCTTGTCCACACTGTTTTGAATCACCTAATTCTACTGTGAAGATTGAAGTATTTAATACTACGCGTGGACGACTAAGTAGTGAACCACTTAGTGTACCACTTAGTGTACCTCATAGTTCATTACAATCACAGCGTCAATCAGATTCATCTGATTATGCATCAATGTTTGGTAATGGACTTTCACCATCGACCGATTATTGGGCTGTAGGTTAGTTTTATCTTTCTTTTTTTTTAAATATCGATCTTTACTAATTATCTTTTCATATAGGTTTAAATGATTTATCATCATCCTCATCATTAACAATTGATGACAGTTTGAATGATCAAGAACAATCAATATGTGATATTACTTCAACAATGGATGGCTATAGTGAACAACAAAGTGACGAAGAAGATATCGATGCTGATGATTTCGAAGTACTTTCATTTAGAGCACCACCAGAGAGTACACTTTACATCAAAGGTATTTTTCTACTTCCTCATGTTTTACTAGATAACATCTATGAATCAGTAAAAATTACATAATTCTTCTATAAATTTCTATTTAGAATTTACACATACAACACCAATTAGTCAGAATAATGTCTGTGGATGTTGTAATATTCCATTTTCATCAATATCAAATTCACAACCACGTCGTTGTCATTATTTTGGTAAATTATATTGTGATCGATGTCATGTTATAGATTATGCACCTATACCAGCAAAAATCATAGAAACATTTGATAAACGTTCTTATCCTGTATGTCGTCGAGCAAAATATATTCTACAATCAAATTTATATCAACCAATAATTGATATACAACATGATAATGAAAATTTATATACATCACAATCTATATTATCTGATTTAAAAGCTGCTCGTTTACAATTTCAACATTTACATGCTTATTTATCTACATGTCCACGTATTGAAAATGAATTCAATGAAAAATTTCTTAAAGATTTTTTTGCACGAGAATATCTTTATCAAAGTGTTCATTCATATTCATTAGGTGATTTTTCATCATTAAAGGAAATTCTTGATATATTAAAGCATGCAATTATACATGCAAAACAACATATCAGTCAATGTATATTATGTCGAGAAAAAGGTTTTACATGTGAAATATGTAAAAAACGATCAGATGTATTATATCCATTTGATGATTCAAAAACAATTGGACGATGTAACCAATGTTCAAACATTTATCATAAACAATGTTGGGATAATATTGAGCATGATTGTCCAAAATGTTATCGTTTAATACAAAGAAAATATGAACAAAATAAAGAATAAATATTGTTTTATACGAATTTGTTTTTTTTGAATCTCATTTGTTTCATTTTGATTGTTATTAATTATATACAGAGAAGACAGTTTATGTATATAAGTCTTTGATTTTTATAGATATATTCTAAATCATTGTATAAATTGAATTTTTCTACATAAAATCAGAAATAAATATAAATGTACTAGTTAACTATTCAATGTTTTATAGAGAACTATTAACAAGCATAGAATATATACATTAGCTTTCAATTTCAATTGAAATTATATCGATATGATTTCCATAAGAATTAAACAATAAACTTTGAAGTAATTACTGATAGTGACTTCTCGTTTCGTCTAAAAAAGGGAGGAGCTGAGGGCATATTCTTCAAAGCATTTCAAAAGGTGTGACTTTTCGCCGAAACGAGAACTAGCCATTACTCATATACCATTCTATCAGCCATATAAAATGTTTTAACTGATATTTTAGAAATAATAATTTTTATTTTTATATTAAACCTTTCCGGGCGGATATTGCCAAATATCAAAATTTTGCCGTAGGAGGGTACGGCATTTTTCGAATAGCCAGCCGGAAAGAATTAATAACCAAAGCTGAATTATTTAAATTTCTATAAATCTCTTAAACATCATATATACTCTTAAATGCTTCTTTTTCTTAATAAATTATAGCATTACAAAAAAATTCATAGTATTAGAGATGAATGGTCAGCAACATTCTATTACATTATCGATTGCAGTAGTTTACGGAATTATTTTTATTTGCTGATGGTTAGAAACAAATTTAATAGTACAAATTAATACGAAGGAATAGTATTATGTCAAGCTGACCATATAAAAATAACTCGTATCTTTTCTTGATAATAATTATTTTATCTTCAGTTAAGTTATAATCATCTTCTCTCGAAATAATTATCTATTTTGAAATTTTCATAATCAAACGATAAGCATTACATGGCAACTTCATCATAATAAATATTTGATTTTCATTCTATTTCGAAATACGAATATATTTATACATACACAACAATAAAAAAACAAACTTTTTCTGTTACGAAATGACTATATAATTTTAAAAGAAAAATTAAATACACATAATGACTTTTTATGTTGAACTATTTGGATTACAAAATATTGAATGAATATCAGCGTCCATTATTTGACACATTTGACTACAATATCTAAATAAAATATATATTATATTTTTATTTCATATATTTATTTCTTTTTTACTTTATTTTCTTGCATTTAAGACAAATAAACTGTTCATTCGATGAATTTATTAATAATTGTGTACATGCTGCATTATGACATTCATATAAATCTGATTGATTTAATATTGAATTATGATAATCAACTTCATCCATATCAATTGGTAAATTTGAAATAATATTCCAATAAAAACTTGATTGAGAAGAAGATTTTAATGGTAGATAAATCATATTATTCGATATTAATAATAAATTTTCTAGACGATTATCCATTGTTATTCCATTTCGATGATAAATTGTATAATTATCTGGAATTGTATATTGATAAAAATATTCCCTAGAAGAAAAAAAAACAAATTCATAATTCAATAGGCTAGAATTTATTTTTTACCAAATTAAATTATGTAATAGAATATCTTCTAATCCATCATTTGCAATAACAATCAATTGATTATCAATATATTTTATCTATAATTTAATACAAAAAAATATTTTAACAAAATGTAATTTTTTCGGTTACTTTTAATTTGAATATTTTCAATAGAGGAATAAAAAATGTATCGAAAAGACAATATTTAATCTAAATGTAAAGAAATTTTAAATAAGAAAGAAATAAAATAGAATCCTACTTTGCCAGCAAATGATCCTAATTTAATAATACTTGGAGTATTGAAGGTAATTTCATCCATTTTTATATTATTTTTCTTTTTTACTGATATATGTATAGGCAGATGTTTGGCACCATCGGGTTTAATCATCGAATACGAGAAAGAGAAGAAAAAAAAACGAGTCGCTTAATGCCGTAGATAGGAGAGGTCATTTCTTCTTCACAATTTTTTTTTCTTCTCTTTCTGTCGAATGTTTAAAAAAAATGCTGAGTGAAGGTCAAACAGATGTGTTTGATGTTCTTATCATAACCTATAACGAACGATCTCAGACAACTTTTTTTTTCTTCTCATATCAATCAATTGTATAGACAATCTAAATATAGAAATATCCAATGAGATATTATTGAAAGAAAACTTAGATAAGAATGAATAAAATATTGTTGATACGTTTCGAATATTTACATTACATAGTAGACGGTGTTTTTTTATGTGGTAATTTAGATCATAATCATTGAATATATTCAACTTACAATTTTGAGTGTAAGAGTATGGTTTATCGTAAATGAAATGATAATATTGAATGAAGATAATTTCTGTTTGATTTGATTAGTTGTTTCGAAAAGAAGAGTTACTTTTTTTTATCTCGCTTAGTTATACTAGAGAATAGCATATTTGATATAATAGTAGAAGTAAAATTTGTACATCTTCGGACTACCAAAAACTGTGAAATTTAAGACTGATAGTAATTTTTTTATAGATGCGAAATGGTTATGATATACCGGTACAATATTTTCTCGATATTACATGCTTGAATTCTAATTCATGTCTGATGAATAATAGATTTTTGATGCTTAAAAGTTATTAGCAATGATACTAAAGAGGTGGATGATTTTCGAAATATGGCACGTCATTAAACGTGTTTTATTAAAACCAATAAAATGTACTCGAGAACTAATATCTACGATGTATCTAAAGAAAAATCTTAATCATTAGTATACAATATCATTAGAAATGAATAAAACAATCGTTATATTTCATAAAAGTACATTGCTATCTAAGCTATGCTTATAAAAATACGAAAAACATTTAAAAATAGTACATAATTATCTGTTTACGAATATTCATCAATAACACAGTGTTTTCTGCAAGTTTTGTTTTTCGAGTGTGCGAATCGAAATGTTGGATGGGTAACATCAAAATTCTGTATGGTCGTCGCCCAGTAATACTTTGTCCTACGTTGCGCTTTTCAGGTGAGCGAGTCGACATATCCGACGGACGACGCCCGTTAGATGAAGTACTAATAACAAAAACTATTATTATCTTTTTTAATTATTAAAAAAATGTTCATAAAATGAAATTTAATAGACATTGTTATTGCGTTAATAGATATTTGATATATCTTGAATGAATTACTCTCAACATATTCTGTTTAATAACTAACTTATATATATACCGATATTACTTGCGATCACATGCATATTACTAATTTAAATACAAATATCAATAACAAATAAAAATACGCCCACTTATGATATATACAAAAAGAATCGATTACAAATTGAATACAACTTCAGTAAGTTAAATCAATTCTCGAGTGTACTATTCGCTAATTTTTATTGTGAATATAAAAAACGGAAATCTATTTTAATTTTTCTTATTCAAATAAATAAAAAAATATACAAATATACAAATATATACATAGATATATATACCAACAAAACATTAGCTTGTACCTGAATATATATGTATATTCAATACAGGTGTATATAACAAGTCGCATGCATAAAAAGGCCATGCTTGATTTATTGCATATAATAGTTTTCTGTTTTTTTACCATTATCAAAGAGAGAAAAAAATATAACGTACGTAAAAGAAATCTACCAATCAAATACCTAAATATTAAGGGTAAATATGCAACAGTCACCGGATGTACAACATGATTCTGAAGGTAGTGAAATAAAACCTGCAAATGAAAATAATGATGATATTCAAGCACCACCGCCATCATATCCAAGTGTTATTCATAAATTAGAACAATATACATCTCAAAATCATGATCATCTTCCACCACCAAATTATTACGATGTAAATAATCCATCTGTTGTTTATATTAATAACTATCCCGGGCCACCATTAACAGACGGTACGGTACAAATCGTATCTTCATATCCTGTGCCACAACCTGATGGAGTTACCATGAGAAATTTTTTATCAACAAGAATGCGAATTTTTTTAACTATTAACGGTATAATTACGATACTCTTTGGTATTGCTACGATTGGAATACAAGTTGGATTGTTAGTATCACATTCAATTGTTTATTATTATTATGGTTTTTGGGCTGGTATTCTTATTATTAGTATTGGTATAGGCACAATTGTATTCAATAATCGTTATCGTACATATGATTTAGCAAAATATTTTCGCTCATCTCTATGGCAAATTGTATTTATTGCTGTTGTTTTTGGTTTTGGCATTATTATTATATTAACAGATACATGTGATAAAAAAGATACCGACGATGAGGGTGATGACGACACATGTAAAACGTCATATAAAGTTCTTAATGGCTTATTAATAGCTATTATTGCTTTAACATTTTTACAATCTATTATAAATACATGTATTATTGCATTTCTTAAAAGACGATATTATACAAGCCCGAATACAACTTCTTGAAAACAAATATTAAGATGGCTTTTTTTTCTAATGTTTTATATATATAAATATACCGATTATATATTGAAAAATATTGTAATGTCAACTTCCAGAAAAAAGGCATAAAGAAGATTAGTCTTGTTTGCTTGTATACAATAGATTCCTAAATTTTATGACTATAAAAATATAAAAAGAAAGGTATTCATTGAATACACTAATAAATTCTTGTATAATTAACTTATTAGTTGTTTTTGGGTGAATCATCGTTTGTGAAAACTTTTCTTTTTATTAAGCAAATATTTTTTATCAAGTTTGTTTATCTTTCGGTGACAGTTAAGTACGCAATCGGGGTCGAATGTTTTGCGATCGATAGTATTATATAATCTTATTTCGAGAAAGATCTATTCTTAGGTATATCATAATGCGTCATGTTCAAAATATCTATATATAAAACTGACAAATGATTTGCGTTGTTATTCGTATAAATTTAAAATAATAAATCAAGAGATTTTGTTAAAACACATTAAACTGCAGATGCGAAGTTTGACGATAATTAAGTGTACGTACACACCGGCAATAAAATAACTGGTAGTTATTTTCAAATACGAATCAATAATTCTATCAGGAGAAGATTATGTGTACAAGAAACAACTTTCGAAACTTATAGAAGATTTATTCATTCAGTAATTTTCTTGGTGTATATACTCTGTAAGATTTTGTATATATACATAATAATGATATAGTCTGTTGCTTCGTTTCCGGTTCATCAAGTAAAATGTTCAAAAACTGTATCTCAATCCTTGATTCAAATGAATGATTTGGTAGTAAATTCCAAAGAATATTTGCTTTTTTCCTTAGTTCATTAATAAATATTTGCTTTAAATATAAAATTCCAGTGTACTATTTCCTTGAAAAACTTCAAAAAAAATTTAATTTACTTTTCTACTTCTATCTTATTGTCTTTAAAGAACATATAATTAATCATGACATACTATTTCCTTTACTTTCTTATTTTTGTATTTCTTTCCAGTTTCTTTTTTACACTGTTATTTGTCTTTCTATATTCAACATCGTTCATTTTTTTTACTTTCTCTTTTTTTAAATATATCGTCTTCTTTTACAGTTGCTAATAAACATTTCCCCATTCTTTACTCTTTTAAATATTCATATTCAAACAAAAAAATGTCTGAAGAATCGTAAGTCATCTAGTTTTATCTTAAATTTTCTTTGAAATATTTTCTTCTGTATTAGTATTAAAGTTGCTGTACGTGTACGTCCATTTAATCAACGGTAAAATTATACTTTAACTTTTGAAGTAATCATTTTCTTTGAAATTATATAGGGAAAAAGATCGGAATGCAAAACTTATCATTAAAATGCATGGACAATCAACATTTATTAGTGATCCAAAATTATCACGTAAGTTTTTCTTATTTATAAATTAAATTAACTTCTTTTCTCATTTCTTTTCTAGAAGACGAAGCAAAACAAGTAAGTTTTTTTGAAATAACATAAATTTAAAAAAATTAACTCTTCTCTCTAACAATAAATTATAGTTTTCATTTGATCATTCATATTGGTAAGTTGAAAAAATTTATAAAATCTTATAAAACTGAAAATTTGATTTCAGGTCTCATGATGGTTTTACAGAACTTCCTACAGGAATATTGGAACCTAGTAGTTCTTCATCACCATATGCTTCGCAACAAAAAGTTTTTGATGATCTTGGACGTGATGTTATAAAAAATGCATTTGACGGTACAAAAAAAGAAGTTTGACATAATATCCTGGCATATTTTATTTTTGTTTAGGTTTTAATTGTTCATTATTTGCATATGGTCAAACAGGTTCCGGAAAAAGTTATTCAATGATTGGCTATGGTGCTAATCGGTAACAAATAATATTCTTGTTTTGTTGTATATTAATATCTATTTTCTTCCAGTGGAATCATTCCAATTGCATGCGATGAATTATTTCAGCAAATAGAAAAAACAAAAAACTCATCGACTGTAAGTACTTATTGTTACAAATTTAAATTAATAATTGCATGAGATTATTTTAAACGTACTTTTCTACGTTATTTTTACTTTTATTTAAATAGCCTTATAGCGGCTTAGTTAATATACGGAGCAGTTAATTACTATTCAAAGTCTTAGCGTACGATGAAAATAGATTATCAATTAATAATTATTTTAAAAGATTTTAAAGTACATTCGCAGGGATATACATAGTACACTAATATTTTATTATTGATTTTTTAAAACATTCGAGGGATAGCAAAATCAAGGATATGTCATGCTCTTCAGACCTGTCATATTAATTTGGTACTTATAAATTTATAATTGTCAAAATTTTCAACTATTTCAAGCATTAACTGTTTTTTTGATCTTTTTTGAATAATAAAATAGGTCAAAGAATTTTCTCCTGTCATATCTTATTATTTTTAGCGTTATGAAGTTGGTGTATCTATGATGGAAATATACAATGAACAAGTTCGAGATTTATTAACTCAAGATTTTCCTAAAGGAGGTAGACATCCTCAATACATATTCTATAGAAATATTTTAATAATAAAACTATTATAGGGCTTAGTATTCGACAACATCCGACATCAGGTTATTTCTATCCGCAAGGTCTTCGAGTTGTACCTGTAGGTAGTTATACTGATATTGAACATCGTATTTCTGAAGGTACACAAAATCGAACGATAGCTGCAACAAATATGAATGCAACAAGTAGTCGTGCACATACATTGGTTACAATATATTTCGATCAATTCATTAAAGATGTACATGGTGATACAAAAAAGACAAGTGTTATTAATCTTGTTGATTTAGCTGGTAAAAGTTTTTTTTTAAAACTATGATAAACTATTATAAAATATTTATTTAAGGTTCGGAAAGAAATTCTAGTACAGGAGCAACTGGAGATAGATTAAAAGAAAGTACAAATATTAATAAATCATTATCAACATTAGGAAATGTTATATCAGCATTAGCTGATATATCATCAGGAACAAAACGAAAAATTGTTGTACCTTATCGAGAATCCGTATTAACAAAATTACTTCAAAATGCACTAGGTGGCAATAGCAAAACGGTTATGATAGCTGCTTTATCACCAGCGGATGTTAACTTTGATGAAACATTAGGTACATTACGTTTTGCTGATCGTGTTAAACGTATTAAAAATACAGTCGTTGTTAATGAAAATCCAATGGAAAAATTAGTTCGTGAATTAAAAGTATAATAGATAAATATGGGGAAGTAAAAAAAAACATTTTAATGAGAGTTTCTTTTATTTTATAGGAAGAAAATGATCGATTAAAATTATTGATTGATACAGGAAAATATAATCTACAATTAGAAATTCAACCTGGTATGACAAATCAAGATATTGAATTAATGAGAAAAGAGATGGAAGAAGAAATTCGTTCACAAATACAAGCGAATCAACAGATTTTACAAAATTCGAAGACATCCTGGGATCTAAAGGTAACCTACGTTTATTGTAAATTATAAAAAAAATAGATATACTCGAAAACATTATTAACTAAAATAAGTAACTCAAAAGTGGATTTAGGAAAATGTAGAGAGTACGATCGCGCTCCCATTTAAAACTAATTTTTACTTAAAATTTTATAGTCTGATCATCTATCCTCTTTCTTTGCTGAACGATATTCTCTTTAAAATGTCCTGTGTCCGTCACTAAAAGAAGTTCTACTGCATTTCAACTGAGAAAATTAGTGCGGTAATATCCTTCTTTCCAATTAGGAGTTCATTTGATTATAGATCGTAGATTTCGATGGATAAAAAAGAAAAATATGAGTAGGAAACATGTAAAATTACCAATTTAATTAACGTTTCACTGTCTTCCTTCTTTGCTTAAAGATAATTATAGTTAATGAAAAAGAAGAGTTAATCAGTGTAATCAAGATAGGTGAGCAGGTGTATCCCGGGAATCTCAATGAAAACACGTGCCTTTGTCAGGTGAAGTACACTTACTTCAAGTATAAAACACTTAGCGTCTACAGCTGTTTTTCTAAAAAAAACAGTCAAAACAAATTTTAAAATATCTACGTCTGTGTCTCTAACGGAGCAAATTGCCAAATATATAAATAATATTGTTAACATTTACCATATCAGTGTTGAAAACAATGTAATATAATATATCGGTAATTGTGAAAGGTTATCACATACTTTGTTCTGAATCAAACACGGTCTACTCATAGATCAAAAAGACACATAATTACCGGAAAGTAAAAGAGATAATGATTACAGAAACCTAGAGAAGAAAACATATACATATAATCGATACATGAGATCTGGGATAGTGTAATGAAAACATAGAGAACACATAAATTGAACTCTTTATTAATTATTCTTTTAGCTTAAACAAGCTCAATCAAATGATAAACAATCTTCGATTCCATTAGACAAAAAGATTCCATGTCTTGCTAATTTAAATGAAGATCCCATGTTATCTTATGTTATTTGCCATTGTTTAAATACAGATGAAATTACAATTGGTAATCGAAATTCAAAAATATGTTTTAATGGTTTAAATATCCTTGAACATCATGCTATTATTCGACGTGTAAATTCGACTAGTCATGAATTAATTCCAGGTGAATCTGGTTCGAAAATAAAAGTCAATGGATATAATTTAAATGGGTAAAATAAATTAGATTTGAATAAAATGAATCTTATGTATATATGATTTCTAGAGCAACAAAACTTCAACATAAAGATCGTATTTTATTTGGTGCAAGTCATGTTTATGTATATTTAAATGTACTAAATGAAAAAGAATCATCAGAAGATTTACCAGCTGTAATAACATGGGAATTTGCGCAAAAAGAAATAGCTAAAGCAAAAGGCTATTCATTAGGAAATAATTTAACTGTTGAACAAGAAGAAATTCAAGAAAAGATTCTAAGTTTATTACCATTATTATCAGAAATAAATGCAATAAGTGAAGAACTTAATAAATATCGTGTATTTGAAACTGTTCTTATGCCAATTTCATCATGGGTTGGTGTAGTAGTCAAAGGATCCAAGTAGAAATATAAATTATTCTTCATTCAATATAAATATTCTTCATTTGTCTTCTTTTTTTTTATAAAGGATAATGATTAAAATGAAAAATCTACTTAATCAAAATGTTTGGTATTGGGATGATGTGAAATTTGTTAATCGAAGTTTTATTATTAAAGTAAAAATAAATGAATTTCTTTTTCGTTGAATATTAATGATATTTTTAGGAACATTATCAAAAATTTTTAGATGGAGACGAAGAAATTTTATATATCGCGAAAGAAGATGATCCGTAAGAAATTATTAGTAAATATAGCGACGAAAAAAACGTTTTTTTGTCTTTGTAGATTTTGGGAACCTGTTGAAGATCTTTTACTTGGTACCGCTAATGTATTTCTTCAAAGCTTAGCTTATTCACTTGATTTTGCTGATGAGATTTGTATCGTAGATTATAAGGTAAGTATTTACTAAACGATTTTAATATTTCTGTTAGGATAATATTCGAGATTTTGAATCCTATAAGTACTCGTACAATTTTCAATGTTCTTGAAAAGAAAGCATTTTATTTAGATTGACACCCTTGCAAAACAATTTATTGAGAAGTTCATTGAAATAAAATTGCGTGATGGTTACTGATGTAGAAATTTCATTTATTTTACGTCGCTTTGACTATTAATGTTCTTAATTTAGAAGATTGTTTCCTCGCTGACCTACATTTTCTCATAGGCATACTTCTTAAATTAAACATTAGTTATATTAGTAATTGCTCACCTGACATGATTAACGTTATTGTAATGTGCCTTTTCATTTTACTCTATAAAAACGACTAGAAAAATTTTTTTTTGAAACAATATAAATATTTAATTTTAAAATTTGAAGGGTTTGGAACAAGGTCGTTTAAGTATTAATCTTTGTCCATGTTCACCGAATGGTAAAGTATTAAATGAAGAACATTTTGTTGAGCAACCTGAAGAACTTCTTGATAAATCATATAGTTTTAAAGTAAATATTTATCTTACATTAAAATATGAAATAAAAGATAAATAAATCAAATTTTTAGATATTTATGCGTTTTATTGAAATAAATGATGAACGTTATAATAAAGGTCTACGAATACGTTACAAAGTTTTCAATGAATTAGAATTCAGTGAAACAAATGTTATTTGTCGTCATACCGTATGTGCTAATATCAAACAATCACGCATTATTACAATACCAAATGTTGATAATGTAAAAATCAACAATATAATTTATCGTTATTATTAAAATTGTTTTGTTTTATAGAATTGGTTAGATTTTTTTGAAAATGGTTGTATTATATTTCAAGTACTTGCTGTACAAGAAGAAAGTAAACCAGATACTGGTTTATTGAAAATGACAACTCGAGTAATATTATAAAATATAAAATATTTATTTTTGATATTAAATTGATTTTAGGATTTAAAAAAAATTGAACAAAAACAAGATAATACAAATTTATTACCAGTTAATCATTCAAATTCAACTTTACCCGGTGATTCAAAATTAAAATCAGAATTAACACTTCTTCATCGAAAATATACTCGTCTCGAACAAAAAGAAAAACGTATTCAAGTAATATAGAAAAAGAAATTGTTTTTTTCTTAAACAAAACAAAAAATTTTATTATTTTATTAGCAATTATGTCGTGAATGGGAAACTAGTCATGATTATCACAAATTTTATAAGACACTTTCAGCTATTGCCTTTAGTTCAGGAACAAAATTAAAAACAACAACAGCAGCTGTAAGTTGATTGATTATTAATAGATAGATTTGATGTATACGCCTCCGAGGAATATGCTTTTGCTTCTATGATATAACGCTTTAATCATAGATATCGAGTGGTATGCGATTACTTCAATCTGTGCATGCGGTATTCTTTCTGTTTTGTTAAAAATTTTATTCTAGAAAATCAATTCACATTTATCATATAATAGTATGCACATTTTGTTATATTTTCTAATACACATGCACATTAGAAAAATGAACAATCGGGGAAATACTTTTCTATCTTAGGCAAATAAAGAGCATACGTTGGATATTTATATATTTGGATATGAGGAACAAAATTATATTAAAGATATGGAACAAGCAAATGTTGATAAACAAAAATATGTACGTATTTCTTTCAATACTAGATATATTAACGCTTCTGTTGGAGATATCAATTCTTTTCTTTCGACAAAATATTGACATGCGTCATAAATGAAAATAGAGTTAGTTAGATAGAAAAAATCTAAATCTAATTTTCTCCCCAAAAAGATGAGATTATTCTGTATTATACAATACGAAAATTAATGATATTTATCGTCTCAATAGAAATAATTACAGTTAATAGTATGTCTGACGTATCGCCGGTGGTGATAGAAACACGACTCTAGAAAAATAAAATATACGGAATTAGTTTTAGCAGCTTATGTTGGTCTCTCTCTCTCTCTCTCTCTCTCTCTCTATAAATGCACTGTCAAGGGACAGTTCGATCTTGTTTTCGCGTAAAAATACACTCTGAAAATTTTATTGAGTGTTGATAGTATCTGACAGTGAATACACAAGACACTTTCAGTAATGGTTGGTGATGACATCAATTATCATTATTTAAAAAATGAGAGATATTCGTTATCTATCTGATCGGATTAGAAAGATTAGTATTAACTTTATCATTTTACTCTACGACCATGTTTCCTATCTAATATTTATCTCTAAAATAAATAAATAGATATCTAATAGCAAATTGTATAAGAATATTGAAAAATAAAGTTTCGTATTTATTTCTATAGTGGGATGAACATTATCGAAAATTGGCACTTAAACAAAGACGTGAATCTCATGTAGATCGTTTGGGTGCCAGACGATCATCACATGGTTCAGTAGTAAACAATAGTGTTCATATTTCATCAGCCAATATTACTGATATAAATCAAAATATTTCACAAACTCATAATCAATCATCATCAGCAGTATCAAATTTTGATGGAAGATCAGCATCCGTACAACAAAAACTATCTCAACAAGAATCTGTCAACGATCTTCCAATGACAAATCCGAAACCAACAAATAAATTTATTCACACTAATAGTACAACAAAGCCAGAAAAAATGGGTAGTGAGAAAAGTTCTACCAGTTGTACAATTCAATAAAGGAAACACAATATTTAAGAACCGAGCAAGTGCAGATGAATATGTTAAATCCTAAGCACGCTAAAGCACCTTTGCTTATTCTTCTTCTATAAAATGCTCTTATTTATATGATATTTCTATCCTGCTTATATAGATTATATATAATTCCTCATATTTATTTTATTTAATATATTTTAGGAAGAGTTGGATGATCCGTATTAATTGAAGTTCTTCTTCCAATTAAACAACTGCATAAATTATGATATATACATTATATTTACCCATTGAATATGTTCTCTTTTTTCTCTTTCTATTTATATGTACATTTATCAATCGTTAAGTTTGATTTTTAGTACGACTATTATTATTTATTTCTCTTACGCAATTAATAAATAAACAATCACTTGTGCTCTCATGATAATAGAACATTATTAATAAAATGTACAAGAAAAATATGTTTGTTAATATATATATCTTCGGCAAATAAATAGTACGGAATAACAAGTCTGTTGTGTCTTCTAGATCATTTATCAATATAGAAAGCGAAGTCAAATGTACTCGTCTTACTTCTTATTATTTTCTAAATTATAGACATATTAATATCTATGCTTAGATTAGTAAAAGAATCGAATATCAAAATTTATATTTTTAATTTAATTATCAATAAACAGGATACAATCTGTTGTCCTATAACGACACTTTGTCTAAATAAAATAATTTATTGAGTAACTCATCTTAAATCTGTCGGATATATTTCTAACATGCGAGTATATATCTTTTTGTTGATGATAAAATCTATGGATATGGGTAAAATATGAATGCAATCAAGATCATTTATCTTGCAAGCGCTATTGACGTTGTTGAGTTGTTATTGTTTTCCATTGGTCTATATGTATGTCATGACTTTGGAAAGCATATAATTATGGCACGAATGTAAAAATAAGCGAATTTTTTTTTTGAGATTATTGTCGCGACAGAGACTACAGATGGGTGTAAGAAGACAACAATGTATTCTATCGTTCTATCAACGTCATAATTTATATTATGATGTGTTACGATAATTACTTAGCTTTACGGAGACAAACTATATGTATTTCTTTGACTTGGAATGCAAAAAAACAGCAGTAGTTATAGGATATTCGATATCAAAGAGGAAGAAAAGGCAAGCTGCTAACGCTGCTGTTGTTGTTTCTGTCCGTAGAATAGTATCCCGGTAGGCAAGTTTGTTGTTTAGACGAAGAAATATGTCGTCGTTGTCTAAGAGAAGAGAAGAAAGTTCAAATACAGATGGATAGAAAAGACTTGTTTTTTATCCTATAATATATAGTACTACAGAAAGGATAGGCAGACAACGGAAGAAAAAAAAAAGGAAAAGACGTTATACATTTATCAGGATTATTTGCATTCTCTGTAAGACTTTAGGGTAGAGATAGCAGATGATGGCAGGGACACAAACGATCAAGGTTACCCTTCAACGCGATAGTTTGCAAACTCCATGGGGATTTCGATTACAAGGAGGTGCAGATTTTCGTTCACCGTTTACTGTCAACAAGGTAAATAAGAAAATTTTTCGTTACTTTTTTATTATTATTTTATACTAATATCATATTGATATTTATATAGATCACTGCTGGTAGTCCCGCTGATGGTGTTCTTCAACGTGGTGACATTATTCTTGATATTGATCAAAGACCAACTGGTTCAATGCTTCATGCCGAAGCACTTGAACTTGTACAACGAGCTGGTGGTCAAATAACATTTCTTGTACAAAGGTTCGATTAAATAATAAATAAGATATATAATACATACGATTAATTTTTTTTGTTTATTTTTTTAGAGGACTAAATCCTCTAGCATCTTTTATTCGTAATCAACGTCCAATGTCAGCTATGCCTTGGTCTTTAGCAAATACACCAGCATTCTTAGACAAGAATTTTAGTCCACCTTGGTCTCCAACTCCGGGTCCACTTAATCCAGCAGTAAATTACATTAAAATATAACAAACTATTTTTGAATCTCTGTATATTTATCTTATTTAGGCATCTTTTCGCAATCGACCATTAGAACGAATATCTACACCTAAACCATTACTTAGTCAAACAGGTAGTCCTCTTATGCCTGGTCCAGTTCCATCGGTATCAACTAAAACTCGAGGCTTTATTCAACCACCTTCATATCATACAGAACGAAGCAATTTACATGATACACCACCAGTTAGTGCTTCATATTCTCCTGCTCATTTTACCTATCCAGGTTCAGCACTTGATAATCGTACTCAATCAATATCAACAACTACAACAACAACAACATATCAAAATTCACATGATGCATCAGGATATCAACCAGCTTGGAAAGATACATATAAAGAATCTAGTACTTATATACCTTCTTATCAAAAGAAGGTTCAAATGAATCCAACACTTCAAAGACAAATCTCAAATGAACAAACAAATCAACGTACTAATCAACAATATACAATAATAGCAAAGCCACAACAACAACAACAACAACAACAACTATTACGTTATCGACCAGCATCAACTCAACCACTAAATATTGTTCATCACCAATTTAATTCACCTATGCCACTTTATTCAAATAATAATGTTCATAATGTTAATCATATTAGTCGTGTCAGGTAATGAAAATCAGACTTGAGAAAAACAAAATGCATATAATTAATTAATTTTTTTCTGGATTTATGAGATAATGTCTAATCTTCTCTTCCAGTCATGTGAATCAGAATGGCTTCCTAACCGACTTTTAATACAAGGTTCTATTTAATGTCTATAAACATTCAATATATATATATATTTACTTAGCAGAACGTGCTTTATTCATGCTTAGAATCGTTTTGTTCTTTATTTTTTCTACGAATATACATAGAAAAAAGAAAAGGATACGTCGCTCGAGTAGTTAAATATATCTATGCATGCTTATTAAAATTGCTGTTAGCTATAAAATAATACAAAATTCAATGAAATATAAATTCTTTTTATTTTAGTATTATCCCATCAATGCCTAAACAACTACGTGGTACTTGCACAGTTGCTTTAACACCTCCAAATTCAGCTTATAATACAGCAAATACACCTATTTGTTATATACAACCAACAAGAAATTTCTACACATCAGATTTTTAATGGTAGTGATTATTCAACAAAAAAACAAGTGAAATATATCAAATGTAGATTAGTTGAAATTAAAGTCTTTTTTTGCTCTGATTAACCTATAAAATCATCTTTTCTACATATATTTTTTATCTTTTCATTGGGTTGAAATATTAAGTGTCTCATACCGTGTGACCTGCAGAATCTTTTTTTTTCTACTTCTTCTATTGTTCTTTATTTTATGCGTTTTGAACAGTAACGAATTCATAAGCTTTGTCCATTTTTTGCACAACAGACATTTTATTCATTTTGTCATATGAAGATGAAATCATATTCATTATGAAAAACATGTCGTTTTTCATTGAATTTTTTTACAAAATTATGACAAATTATATTACTAAACTATTTTCTATAGTTGAATTATTAGATAAAAGAAAATGAATAATCTTCATTTGATTTATCTTTGATGAATAGATTGAAGTTTTGTAATGCATCAAATGATTTTTGTATTTAAAATTATTATGTTTATCACTAATAAAGTCTGAGAAAATGGTTCAATTACATTTCTATAGTCCATAATATTAGTCAGAAAGATGATGGTTGTTGTTCAATGACACACGACTTGTAAAAGAGAGATTGAAAGATTTATTCAAGAGTTATCCTAGATAAACTAATCTATTATATTGTTTATAATTAATTTGACAAAAACAATTGTTTTTGTACGTGCTTATCATCCTATTCTATAGGCAACTAACTAGACTTTTACTTATTATTAATATACATGCCATCTAACTGACATAATATTACTTATGGATCAATAGATATCGAAAACTATAATTTAACTATTACCCTTTTCATGCCTGTAGACCACATGATTTTCTTCAAAAACAAGATCTGCAAGCCTTAAGTGATTACTTTCACTAAAGGTTATCTAAATCTCATTCATATTTTATTTCACTGACGATTGTTTATACACCATTTTGAACTTTCGACAACATTCTATAACTCGAATATATATTCTATATATAATATTAAAACTCTCAACACGCTTCTATCTATGAAGATATCGGCATAAATGACACTAACGTAAGGCACTGGAAAATATCTGACTGATAATAGATCTCAACTTGTTGACGCTGACATAGGTTAGATAAACATTATATAAATTTGTTGAGAGATCGGCTTATCTATTTCAAAACGCTATTCAAACGAACTTATCATTACCGACATCTATTGTAAAGATGTCGTTGATATAATTTAATTGATTTCGAACAATGTCATATAATTTTTCGTATTTTTTTCCGTTCTTCTTATCAAAAAAGAATCATTTTATTGATCAGTTAATTTTTCAATCGAAAAAATATTAAACCTTAATGATTCAGATGACATCTTGATCGAGTCAAATAGGTCAAGTTCTAACATGGCACTAGCGCACACACAGTGACAACATATGAGAGCAAGAGAGAAAAAGAATTCTTCCTAATATTAATGGTATTAATATCTATATATAATAAAACAAAAAACAAAAAATATGAATAGTTAATATTAGAAATTATTATTCATCAATTATAATCTTTGGTTTGATTTATATTCAATATCTTCAAAAAAATAGATTGAAGACTATAAAACAATAAATTTTTTTTCTCTCTAGCTTTAAATTGTTTCTTTTTTGTTATTTTCTATAATGCTTGTGTGTTTTATTATTTCAGACATTAGTCTTTGTGCTCGTTCTACTTACTGCTACATATAGTATTCGTGTGTGAAAGTTTTGTTCAATTTTCATTCCTACATATTAGCGTTTGTTCGTTTCAACTTGCTCTTTTGTGCATTAATTATATTAACAAATAAACTCGTTATATATTTATATACACACACACGTACACACATACACATTATGTAAGTATTTTCTCCATAAAAAAAATCTCAAATGAAAGTAATAAAGAATTTCCTTCTGTTTTTTTTTTGATCTAGTTGAAAAAATGACAACATTAAATTCTGATAATGAGTATGATTTATCTCATACCGGTCAAACATCATCATCATCACCGGGTCCGGATAGTGGTTATGCAGAACATCAAAATAATGGTCAAACTGAAAATGGTTATAGTATTGATACAAATGATAGTCAAACTATGAATTCATCACAAACAGGTAGTGGAAGTGGAACTGGTACATTGACTGGATCAAAACCAGAAGATGATAGAAAATTATTTGTTGGTATGCTTTGTTTTTTTGAATGAAATTATAGAGAAAAAATATTGATACAATTATTTTATTATTTAGGTGGTTTAACATGGGATACAACACAAGAAGATTTACGAGAATATTTTACTAGTTTTGGTAATATTCTTGATTGTTCAATTAAACATGATCCATCAACAGGACGTAGTCGTGGTTTTGGTTTTCTTGTATTTGATTCAAAAGATATTGTTGAAAAAATTCTTTCACAAAATGATCATTTTGTCAAAGGACGAAGAGTTGATCCAAAACCAGCACATCGTCGTTTAAATGCATCAAACAATCAAATGAATAATACTTCTAATAATAATCTATCATCACAAAATTCTTTATATGGTATTGATTCATCATCATCAATGTCTTATGCTAATATGGGTATGGGTGCTAATTCGAATCCATATAGTAATAATCGTAAAGTTTTTATTGGTGGACTTGATCCATCATTTCCTGATTCACAATTACGAGAATATTTTTCTAAATTTGGTAAAATTGATGGTAAGAAAACATTTTTATTGACAAAAAAAAGACGTATTCATTTTTATTTTCTATTTTAATTAGAAATCGATTTGCCTTATGATAAAGAAAAGAATGAAAGACGTCCATTTTGTTTTATTTCATTTCAAACTGAACAAGCAGCACAAGAAGTACTTCGATTACAACGACATACTATAGGTGATATAAGTGTTGATGTTAAACGTGCTAAACCAAAAACATCAAATAATCAACAACAACGACTACAGCCGCATATATATGATCCATATGGACAACAGGCTGGATATGGTAATTATGGAGCTGCTATTTCATCTTATGGTGTAGGTGGTGGTGGCGGCGGTGGTTATCAAGCCAATGATCCGTAAGAAAGTTTTTCTTTTTTGTTAAAAAAACATTAGGAATTAGTAATAATAGATTGCGAGCTTTTTTTTGTAAATGTTAATGGAGAGATAAATGGGAGAAAGGATTTTTATGACAATTATCTGTGAGAATATTAGATGAGAATAATGAAATATGAGTAATGTATTTCATATAAATCACGATGAAGAACTTTTGTAGTTACTACATAACGAGTGTAATATGAATACGAATAAAGGAAAGAAAAGAATAGTTTAAAATATTATTTATCTTGTACTGGATATAAACAGAAGCATTTTTTATCGAATTGATAAGATAATTTTCTGTTTGAAAATGACTAATGATTCTATTTTGAATCATATATAAGACATACATAGTATAGACTAGATATTTATGTATCTATCGTAGTCGCCATACTTTCTGAAAAATCAAAAGAATTTACTGTATAATGAATATTTTTTTTCATATTGTGGCTTCATTAGTAAAACTAAACGTGCTACATACAGTTTATCTTTATTTTTACATAATTCTTAAGTTATTCCTCAGCAGATGTTCATATAGAATAAAATAAATTAATTCATCTTGTCATATCATATTCTAAGTTATGATAAAAATATAATACTTACTGATTCATAAACATTTACTTTCTATTTTAAAGCTTCTTCTATTAGAATACTAATTTCATACAGATATACGCTAGAAATTTATGACTAATATATAAGAAAGTACTCTATTTTCTTTTAGTTATGCTCATTGGAATGCTTATACATACAATCAACAAGCAAATCCAGCAGCAGCAGCAGCAGCATATCCATATGGCAGTTCTGGTTCAACAGGTGCTCCTAGTCCAGGAATATCATCTTATTCTCAATATGCTGAACATCAATCGAATTCTCAGTATTCATATGCACCATCAAATGCAGTCAATGCAAATGATTATTATTCTCAATATGCATACGGTGCTCCACAACCAGCAGGTGTTAGTGGAGATCCAAATGGTAAATGTAATCATCACTATAGATTTATATTTTTCATTAAATAATTTTTTTTTCTAGCCTATGGTAATAGTGCTTATGATTATGGCTCATATTATCCACCCATGAGTACAGGTATGAGTGGCACAATGGGTGATAATGGTATAGGACAACAATCAGATGATTCACCTAGTAATCAAACTGATTATGAACACGACAATCATTGTGGCAAAGCCAAAACATCTATTGTTTCCAGTCCTACTTATCATCCATATTCTCGAAGTTAGACAATTTTTAAGCATCATATATATATACACGCATTCATTAAAAAAAACTCGAATGTTTCTCTATCTCTCTTTTTCTCTCTTTCTTTTATATCAAACACATCCCGTTGTTACTGTTTATTTGTTTCATCGATGGTTTTTTCTCCGTTTTCGATCAATGAATTTCATACATGCGCAAAATGAGAATGTGTTTTTTTTTCTTCGAAAAAACTAGCCAAAATTTCTATTTATACATATGCACACACACACACATACACATATATACATAAAATCATTGTTGTTGTTATTATTGTTGTTGTTGTTTTCTTGTTTCTCTTCACATGAACACCCGGTGTAAATAGGAAAACGTTTTTTTTTTGTCTTTTACTGTTGTTTTTCTTTTTTCACTATCATGCCCAATTCTCATACCATCTAATTGACTCCGCCTATCCGCATTATACAGTGTGTGTGTGTATATATATATATATATGTATCACAAAAGAAGAATTTTTCCAAGAACCGTAAAAGATAAAAGAAAAAGATTTACAACAAAAAAAAAAAGAACGATAGTAAAAATAAAAAGCAACAACAGAATTTGATCTTTATTTGTTTTTTTCAATTGTCCTTGTTGACAATTGACTATATGATAAATAACATATCAATTGTTACTGATCGTTCTTTTTTATTTTAGATATCATTCATTGTTTTGTTTTCTTGAAAAACAACTAAGATCAAACACATCTTCTTTTTCAGATAAAGTTGATATTAGCCTTTATCTCCTATTTATCAATACTGCATAATTACAATCTATCTTAATGTAAGTATAAATGTTTTTACTTTATTATAATTCAATACGATACTAAGAAGTATCATCAGATCAGTTAATATTTGTTTTTATTTTTCAGTTGACTATTTGTCTATATAATCATGTCATCTGTGGCTTATGGTAATGGTGGTATTCCTTCCAATGATGATACCGCAATGTCATCTATTCCTCAATCATCTTCTGGAGCAATCACTCAACATCCATATTTAACTTCAAATACAAACGCTGCTTATGTAGCGGCAGCAGCTGCTGTCTCATCAGCATCACCATCATCTCTAGGTCCATATCAACATTATTATGGTCATCCATTACCACAACAACAACAACTTTTACATGTTCAACAAACACCATCATTTTATCCTCCGGCAACATTAAATCATATTCAACATCATGCTGATTTTAGTAATTCATCATCATCGATAGCATCATCATCAAGTTCAATGGAATCTTCACGTAAAACAACGAATCGTAAACGACCAACAGATAAAACAACTGGTTCAACAAAATCAGGCATGAAACGAAAAGCAGTATGTTGATATAGTTATCTGTTTTTTTTTCAAATTGTTTACTTGTTTTTTTTCTTTAGACGGAAGATGATCTTGATGATGATGATGATGAAGAAAATAAATGTTATTTACGTGGTACTTCAATATCAAATGTCATGATGTCTAATAATAATCTAAATAGTGGTGGAGCTGGTGACGAAGATAAAGAAAAACAAGCTCGTGAAAATCATTGTGAAATTGAACGTCGTCGTCGTGTTAAAATGGCAACATATTTTGCTGAATTATGCGATATGGTACCAGCATGTTCGAATTTAGCACGTAAACCTGATAAATTAACAATCTTACGTATGGCAGCACAATTTATGAAAAATTTACGTGCAAATAATAATTCATTATCATTAAATTCTACACAAGTACCTCAACAAGATTTACATAAACCATCATTTCTCAATGATCAAGAATTAAAATATTTAATGATTGAATCATGTGATGCATTTTTATTTGCACTTAATTGTGACAATTTACGTATAATCTATATAAGTGATGCTATACAACAAATACTTTCATATACATGTCAAGACTGGTATTCAAGATATTTTTATGGTATAAAAGATTTTAAAATATTGAATATTTTTCATTGTATGTTTTTATTTTCTATATTAGATTTTGTTCATCCTGATGATGTAGAAAAAGTACGTGAACAATTAAATTTACAATCACAAGATGGTAGTCCAAATGGTGGTGCTGGTGGACGGGTTCTAGATCTTAAAACTGGAACGGTTAAAAAAGATGGACATACATCGAGTACACGGCTAAGTAAGTTTTGATAAAAAAAGGATCTACGAATTTTGCGAACGGAGTATTGAGTACGACGGAACATGTGCGTTGTAAGATACGCACGAGTTACTTGAGTAGAGGTGATTTTGCGTACGAAATACATTCATATTATATATCTCGACAACGAATAAAAATGTAAACATATAGTAGAAACAACAATATATACATATTTTATTATCAAGAACATAAATCATAATGATTAAACTATTAATCGAGCACGAAAAATAAACTTTTCTTTGTTGTTATTGTATAAACACTTGTATTTTCACCAATAATCAAGTGTTTGATGAAGGTATCAATTATGATTTATGCTTGAGCAGATAGTGTAATTATTCGTCTACGTATGTCTTAGTGATTAATGTATATATGATAGAGACATTCAAGGATAATCAAAAACTTATTTTTGAATCTAACTAATAAGCTTATGTCGTTAATTATATAACTTCTTAAGAATATTTCAAATGAACTTTTATAATCTTACGGATCCTAAATATATGAATCTTTTGTCTTGTGCGTATCTTAAAGTGTGCTACATCCTAGATTTCCGTTTTCATTCTTTCTGATCATATGTATTAGTTTAATAAATTCGATTTTATTATATTCATAATTTTCTAATTAAAAAAAAATTATTTCTTGTAGGCAGTTCCAAACGATCATTTATATGCCGTATTCGTGTTGGTACAACAAATCCACTTGAACACACTCAACAGAGTCCATTCGTAAATCCATCTGCATTACGTCGTCGTCATCGTACATCACTTGGTCCATCAATCGATGGTCATCTTTATGAAATTGTTCATATAAGTGGTTATATTCGAAATTTAAGTACACATCATCATCCAACATCTCATCATGAGCATGCAAATCATCATCCATCATCATCAAATTCCACTGGTCAAATGGCATTTGTTGCTATAGCTCGTATACAAAATTCAAGTTCACCAAATGTAAATGATTTAACTAATGGTCCAACATCAACAGCAAATTCTCTTACAACAGAATTTACATGTCGTTGTCATTGGGAGACAGGTGAAATTTTATTTATTGATCAACGTTGTACACCAATTATTGGTTATAAAAGTCATGAATTATTACATAAAATAATTTATGAACAAATACATCCTGATGATCAAATGAAATTTCAAGATTTATATAAACGAACAGTTACACAAAAAAATCTACCAAATACATCAGCAAATTTAGCAAATATAATGATACGTTTTCATACAAATATTGATAATGAATATATTTCACTTAAAACTTCAATATATGCTTTTTGTAATCCATGTACAGATGAAACTGAATTTCTTATTGTTACATTCTTATCTATTCAACCAACAACAGCAACAACAACAACAACAACGACAAATAAAACATCTGTTATTGCTAACTCAAATGATTATAATCGACAATCATATGAGACATATTCAAGAGCAACAAATCAAGGTGCAATTGTACAAAATCCAGTTACACGTTATTCAACTCAATCACCCTCAACATATACTAATACTGATGGACAAGAATATTCAACTGTAAATGAAACTACTGATGGACGAACATTTGTAAGTAATAATGGAGGTTCAACATGGGCTTCAGCGAATGATAATTGGACAACAACATCATCAGCAAATAATTCTCTTGTATCATCAACACCGAATGCTGATTATGTTGATAATCAAACAAATCTTACACTATATCATCAATATCATCAATAAGATAATTTTCGCGTTTTCTTTTGTTTTTTTCATTGACACATTACGAATGAATAAAAATAACATCGAAGAATGTTTTTGTTTGTGTAATTGTACATTTTACATTCAGATAGTGTTTGTATTTCTGTTTTTTTTCTTATTCTTTATTTTTCATTGTCTTGCTTTTATTCGAATCTCTCTATCGTTAATATATCTATTATTGTTTTGTGCATTTTGTTTTTTTATTTGCCGCATTGCGACAAACCATTTTACATATAAAATATTTCATTTTGTTTCTATTTGCAATATTATTTTTTCTTCGCATGCTTCATATATTGTTTTTCTGTATATTATTTATCAATTTATCAATCTATATAAGTCAGTAGTTTCCAGTCATCATAACAAAAAATAATTTTGTTCTCTTTTTTTTTTACTGTTGTTTGTTTTCGTCATATTATCTAATAGATCTGTCTTCTTTTTCGTCTTGTATACATTTACATATAATTGTATCATTGATCAATAATAAATAAAGAATAAGAAAAGAAAATAATTATCAATGCAGTGCATATTCAAGTGACAATTGAATAAAAGCTATTAATCATCCATATTTAGATTATAGGTTATATTCTAGATATAATGAATAGAACCATATATAGTACTATTTCTTGTTATTTATAATTGTTCAATATGTGACGGTAAGTAATAACCAATAAATTACAGTATATCAATATTCCAACTATTTTTTTTGTTGCTTCGTTATATCATTTGTTACGAGATACAGTATGATAAAATGAAATGAATGAATGAATGCATGAATAGCTTTCACCTGTCATGCATGATATACGTTTTGTGACATGTCTATCGATACTTTTTACGTGTATTTCCGATCGTGTTACATCTGACAAGTCATGCGTTTCATTTGTCAGTTGGTATAATATAAATCTGATCAGTGACAAGAGAATTATCTTTCTTTGTCTTTTATTTCAAAATATATTGAGAATAAATTTAAAACAACAAAAAGTTTTAATTTTAATTATTGAATGATATATAATGTATCGCTACAGTCGTCATCCCATATTTCTATATCTTCCACGAATGACTTTATTTCGAATTTTACGAATCCTTTGTTTTGCAATATGTTTTTTTGGTCTTATTATCCAATTTTTAATTTTCAATATGTATAATTCCAATCATAATCCCGCATCAGAAACAACTCGTCTTAATCCTGGTAAACCAATGGCAATAAATCTTACTTCTTATACTGTATGTCATCCACAAGAATTATATTTAGACAATCTAGTTATACAATATCATAACAAATTTACTTCTAAAGAGTCTCAAGCATGTTTTCTTATTGAAAATCTTGATGGTGGATCATGGTGGTCATATGTAACGCATGAATTTGCTGAAATTCTTACTCATTTAAAGCAACTTAGTATTGAATCAAATATAACATATCTACCTTTTCCTGAACAAACCAAACTTACGCTTCAAACAAATCTAAAGAAATATTTTTTAAATGCTTGTGATATTGATACAACACTTCCAAAAGAAAAACAACGACCAATTATTATTCTTCTATGGGATATCAATCGACTTTTATGGCATCGAATGCGTCGACAATGGGAGGATTTATTATCCACAACTCGAACACGTCTTATAGTTTTCGTAGATGATCTACATTTTACATCAAAATTAATGTTTACTAGTCGACAATTCATATTTCAATCTGTAGCAACAGAAATTCTTGCAACATATCCATATCTTTTTCAGAATTATTATACAGATATATCACCAAGTAAAATCATTTGGGTACCACATGCAGCATCAACGCTAACAAATCGTACAATAAATGAAACGGCTGAAAATGTTCTTTTTGTCTCAGGTGCAAGTATGCGTGATTGGTATCCATGTCGTGCACATGGATTTGATGTTTGTCGTAAGCGGAAAGATCTAGCATCTTGTTTAAAACATCCTGGCTATGGTCCAACAATGATGAAGAGTGATTCATATTACTATGGTGGTGAAAGATATTTTTCTTATATGAGAAAATATGTATTTGGTCTTGGTACATGTGTATCCGTACATTATGCTATAGCAAAATTATTTGAAATACCAGCCAATGGTCTTGTACTTGTAACAACAGATGATATGGTACCTATACTTAAAAGTCTTCATCTTAATCAAGATGAACATTTTCTAACTATTAATTGTTCATCAATTAGTAGTCTAAAGAATGAAATTATTCGTATACAAAATATGTCGAAAGAAAATCTAACTCAGATAAGACAAAAAAGTCAAGAGATTGTATATCAACGACATTTAACAAAACATCGTGCTGAATTAATACATGTTCGTCTATTGTCTCAAGCATTACTTGCTACACCTGCCCCTGCTGAAGGCAATATACAATGGGAGCAATGGGGACGGAACTGTCGTTAGTGAGATTCTAAGCAAAAAAACTTATTTTAATAAGTTTTTTTTTTTCTTCTACATAAATATATTAAGTAATAAAACAGATGTACTTTTTTCTTCCATTTCTTTTTCAACTTTTTTTTTTCTAAGCGCTTTTATTTACACAAAGAAAAGAGAAGAAAAGAAAAGAAAGAAGCAGGTTACACATTGTTTTTCTCTCAGATCTCATTTTAAATTGTAATACTTAGTAATATTTGATTAATCAAAATAAATGGGTATGTTTTTGAATTTCCTTTTTAAAAAAAGTACATAGATAGATAAATAGATGTATATCTGTCAATCAAATAAGATAAAATTGTGAATGATAAAAAAAAAGGAAAAAATGCGTTTAATTGGTTGTTTTTATCTCGTTTACGAGTAACCTTGCTTATAGAGATTCATTGTTCTTTTTTCGACAATACTTTGGACTATAACGGATTGCTTTATTTCGTGCGATTCTTTCTTTTCTAATAAAAACGAAAAGAATGTTAATATAAAAATTATTTACGATGATAATAATTGACAAGCGATAAATGAAGACAGTATGATTGATGGTAAACCAACAGAAATATTTCGTTATTTGAAATGATTCTAGTTACGTTCTATCGATCAAAAACAAGGACGATCGAAATATTGAAATACATCAGTTTTTTTTGTCAGGTTTTTCTTTGCACTCAAAGGAGAAACCAGTTTTTTATTTACGTCTGCTATGTATCACGACTGGTAATGAATGTACTTTTTTCTGACGTTCTCTTCTTCCTCTCTAGTTTGAATAATTACAAACAAACAGGAATGAGTCATCCACTTGCGCGTATCGAGCACCTACGACTCTATATTAAGCTGAATAATTAGATTTTTATCAGGTGCTAGAATAGGTATATAGAAGAAAAGAGAAAATAATATATCATTTCACAAGTATAACGGTCTACCGATGATTGAAAGCGCAAGACTGATGAAATATGGCTACGATTTATATCAAGTTGCGTTAACATCCGTTTATAATAATGGTATGCTTTGAAAATTCAACTATTTATATAAAATATTAGTAAGGATTTGTATAGTAATTATCATAATTTTCGAGATTTTTCAAAACAAAAAATAACCGTTTATTAGAAGTGATAAAAAATAGTCTTGATTTAATACTTCATATCAATAAAATTATTTTAGTTATCAGAAAGTTTGTATAACTATTCTAGAGACAGAATGAAATATTTTTCTAGAAATGTACTCTAACAGTTAACTTTTAAAAGTACGATTCATTTATACAGCTACGCTTCACTATGCATGATTTTTTTCCAATAAAAACTAATTTTTTTCCTTTTCCGCTCGTCAATGTAGAAAAAAGCATTTATTATAATTAGATAAATATACTGACAATATGCATCATAATTAGTGAAAATAAGCAATAAAACTTGCATAGATATCAAATATTTCATATGCACTGAATGTATTATCATTTTCTTTTATTAATCGAGGTTCTTATCAATATTAAGATCGATCAATGTCAGTTTTACTAGCTTAGATAGATATATTTATTACTCTTACCTTTCGGTTTAGGTCGAAGATTAAAAAGTACAATAAACATACGAGAAACGAAAAATGAAATAAATAAAAGTTCTTTTAGTGAATTTTCAGTTTGCTCGCCGTTGAGTATTGATACTTGAGCCTATCATCCGAAATGCGATCTCTCAACCGTGACGAAATGTTTCGATTATACCCGTCATTTTGCACGAGGTATTCTGATGTTAGTTCAGTTTTACTAAGTTCTATATTTAATGAAATACTAGATTAATCATCACCATTTATCTGAACTGTTTTTGCTTTCGTTTGACTTCGGATATTTTTGTTTACACGGTCTACTGGCCATACTTATATAGGATACGTTCTTTTGTTTATATATTTATTCATGTTTTTTTCTTTCGTTTAGAGGTTTATTCCAATGCAAAAATGCTTTTAATGCGTCTTTATACTGAAGATAGTTGGTTAATTCGATTGATTTTTAATCATGCTGGTTATCTTTCATTTGCCATTCCAATAGCAGCTCTTTTTTTTATTTCAAAAAAATCTGCTTATACAATATGTAAGTATTAATGATATACGTAATTCAGATTTTCTAAAATATGGATTCTTGTAGAAAAGAAATAAGAAAGAATCTATCATAGACATATAGTGTTGAATTCAGAACTCCTGTAAATTTTTGTTTGCATGAATCAGTGAGCTTTTAAAATATCAATTTCTATCGTTAATTATATTGTACTCCGAGTACAAAAATTTGTTTCATTTTAAGACGTGTGTCAAGGAGAATCATCCAACCAAAAAGAAAATACATCGAATACTTCTGATACAATCTATAAAAATATGCTTATAAAATCGACTTAGATAAATTAATTTACAAGGCCATATAATGCAAAAATTTTGCATTAATTTTATTTTTGATATAACTCTGTAATGGAACGTCATAGAGAGCTGATGTTTCTTAGCTAGAAAGAGGAATGTATCTAATACAAAATTATATAAAAGAATTTAATTAAAAATCTTTTTGAAAAATTAACAAAAAAAGTTAGGAGACAAAACGTCGGAAAAAATATCATATAATTTAAATAAGTTATTTCATTTGTATTTTATTATGTAAAGTAGATCAATTTTCTATATGTTTTACAACGATTGAAATAAACGCTTTTCAGATATTGTCGGGATCGCCATGTGTTCATCATTGATAATAGCAGAGTTCTCTACAAAATAATATTATTTAGAATACAACACAGCTTCTCTGCAAGATATTTAGACAAAAATTAGAATAGATAATTTGAATTTTCACAATCAGTAATTGAAAAAATGATATAAACTATAATTGACATCTATTGTTTTTAGGGCCACGACCAGTTCGTTGGTTTATTGTTCCACTGATTCAGCTCTTTATAATGGATACATCGGAAGGTACTGAGAAAGAACGTATACATCCATCATCTCATGCAATCTCATCATCATCATCATCAACAACTTTTTCTCGTCGTCGTTTCTTTAAATTAATATTCTCATTTTTTGGTCTTCAAATTTCATATCTACTATGGGGTTTATTACAAGAACGTATAATGACTCGACCATTCGATGGTGAAAAATTTACAAATTCTCAATTTCTTGTTTTTGTGAATCGATGTTTAGCTATGATACTTGCGTATAGTTTATTAAAAATCTTTTATCCAACAAAAAAATTAACATCATCAGGACCACCATTATATCGATATGGTATTATATCTTATGCTAATTGTATGTCAACATGGTTTCAATATGAAAGTCTCTTATATATTAGTTTTCCTGTACAAGTACTTGCAAAAAGTATTAAAACAATTCCAGTTATGATTGCTGGAAAATTTGTTTCGGGTAAAACATATCCATTACGACAATATTTATTAATGTTTTTGATGGCTATTGGTATTTTACTTTTTTTCATGGGTTATAATGAGAATGATTCAAATTCATTAACAGTAAAAAAACCTAAACATAATATAACAACGTTCAACGGTGTATTTTTACTGATATGTTATCTAGTAAGTTTTATATAAGAATGTATTTATAGATTAGGCTATAAAATTTTCGTAAGGTGAATTTTAAATTAACTCGAAATTTCTTCAATCTAAATATTTTTGTCATGTTTATTCAATATAAGCGTTTGGAGGAAGAAAATAGAAATACAAAATAGAAATATTTGATAGATAGTGTTCGATTACAATCACTAATTTGAGTCACATCCTCTTCGTCTGGATGATCGAGTGATAAGAACATTTTTCAGAAGATACTGCGCCGAAAAACTTCACTAACTCTGAGTTTTTATGAGATAAAGTATTTGTTGAAAATTTCCTTTCTTTTTAGGCTTTTGATGCATTTACATCAAACTATCAAAAACAAGTATTCGATCGTTATTCCATATCATCGCTTAATATGATGTTTTTTGTCAATTCTATTTCAACAATTCTTACATTAACATCTTTAATTTTTAATGGTACTTTATTTGAATGTTTATCATTTATGCATCGGCATCAAGCATTTTCAATGTATGTATTTGCAACATCAATATGTTCAGCAGTTGGACAATTATTTATCTTTTCAACAATAGAAGAATTTGGTCCAGTTGTATTTACAATTATAATGACTATGAGACAAGCATTTAGTATTATACTATCATGTTTATTTTATGGTCATCAATTAACTTCGTTTGCAATTTTTGGTATTCATATAGCATTTTTAGCTATATTTCTTCATGCATTTATTCAATTTAAAAGAACCAAACCAATGAATAATAACATTGTATAGGAATGAAGATGATCTGGCTGTTTTATTTTGATTTCTTTGTATTAAACGCGCCTGGAGCGCATATTTTTTGTATGAGTTAGAAAAGCAGTGAAAGAACAAAGAAAAATTATCATTGTTATTGTGATCTTTCTTTTTTCTTGTATATTATTTGTATGAATCAAAATATATTAAATTTATTTTCTGCTAAGATGTTTATCGCAAGAAATAGTTGTTGTATTGATCAGTTCATTATTTTTTTATTTATAAAGTGTTGATTTATTCCATAATGTTTAAAAAGTTTTTCGGAATAGAATGAATCAAAATCTCAAATCAACAAATTTTTCATATATATACAACTTTATTCAAAAAAACTTGTACAAAATTGAATGTTTTGTACAAGGGTTTTCGTGCCGTTAGAAAGTAACTACAAATTTGATTTTTTCAGGGATATACGTTCATTAGCTGCACTACGCGTTGATTATATAGAAATGTGATTTCTGTTCTTTTTGATATATAAACATTTAATCATGACATAATCTACTGATTCAATAAATATAAATAAATTGAAGAAAAAAAATTCACTGAAATAGTGAAGAGGAAATGGTCGATCACGTGTCACACGGAAATAGGAAAAAGCTATTGCTCAGTATAATCGATGTAACAATAAAAGAATCCCCAGTGAAATTATCTTCTTTCTGCTGCTAGACAAGAATTTCGTTAAAATTGGTGTTTACAACAAGATAATGATCGTAAGTATACTCACGATATTTCTAAACAATTCATCAACAATAAAGTATTACAATTATTGAAGTATCCATCTGATATTTGAAATGTTAATCCTATCCAGAATTTATGATTAAAAATATTGTGATGTCGATGAAAAAACGATGTTTGTCTCTTATTGAATTTAAAGGTGAATGAATAAAATATTGAAGTATAGCATTTAATAGTAATCGCCAGAGGCTATTAGCCAGTAATGGAATCTACTTGAGAGTGACTTGTATATGACGGCATATTTACATAACAAGATATGCAAGTTTTTTTTGAATAGAGCTGTATATACAGTAAAAGTAAATTATAACGTATTAAATTTTGTAATATTTTAATTATTCGAATTTGAGTGATAATTAACAAATAAGTTTTTATGATTTAAAGATCGACTTAATATATTCCATAGTTTATCTTATTTATTTAATATATTAAAATTAAATGCTTAAGAATGATATACAATCGCTCTGCAATCAATTCTTTGAATATATATATATTTTTTTTAGCAATATTTATGTCAACAGAAACACAAAAGATCAACATTTCTTATGAATGAAAATGAATTACAAAAAAATCTTATCATAGTTGCTTAAATAAACAATCATTGAACGATTGAACTTTTTTTTATCAGTTTGTATGCATCGTTTATAAGCGTGTAAAATTCTGCCATCTATATGTAAGTTAAAGGCCCATCCATTAACTGTATACGACGCGCAGCTAATCATATTTTTTGAATAATAAACACGCATAATCACATTCCGTCTCATCCCACTGCCTTCGCTTTGTATATTATCGTGATTTTATCGTAGGTTATGGGTAGAGGTGATAAAAACAAGACAGGTGCTTTGAAAATTAGAGTATCTTCATATATTTAGTTTAATAATAAAATTTAAAAAAAAATAATGAAAATAATTCTTTTTTCTCACGTATATATCTTAAGTATTGTGATTAGTCGACGGCACGTTCTGTTTTTAAGAAAATAAGTATAATAAATCGAAAAATAAACAAATAATTTTGTTTATTCGAACAACAAAGCAAGATCATTTTTCTATTGTAAAAATGAAACTTGTTCATATCTTTTTGGTAAATACATACAGTCATTTTATTTTTAACCGATTTTTCTATTTTTCTTTGAAAAATAATTATATTAATAAGAAAGACTAAACTATTGTATGATTTGTTTACTCTATGTTAGATTAATTATGCCTTTATCATCAACGTCATCGATAAATAATAGAAGTGAAAATGATGAACAGATTCAAACAATAGTCAAGAATAATGATAGTCAAGTTAAGTCTGATATTGGTGCAAATATTGTTTTAATCGGAGCACCTGGAAGTGGTAAATCATTATTTTTTCTTTTTATTTACAAATAAAACGCTCAAGCTTATTTGTTTTTTATTTTCTGATAGGTAAAGGTACACAAAGCACTCGATTAGTAGACCGTTATCAAATCTGTCATATATCAACAGGTGATTTACTTCGTCAAGCTGCACAAGATAAGACATCAGTTGAAGGTCAAAAAATACGAGAGACAATAGAAGCTGGTAACCTTGTCGATGATGATACAGTTATGTCATTAATTGAAAAAAATTTAACTAAACCTGAATGTCATAATGGCGTTTTATTTGATGGTTTTCCTCGAACAATTTATCAAGGTGAACAACTTGAAAAATTACTTCAATCAAAACAAAAACACCTTGATGCAGTTTTAGAATATGCTGTATGTCATTTAGAAAATATTCTATAGTTTTATTATTATCAATGAATAGATTCATAGTAAGGAATCAAAAATCTCAAAGAATATTGTATGAAAAAAAGGTATTAAGATTGAGAAAAAAAACTCTAATTTAAGGAGGAAATATTTCTGGAATATTCATTAATTAGTTAAATAGGACACATTGAAAAATGCGAAGAAGAACTTACCCAGACGATAGATAAACTAAATAAATAAACCTATACTAAGAGATTTAGTTACACTCTATCAATATTCATAATTGTGCGCGATCAAAAACGATAAGCATGGCCGTTTATTAACTTTTTATACGTACATTTTCTCCAAAAAACAAAGAATCTTTTATTGAAATTTAGAACAAACAGGTCCTATGGTCTGTTTGGAGCTTTGGTATGTATTCCCTTAATAACAGTTCGAAACGCTCGCACTGAGTTCTTCTCTCGCAAAATATATTGCCATCACTATTAAATCTAACTTCAATTAACAAGACAGTTATATTAATCAGAACTAACACATTTGAAATAACTAATTGTTTCTTCTAATCGACACATGTATTTTAGTGATTATCATTTAGTATTATATCACTTATTGATAAATTTAGATTGAAGATGATCTATTAAAACGACGTATACTTGGTCGACTTATTCATAAACCATCAGGTCGAACTTATCATGAAGAATTTCATCCACCAAAAGAAGCAATGAAGGATGATATTACAGGCGAAATTCTTGAACGTCGTTCTGATGATACCAATGAAACACTCAATGCTCGATTAAAAACCTATCATAAACAGACAACACCATTAGTAAAAGAAAAACACAAATTTGTTTTGTTTTATTCTTACATTTTTTTTCTATATTATCCATAGATTGAATTTTATCGTCAACGCAATATTCATCGTTTGGTCGATGCAACACAAAAAATCAGTGAAATATCAAAGCAATCCATTGAAAATATTAATCATTTACGTCAACAATCAGCATCTATTACACAACAAATTCCTGCTCGACAAACAGATTATAACATAGGAAAAAACCAATATGATGATGCGAAAGTTTTAAAAATAAAATCTCTACCAAATCAACTTGATGTTGATAAAAATCGTTTAAGCAATAATTTTTTATTTATATACAATTCGGTGACATCAGTATTACGAGATCGTGGTATTATTTAAAAAAATATTATTCATTCTATGTAGAGTAGTTTGTTGTTTTTAATGTGATTTTGTTTTCGATGGATCTTTATGAGATAAAGTCTTTGATTTAGATTTCTAGTTGTGAAGATTTTATTGATTTTCTTTTTTTTTTTTGGTGATGTTTTTTTCGTTCTTTCAAAAAAGAAAAAAAATGAACTCTTGAAGTTACTTTTTTAGTAAAACAAATAGAAGATAGTCACTTAAGCAAGACAGCATTTTCATTTTGTTGTTGTTTTTTTTCCAGATGTTAATCAGTACTTGGCTCTCATTATTATTATTTGCACCTATGGGAACAAATTCAATTAAGTACTAATAAAAAAAACTAATAAAAAGAAAAGGTATATTTACTTTAGTTTTTTTTTATGAATAGTACAACAAATTGTTTGTTGTCATCGGAAAATGTTTTATTTGATTTTACTAATTCATCTGCATCGGTTGATGATTGGATTGAAATATCGGATACAGAACGAGATGTTGGAAAATCAAAAGGAGTACTTGTTGAACAAAAAACTCAACAATTTCAACGTGCTATTTTCTTTTCACTACTGAATCCACAACCGAATGGTGCTGCATTTGTTGGTGTTTCTTATCGTAAGAAATCATTTGATTTAAGTTTATTTACTGGTCTTAAATTATCTGTACGAGCACAAGGTGAAAATTTTGTTTATAAAGTAATCTTAAGACATCATAATGAACAATCATCATTACAACCATCATATGAAATCTTTTTTGAAGTAATAATAATTTTTAAAATAAACCTTGTTTTTAAATTATTTTTCTTTTTAGTTACCGAAAAATGAAATGATTGAAAAATATTTATCATTTACAGATTTTAAACCATATAGTCGTGGTAAAGCATTAGATCCAGATACAACACTACCATTAGATTTAACAGATATAAGTAGTATTGGTTTACAAATCTTTGGTGGGGTATATTCACCTATCAAACAACATGGTACATCTAGTTTAGAAATTGATTCGATTAGTGCTGTTAAATGTGAATGAAAAGTTTTGTATATGTTTTTTTATTTTTCCTTTCTTTATTGTAATTATTCAAGCAAGATGAGAATAAAAGTCAATTATTGGTTGACAATCATGATATATAATTTCTTTTATGCATTCTAATGAGAATAATCACATTAGTTTTGCATATTTTCTTATTCTTTTATTTCATTTCAACAAAGTCACTATTGTATTGTGTCACGTCAACTCAATAGATACATATGGATCAATTTCTTTCATATATCATAATATAATCCTGTTTTTTTCTTTTTTTCTTTATTCCAACAAGTACATTGTATAATCAGTTTGTTACATTCCTGCTCTTGACCTTGTACATTCTCTAAACTGGCAATAAAATTAATCTTTTGTTATTTTAAATAATCGAATAATAAAAAACACAATTTCTCATATGTTTTAATCAAATATAAATTTTTTATTTCAGATCAAATATCATTTTCAATCTTATCGTATCGATTTAAAACATGAAACAAATCACTTCGTATCAAATACACAAAATATATCTACATTTACTATAGTTATTTATTTTAGTGAGTAAAACCATGTCGATTGTTTTTTTTCCTCCTCCTATTTTTTGTCGATAGGAGCAATGTGTAGGAAAGTTTTCAACTAAGTTATTTCGCAAATAATAGCTGATCGATCACACAGTAGGAGAGAGAAAAGAAGGAGACGAAGAAAAAAGGAAAAGAAAAGAATTTGATTTTTTTTTGTTGTTTTAAATATCAGCATGAGATTGCGTTTTTTCCTTCATTTATATATTCATGTCTCATTTTTGATAGATGAAATCAAATTAGACAATCATATCACGTAAAGGTTAAATATTCTCGAATATTTACTTTTTTTAGCTTAATTTTTATTTTCGAATCAAAATGACAACAACGATGAATGATCAACAAACAAGTAATAATTTAACCGGCCTCGATGTGACAGCATTAGTTATTTATTTTATATTATTAATTGGTGCTGGATTTTATTCAATGTTTAAATATAATCGTTCAACAGTTAAAGGATATTTTCTAGCTAATAGACAGATGCCTTGGCTATGTATAGGTGCAAGTTTATTTGCATCAAATATTGGTGCTGAACATTTTATTGGTTTAGCAAGTTCAGGTGCTGCTAAAGGTAGAAAAATTTCAAAAAGAAACAAAATAAATTTAATTTGCTTTTAAATAGGAATAAGTGTTGGAGCATTTGAAATAAATTCTATTGCGATTATTCAATTACTTGGTTGGGTATTTTTACCAGTTTTTATTGCAACTGGTGTATCAACATTACCAGAATATATGAGCCGAAGATTTGGTGGACAACGTATACGAATATATATCGCTTGTTTATATCTTCTTCTTTACATATTAACGAAAATAAGTGTGAATATTTATGCAGCATCTTTATTTATTAATTATGCGTTTCACTGGAATATATATTTAAGTGTTTTATTTGTTTTATTTTTAACAGCTATATGTACTGTATCAGGTGGTTTAGCCAGTGTTATGTATACAGATACATTACAAGCTGTTATAATGATACTTGGTGGTTTTGTTTTAATGGTTTTATCCTATAAAGAAATAGGCGGAATATCTGAATTCCATCGACGATATATAAATGCAATGCCATCAGTAGTAATCGATGATCAAGTTGGAAATATGACAAGTGTATGGTCAAACCAAACAAGCGTATTAAATACATGTGGTAAACCAACCGATAAATCATTTCAATTATTAAGAGGCATATCTGATCCTGATATGCCTTGGTTAGGATTTCTTCTTGGACATACGCCAAATACAATATGGTAAATAGTTCTTCTTTTTTAATTGAAATCCGATTTAGAGAATTTTCAAAATTGAATCATATGTACATATAAAACTCTATTATTTGAAGTAGTATATTTAAAAATAATCGAGAAATTTTACGACTTCATTGAAACATGAATCATATATTAATCAAAGAATAAATCAAAATCTTGTAATTTTACAACAATATTGAAATTTGAGTCATATCAATAAACAAAAATTAATTCTTATCTATTCATATTTTAGGTATTGGTGTTCTGATCAAATGATGGTTCAACGTGTTTTAGCTGCAAAAACAATTTCACATGCACGTGGTGGTACTTTATTAGCTGGTTATTTAAAAATTTTACCATTATTTATGATCATTATACCTGGGATGATAAGTCGAGCATTATATCCAGATACTGTTGCATGTAATCAACCATCTGTATGTGAGTCAATATGTCATAGTAAACGAAGTTGTACTAACATAGCTTATCCAACTTTAATCTTAAAAATTTTACCAACTGGTTTTAAAGGTATTATGCTTGCTGTTATGCTTGCTGCACTAATATCAGGTTTAACATCAATATTTAATTCTGCAAGTACAATATTTACGGTTGATATTTATCCGAATATATTTTCATATCGTCGAAAAAAAATTACAAATCGAGAATTAATGATTGTTGGTCGTCTTTTTGTTGTTTTAATGACAGCTGTTGGTATTGCTTGGATACCTATTGTCATACAAATGCAAGGTTCAGAATTATATATTTATATGCAACAAGTTATCGGATTTTTAGCACCACCCATTGCTTGCATATACATACTAGCAGTTTTATGGACACGTACAAACGAACAGGGAGCATTTGCTGGATTGATGGTTGGTTTTGTATTTGGTGTCATAAGAATGGTACTTGAATTTTCAAAACATGGACCATTATGTGGAGAAATTGATAAGAGATTTTGGTTTATTCGAAATATTAATTTTATGTATTATGCTTTATTTTTATTTTGGTTAACATTTTTTACTTGTGTTATTGTTTCACTATGTACACCACCACCGACAAAAGAACAATTACATCGAACAACATTTTGGACAAGATATCAAAAAGCAGATATGGAATTTATCAAAATGAAAGAAAATAATAATTATGGAGCTTCAACTCTAACGTAAGAAATTTTCTATACCAACAGATCGACCAATAATCTAATTATATTTAATTTTTTCTTTTAGTCAATCATTTAAGCACAATGATGTAGCTCCATCATCTACAATAAATTGTAATAAGATAGGTACTGAAGTTGAACAACTACAACCTGAAATTTTTCTTCCACCAACATCACCACTTGGTTCGGGAACATTACTTATTAGTCGTGATGGTGATGATGATGTTGATAGTATTCATATTAGGACAACAAGAACTAGTACAACTGATGTTGAATATCGTACTGCAGGGAACAAACCTTCTATTGACTCTAGATTATCTATTCCAAAGAATTCCATTAATCAGGATGATGAAACGAAGGGTTGTGATATTTTAATACTTTTAAACTCGTGTTGGTCATGGTTTTGTGGGTTAGACGATACTTCTCTTATTGATGAGACTCATGATTCATTACAAGCTAATGGAAATTATGATCATCATCAACGAAAAATTGAAAATGGTGATATAAACGAGGAACATGATTCAATGTTGCAATACAGTCAAGAACGTCCCGCTATAAAATGGTTATTAAATGCAAATCTAATAGTTCTTATTATTATTGAAATAAGTTTATTTATTGTTTTTTCATTACCTATGGAGTACAGTTTTTGGCGTAATTAATTAGTTTTCTTTTTGTTTTGTTTTAATAATTAAATGTTTATTTTTTTTTTAAACTTTTAATCGAATATTCTATCTTGTTTTGTTTTGTTTTTTATATTGTGCACTTACGAAATATTTTCTTTTCTATCATTCTAATAGAAGATTATTCTTGTTTTATGTTTTGTGAAAAAAAACAGTGAGATTTTAATAAATCACATATTTTATAATCATTCAATATTGAATAATTATATTTCTACAAAGTGTATTCAATTAAAATCATCATATACTTTCATCAGCACATGCTATCGAATTACGGTCAATAACTTTTTCAGCATTAATTCAAAAAAAAGGCGAATACACTCGATTTTGAGTCACTATAATAGCATTGTTATTCAAGCTATTTTAATTAATATATGACAATGTTTGTTTACAACTGTCATCAAAAGAAAACATATAAATAAACTTATACTAATAATAAGATTGTCTTATGCAAAGCGAGACAGATCGGCTTCGCTGATTTCTCGTACTTTTTTCATACTTATTTCGTTCTTTTTCTCGTACTTGTTTCGTTCTTTTTTCGCGGTACTTTTTCAATGTCTTTATAATCTTATGTACGCACACCTATTTTTATATGGTTTCTCATATTTCATCTACTCAGGAGATAATGAAAGGAATATATTCCATCTTTCAGAATTTGTCCAGAGTTTTTATCAATTAAATCTTTTCGTATATTTTATTGTCAAACAAATGAATTGAATCAAAACCAAGTACCTAACTATAAGTAAGGTGCCACTAATGCAAAATTATAGTGGATTTTTTTTTCCGTTCATTTATATATGGTTTTATAGAGAATGAAACGCTGATCACGAATATATATATATAATTTTTTTCGATTTGATTGCTGCTTGGCTGAGAAAAATGCTAAACAAGTTAAATGACTAAAATGTCGTTATATGTAATTTTATCTATTTTCCTTTACAAAAGTTGTTAAATTTTAAGATCAATTACGATGTTAAATGTTTTTTTAAACATCATATTCTGAATCAGCATCAAAGAGTACATATCGGTGACTAATCGTGTAAGTCTATCTAGTTTTTTGTACTAAGAGATAGAAACAATTGTCATATCTCATTAAAACCGCCAGATCGTGGGCCACAAAAGTACTTATTTAGTTCTGTTAAATTTTCTTTAAATGTTGAGAAAATTGCCCTGTATTCCCCCTCAACTGAATTTTATTGAGATTTTGTCTGTGGTCCCCTACATAATTAGTTTTTATAAAAATGTTTTTTTGTTTAAAATAGTACAATTTAATGTAACTTTTTATGCTGATCCCGAATATGTTATTTATTTGACATTTGGATTAAGTTTTTGTTTTAAACTTTGCAAAAGCCGATCTTTTTTAGACCTCATTGTCTGATAGCTGACATGGAAAAAGAAAACATCCATTTTTTCTCAACACTTGAAGAAAATTTAGCAAAACTAAATAAGTACTTTTGTAGCCCACGATCTGACGGTTCTAGTGAGATATGACAATTGTTTCTATCTCTTAGTACAAAAAACTAGATATACTTACACGATTAGTCACGGATATGTACTTTTTGAGCATAGAGTGGTATAAATGTTACACAAAAAGTTTAAAATTTTCTCTGACTTTAAATCTGATCAAATAGCATTTTCTGATTCAGTTTTTGACGCTGATTCAGAATATGATGTTTAAAAAAACATTTAACATCGTAATTGATCTTAAAATTTAACAACTTTTGTAAAGGAAAATAGATAAAATTACATATAACGACATTTTAGTCATTTAACTTGTTTAGCGTTTTTCTCAGCCAAGCAGTAATCAAATCGAAAAAAATTATATATATATATTCGTGATCAGCGTTTCATTCTCTATAAAACCATATATAAATGAACGGAAAAAAATCCACTGTGATTTTGCATTAGTGGCACCTTGAACAACGAAATCTTCTTAGATATAACAGTTCTTATTTCACGTAATAAAAAGAAAACAAATTGTAAAAATCTGTTTCGTTTTCTGTTGATTTTTTATTAATTGTACTAGTCATCGTACACCGACACCTATAGAATGGTCATTCTATTGTAACATTATTTTTCGCCATTCTGCTTCATACCTTTGTCCCATCATAATTCGTTTGTTCTTCTGTTTATAAATTTCATTTAATTCAAAATTCATCCAACATAATTGTTGTTTGATAATATCGTTTCTCTCTTTAATTTTAATATGTTTTTCACAAGAATTTATCTCTTTTGTGTATTAATACTATTTATTCCAAATCTAATTTTAACTCAACCACTTGATTTAACAGACAAAACATGGAAAGATATGTTATGTGGTCAATGGATGGTCGAATTGTAAGTTAAATTTGATTGTTTATGAATATAAATCAATTATAATGATTTTTTTAGCTATGCACCTTGGTGTCCATCATGTCAACATTTTAAACATATTTGGAGTGATTTTGCCAAAGCTATGGTAACAAAAGAAGTTAAAGTGGCTGCTGTTGATATCAACGAATATCCGTCATTATCGGGTCGTTTTCGTATTGCTGTCTTACCTACAATTTATTAGTAAGTCAATTTCAAAAATAGACAAGAAAGTATAAATGAAAAACTTTGAATGTATTTAAATTTAGTGTTCGTGATGGTGTTTTTTATCAATTTAATGGTGAACGTTCGTTGAATGGATTGAAAAATTATATCGAACTTCACGAATGGCAAAGAACAGAACCAGTTTCACGATGGTTTGCTCCAGATAGTTTTCCGTATGTTAACAATATCTTTTCCGAATTTTATTTCTATGTTTTATTTTTTTAAGAATGTCAATGGTCAGTTCACTTTTCGATATATCTGTCTTGGTTAAAGTATGTTCATTTTTTGATTTTTTACATGTAAAAAATTATTATTCATATACTAATTTAGGATGCATATACAGTTTTACTAAATGATTATGGATGGCCAGCATGGCTTATTTATATTATTTTTGCTCTTGCTGTTATTCTCATTGGATTTATTATTGGATTTGTAAGTTTATATCATTTATCTTGTCAATTATGACTTATCTTTCTTTTTTAAGGGTTTTTTGATGATTATTGATTATTGTTTAACGGGTGAACCTAAAGATGATATAGATAATATTCCAGATGATTCCAGAGATATTGAAGATCTAGTAAGAAAAAATTCTTTACAAAAAACAGTGAATATAATTTTGTGAATTTTAGGATGAAACTGATACACAGAAATTATTAGTACCTAGAAAAAAACCTAATCCAACACTTGTTGCTTCATCAACTCCACAACGTACAACAGCAGTAACAAAAACACGTGCATCACCACTTGTAGAAATTCAAGATGACGAAGCACTACTTGATGAAGTACTTGCAGATGATCAAGACGATGACGATGATGATGGTGAAGATGATGATAGTGATCGATTAAATACATCAGATGTTGCACAAGCAACTGATGAAGAAGATCAAACATCACATGGATCTATTCGCCAACGACGAAATAAATAATTCATTTCGTCTAAGAAAAACTTAATTCTGTGATAATAATCAAGAAAAACTCTTATGAAAGTTTATTATTCTTTGATAATCTCTTTTCGTTTATCTTTAATGTGTGTTATAAACAATCGATTTCTCTTTCTTCTCTTTTCGATAAACTGAAAAATATTCGAATTTTCTTTGTATATGAAAAATATTCATTATTATAACTAATTCTTCCTTTTTTTTCGGCGAATTCTACAAATTTTTCTTGTATGATAAAATAAATTAGATGAAATATAATGATTTATTCATATTTATTTGTTTCACTTTTTGAATTAATCAGTAACATTTAATAATGAATGTCACATCTATGGATGAAGTAGAATTTTTTATAGGTTAATGTAAATAGCATTGTAGTCAAGGTAAATTATTTTTATGATGAATGTATTCGGTGAAATTTTAAAAACAACATAGACATCGAAAACAAACATGCAAAATCACTTATAATTTTTTCGAAAACAACAGGTATTAATGCAACCAAAAGGATTATGTATAAATATTTTTATATCATTGATACATTTACAGGAAGAAAAGCAACAAAAAATTTATTTGTGTTGATTCAGATTATTAAAATATATATAGGATGTTTTAAAACGCATGAACACTTAAGAAATTCATTTATCTCTCTTCTTAATTCTTGAGTTACTATTTTTCAAATCATTTTGATATTCAACTATTGTTTTTGTAGACATTCAACAGAATTAAATAAGCTTATCAGCGCAGCCCCTTTAGGGTCAACATGTGGAATTCACATATTCAGCACGATTACTATCTAACCCGTTATTAAGCTTTAATTCTGATTTCTAAGGCTTGCAGGCAAGCAAAGATTGCTGAAAAATCTCAACATATAAACTCAGATGCTTTTAATTAGGAATACTCATCTGTGACAGCACTCTGATTGTGAGGAAAAAGCTGAAAACTGAGGTTTTTCAAGATTTTGGAATTTTTGTATAAAAAAATCTGAAACAACTGGGAAACCGAAATCTTTTACTCTTATAAAAAATGATTTTTTTAATGAATTTGACTAAACATCAAGATATTTTACTTAGCCAAAAAACTTGAACTTATAACTTACAGTCACACTTTTATACGTGACTTCTACAAAAGAGAAGAGAAATAGACAATTTCGTGTCTTTTCGTCTAGCTGCATACAGAAAATGCACTTTAAGTACAAAAAAAGGGAGAAAAGATAAGGCACTTTTGTTCAGTTATTCAATAGCGCACAATTACATAATCATATACTTTCGCTTAAAATTGAGAAAGAATTAGTTTATATTAAGAACACAGTATCTTTAGAAAAATGTATTTTTTTATGTCATTCGCGACACGTTGTCCTTAGTAAGATACATCAACCACTCAGACAAGAAACTGATCAATTCGTCAAAATAGGTAACACAAACAAGTAATGAAATCGAGTTTTTCCACTTTTTCTGAAAATCATCATTTTGTGACATTGGTGTCTGAACTAAAGAATAATATTAAAAATGTTTAATTTTTTATCAATCTATAGCTTACTCAGTGCTCTATACAATATGCAAAAATCGTCGCTATCCTATGCTTTATTAGTTTGAACACACAGTTTCTATAAATGGGTTAATATCATGGGTTCTTTAATCTCTAGATTTGAATTTATTGCAAAACGAATGTCCACAAAAGTAACAGTTGGACATCGAATTGATTTGAAAAATAGTAAGTCTAGAATTAAGCAGAGAGATAAATGAATCTCTCAAGTATTCATCAGTTTTGGAACATGCTGTATATATATATATATATTAAATAGCTGATGTAGTCTGAGCAGTATTTATATTATAAAAACCTTCGGCTGTTGAATATTGACATGTACTATGATCATATAATGCTTAGACAAGAGGCAATAAGCATATACGCATTATATTCATACATTGAACTAGTATTTATAATATATTATTTACATTTCACTTGCTCAAGGATGAAAAGATATTTTATAATTGGTTGATCAGATGGAAATGAAAGATCTAATTTAATAGTAAAATGCTCATAAGAATATAAGCAGAAGAAGAGTATTAAGAATTATATAGAAATAAGTATGATTTTTTAAATAAATAACGTCAGTGATCATTGTATATGAATGAAGATGTATTAACAAATGAAATGAAAAGTACAGTTAATGTCTAGAAATGATTAAATTTTCGTATTAAATATTGTTTGATTGACTTATACTTATTTTTTTTCTTCTATCTTATATATCGATTCTTTTCTATTGATAAAACTTTGTATATCATTACTTTCTTGTTAATTGAAGCGTAAAATGATCCATTATGCATAATAATTGTTTATCTTGCGAATGTAATCTAGGTTCAATCGATTTCTAATATGTCACGAAATGAACAAGCACAAAATATTTCAATATCAGTAGTACTATCGTAAATCATTCATGGAGCAATAAAACTGATGATTTTTCATAGATTCTAATATATCTTTTAAAATCATCTTCAGACAACACAGAATGTTAACAAAAAAAAATACAACATCCTAGAACACTATGCTATAACATCAATTTGTTTTACATAGTTTTTGACTAGCATAAGAACAATTTGACTTTCTCAATTTTTATTGAGAAAATAAATGAACATTTTTTTTCCCTAAAGCATTTCGTGTTGTTATTTTTTCGTACAATGTCGGTTGATGAACAAGATGTTTTGTTGCTCCTCCCGAGTGTCGTCTTTTATCGTTTGAATTGTATGCTTGAAGCGCCGTTCATCTTTAGACATGTATGTATGAGATACCGCATCTTAGCATTTCTCTTTTTTTTTATTCTTCTATTGTTTGCTCATCAACTCATCGTTTAATCGTTTTTGATTTTTTTTAGCGACAAATCATCATTATTATCGTCATCAGTTCATCAAGAGAAAAAGAATCTACATTTATATATATGTACAGAGATGGCTCAAGTATACCTGTATACACGTTCATAGCCTAAAGATATACATATAAGATCTATTCGCTTTGATGTTTGAATGTCGTTTTTTCTTGCGACAATATATATATATATCGAACAAGTGCATGATGTCCTTTGAGTGAGTGATTGATTATTGTACTGTCCTTTTCTGTACTCAATTAGCTAATGTTAGAAATTTGATGCTTATGTTAATGGAGTTGAACATAAGAAGATAGGAAGAGAGCAAGTAGGAGGAGAATAAGAGATTGGTTAATTCATATAATCGTTCACCAAATCTATAGACCAAGTCAGGTGCAATTGATTTATACCATCTTACAAGCAGGCAAGTGATGGATAAGTGAAAAAGCTAACATTTCCGGTAATTCATTTATTCAGTCTAAAGAATGTTGATACTTAACTAGATCAACATTGATGAAGAGTCTGTTTAGTTGAACGAAAAACAAATGAACAACCTTGTAGGTGAAAAAAAAACACGAGGTCGAATATCTTTGTTGTTTTTTTCAAAAAATGTTATCTATCTATTGTCCTTCGTTTATTTGTTCAAGACGAGTCTAGTCGTTCATTTCGTTTTACTTTCTCTCTCTCTCTTTCAACTTGTCTCATTCTTTGTATTCGCTCATTAATCAACATTTTAAAGCGCTTTTGTATATATATCGAAAGAAAGAAAAGTGGGCAGGCGGTAGTTTCAAGGGCTAAAGAGAAAGATCGATGCTTTAGATATATTCATATACATACAATGATGAGTTATAACCCATCAGTAGTAAAAGAAAGAGAGAGTTCGTTGAATTTGACAAGAAGGATCACTTGTAGATTTATGTAGTATAAGAGAGAGAGAGAGGGAGAGAGAGCAAGAGCGAATGACCGATCATTTTCACACATACTTTTTCGACGCGTCGATAAGTAAATTTTGACATTTTTTCGTGTCGCACTCACTACGTATGTACATAGAAGAACAGTAAGACCGACAACAATTTGTAATATGATTCATTCCCATGTTTGAAGATATATCGTTTAATTCACTTCTAACTAAAGAATCACATTTCTTTTTCCACTCAATAATTATTCGATATCAATCACTAATATATATATATATTTTTTCTTTATAAGAAACTTATTCAACTTTGCAACACATTATTGTTTTCCAGTAGAAATTGTAATTATATATACACTTGTACTTAATGATGTAATTTTTGACAAAAAGAATCTTACAAGATGATGAGCAGAAGTGTTATGATGTAAGAGACTAATTTATTTTTTCTCTAACGATAAGTGTGAAAAGTACTCAATGTTTACACCATATAAATGAACTTGCTTCTGTTTATCAATCTTAATATCCGAAATGGAAATGACGATCGATGATATATACTGGCTAATTAGGAGTGCAAAAGTGAGTGAGAGACAGACATTTTCTCCCATTATCGATCATCGATGTGCTCTATTGATATTGCTGATGTTGCTATACATTCCATCTAGTCAACTGATAGACAGGCGAGAGAAAGGCGTGTCCGTCGATTAACTACAATTAACACGAGTACTATGCGTTGTGGTAGCAACAGAGGAGAAAAAAGAAGATGAGGATCATCGATAGTATGTGCGTGTTTAGATGCTTCACCTACCAACACCATACATATATATATATACATATAGATAGATAAGTAACAATCACCATACACATTTCAATGTGATGTGATGATGATCGCGCGTGCGTTTGCATACCAAACAAGTTGACTTTGCTCGTGCATGCACGCGCACATCCATCAGTCTCACTTTCACTTTTACTATGAGTAACAAACATACATTTCTTATCCATACATTCTTTCTGTCTATAACAAGAGATAAGTAATATATATTGAATCGATATATACAATTTACAGATGATGACAATAATAACAAAAACTACTTAATTCTAAACAGATGCAAAAAAATAATCTTGGATGTTGAACCTTGTATAAAGACTTTTTTTTCCTCTATGAAACAAGAATAAATATAGATGGAACGAATTTGATACGTATAAATTCTCTTTTATTGATATCAGTAACGGATAATATTCTCTCCATTTACACCATCTAAGTAGTGGGCGTCGTTGCAATTCCACTTGACACGTCAATCTTAAGATCAAATAATGATCACTACCGTTATGATGAGAATCATAATGATAAACACCGTACGTGATTCTTTTTTTGTTTTTATGCATCAACGAAAAACAGTAAATCTGATGAGATCACCTGCCTTTTAAATCAAATTCTATCCTTTTTCTATTCCCTTAAGATATGGAATAAAAAAAAAGAACAAAGATGAATATATACATATATATATAGTAAGGCATTATCATGAATGCGGTAGTATTGATAGAACAAGACTATACAATTTCAATTTCTTCTGATGATTTGCCATAGGGCAACTATATCATGCCATATTATTCAAGTAATATCTTGAAAAAAAAACAGAAGTCATTGATTGGATGAAGAATCTATGTAAATGATCCTTCTTTTTTTCCTTTTTCTTTCACTTGAATATTTATTTGGCCAACAGCACGAGTCGTCCATCTTCATCATTCGTTCGTTTTATTCTTTCTCTGACCAACCATTCTACATCATACACACGATCTCGCGTGCGTCAAGACACGAAAGAAGAGAGAGAGAGAGAAAGAAAGACAGCTTACAAAAAAAGTTGGAGAAAAAGAGAGAATAATTATAGAGCAATCGTCGAGACAACGAATCAGAATACATACATACATCTATATACATATCTACATATACGTATATATCACTTCTCTAAATTATTAGATCCCGTTCACATACTCCACTACTCATCCTATTTTGAACAATGCCTGCTGATCGTTTTGCACCATATCCATTACCACCACATATTAATCACAATGAATATCGAAAGGTAATAAAAAAAAATAAAAATTCAATGACTGATTGATTGATGAGTGTATTTTAGAATGCAAAACCAATTATGGAAAAACGAAGACGCGAAAGAATTAATCGAAGTTTAGAAGAATTAAAAACTCTTATTCTTGATAATGCAACAACAAATGTAAATATAAAACAAAATTATTTTCATTTTTATACTAGTAAAATCTTCATTTTTAGAATGTACGTAGTCATAAATTAGAAAAAGCTGATATTCTCGAAATGACTGTTAAACATTTACGAGCTGTTTATAAACATAAATTAGCTAGTAAGATAAATAATAATTTATTCTATGAAAAAGATATTAACTGTTTTTTTTTATTTAGGTGCTGCTGCTGTTGATCCAACAATAGCTTCTAAATATCGTGCTGGTTATGGTGAATGTGCCAATGAAATAATTCGTTTTTTAACTACAACACCAAATGCTGATTTAGAATTAAAAACTAAACTTATATCACATTTATCAACTCGTATACAAAATCTATCATCATTATCTATTCTACCACCTATTCAACCATCATTAGCACAAATACATTCAACTACTGGTTTATTAACAAAAACCGATCGTTATTCAGTTAATTCATCAACAAATAATCAATACATTTTTATTTTACCTCAACAAGAACAACAACAACTACAAAGGCAACAACAACAACTTCAAAATACATCTACAACATATGATGAAAATGATTGTACTTCAACATCATCGAATAATTCAAGTGATTGTGAATCATTAAGATCAGAAGTCATAACAACAACAACAACACCTACAGATAGTCCAGCAAGTACAATGATTGAATCTCCATCTAAAGTATGGCGACCATGGTGACCTATAAAACGTTTAATTCTTAATGTTATTGTTGTTGTTTTTTTTGTATTGTTATTTTGTGTACATTTTAACAAAAAAGAAAAGAAATGTGTCTGTATGCAATGTTAATCCTTATATATATATACGGCAGTTTATTAAGAGGTGATGAGATGTGAAAGTTAATTTAAAAAAAATATTTACACCTATATATGTTTTGTATGGTTATATATCTATTGCTCCTGATCTCTCACGATAGATGATGGTGTATATAATTCTTGTGTATACATCGACAAGGTGGAGAAAGACGTGTTGAGATGCGCTTATGTACTAACGAGATTTGAATTCATATAGACACTTGAATTTGAAATCGAGATGCATTAGTCCTATGAATTCTTTTTACTGTCTCAATTAACTTTACGTTTTTTTTCTTATGTTTTGTTTCGATAATATGACAACGACAAGTGTAGAACAATCAATCTTCGATATTATCGATAATGAGAATAGGCAAGGTTACAGTTAAAAACGAAGTAGAGAGATGAACGAAAGAAAGAGAAAAGTTTTGAAATATATTAATAATGACTTGAATGAATAATGATTTGAAAATGAGACATTTGTATATATATATATACATAGGAGATAGTGATTCAAAAAAAATGAACAGTTTCAATGACTAAAAGATATGATATACTATTCTATGAGAGATGGTTTTTTTTATTATTTTCCTAAATGAATATTTAAATAGTATGGTGATCAGATGATTGAAACTGATATATTTTCTTTATGTATATACAACCAAAGTTTTGTTTTTCTACGATATATTTATAATAATTTGTATTGAAGAATAATACATAGATGATTAGTCTTGATGATACATTACTATATGCTCCGAGAGATGATCTATAATGATATTCTTGTTGTTATTTCCAAGCAGAAATTATATATATTTATTTTTGTAGTAGCTATATGGAAGTGGTTGCTATGGCTAAGAATAGTGTAATTGATGATACAATGATTCATAACATTAGTTATAATCAATAACACAAAGTTTGCCATCAACTCTGCATTTTATTATATTGAAATCGAAATTATCGAGTAGAAATCAATTAGAATAAGCTGTTGTAATTTTTATATGTAGCACACAGTTGCACTGGAAAAACCTCGAGAGTAAATGTGGGTGTAGCACACATGAACATCTTCACTCACACTCACACTCTAATATTATACATTCGATTAAGAAAAGAAGGATAATTTATTGTAAAATGACGAACAATCAAAATACAAATATTCGAGATTATTAGTAGTGATTTAGAAATATCTCAGATAAAAAGACGAAAAATCGAGATTAATTGAAAAATGCTTGGTTTCGAGTCTTCTCCTCGCTATATTGTAGCCTGACCAAATGATAATGAATCTGAAAAGAAAACAAAAAACATATAATGTAGTGATATGTCATATTTGTTGATCAGAGAGAATTTCTCTAGCCAGATCAGTTTAATGATCTTCCTTAACGAAGAAACCAAATCAATCACTTGTGTTTACCTTGAACTTCCACCTCCGTCACATATGGACAGGGAAGAATAGCTTTTGCCATTTGAAAATGAAATGAAATTTCATTTATCCTTTTGAGCATTAAATCTCGTTGAACGGATTCTGGCAGTAATGATTCAATGTCATTCTTTTGTTCCTCGCAATACTGAATCAACTAAAAAGAAAAAAAATGACTTTCAAAATCAATTACTTTAGTTATTGAGAAGGACTCACTTTTTCAACGTGTTCATCGAGCGAGCTCGGATCATAATGTTCTCTCATTATCGTCCGACAATAGTTTTCCAACCATACCAAAAATTCTTTGCAGAAAGAAGACGTGAAGTAGTTTCTTTTCAACGTTATCACTTGTTTTTTACATATCACCAAGGGCAGAATTCGTTCGTGCACGCTACTCGACGGCCACACTTCTAAATATTAATGATCTCGTTCGTTAACCGAATGTTATGGCCAAACGATCGAAGAAAGGTTACTGACCGTAGGTCTGCAGAATGTTAGTAATCAGTTGACTGTTGCTCTCTACGTTCATCAACTGAAAGCACATCTGTGCCAAGACAGGGTCAAGTTTCATAATCGCTAACTCTTGCCACTGGATCATACACAGCTAATAAGTGATTTAGACAGTTGAAGAAAAAAGAAATAATCAAGTTAAATGAACGTACGTCAAAAATCCTGCTATTACGATCCCTTCCGATTTCATATGATTCTGATTCATAAAGATAAGGCTTACGATAAAAAAGATATTTGGCGATTCGGGACGACGATCGAAAGGTGTTCCAGTAGTCGACGAAAGATTCAACCATTTCTTTTGGGTCTTTTGGGTCATCAGTGTTAACATTCTAGAAAGTGACAAATAAAATAAGACTTCTTAAATCTGATTACTGAAGTTCGAGCATCTAACTGAACATCGTTCATACTACTAATTATATTCTGCCTTTAGAAAAAGTTCCATCAGTCATTGATTAATGAACTTACCAAAATCTTCATGTTGATAGGCATGTTCTTTCCTTGACGAATAAACTTATCAACAACTGTCTTGAGGTACTTTTCTACGAAGCGTTGGACTTCTAAATATAACATTTCAGCACATTCATCGATATATTGTTTCATGTCCTTTAGGGAAATTTTAGAATGGATACTTGATGGTGAACAGTGATCGTATATGAATCTATAATAAAAAATAGTGGAGATAACATAATCTAGTTTATGTAAGTGATCCTACGTGTTGATAACCATATATTGTGTAGGTGACATATTTTTTCCATGATGGAAAATCATGTCCAAATGTTCGGACATTTCGCCAAGCACATTCTGTCGTGAGAGCTCTGTAAAATACAAAGTTGTCATCTAGAAATTATAATGCTTTTAGCCAGATATGCGGAACCAAAAAAGATTTTAGAATTTTTTTTAGAATAGTCCTGGATGAGTACAACCTTTTGCACCCGAAACCGAACCGACTATTTTTATAATGCCGAGTAATGAATCGTGTAATCATTATCGGATTTATTTTGACTCCTTTTTTTTCACATGAGTAACAGTGCCAGAACAAAATGTCAGAAATTCGGTGATGTCACTAGTTACCGATTCGGCTCTAGACACCCGTCCCGTTTGCAGGACACTAATTCTGAGCGAAATATCCGAATAGAATATTCTATAATGTGTATGGAGAACACTATAATCGAAACAGTCACGTTATTTTAACATTACTCATCAGATTCAGTTCAATTTATAAATAACTTTGATAGTGTATGACAAATCTCTTTTTTATAATAATGAACATTATATCATGATTTGTTAATGCTAATTTTTGTGTTTTGACAGATCCTACTATTAGATACGTAGTGTATATTATCTATGCAATTGTAAGTTTCTATTGGAAGAAGAAGAAAAACCTTTATTTATTTTTTTATTAAATCTCGTTTTTACTTTTATTTTCTCTAGTAAATAAATAATCATAGTATTACCCAAATGAGTTGATTATATTTAATAATTGAATGTTTTTTTTGATGATACAGTAATCTACTAAACATGATCAGTTAACGTTGAAGTAAAAGTTTTTCATTATAAAAATCTTTAATTCGTACTCAAACTTAAACACTATAGTACAAACAATTTATATTCAATGATTCTGTGGATTCTAGAAATCTAAATTTTCATTATAACATTTATTCTTTTCAAAACTCATTTATTGATTGAAATATTCTTTATTGTTTCAATATATTTCATATAATTTATTTTTTTACATCAAGACCAAGATAAATAAGATGTCTTTGTGGTAATAAATGTTTAATATATCGTTTATAAGAAAAAAAGTCTTGTAAATTTTCGATTGTTAAACTATTATTTTTCGTTAAAAAATCTAATAAATCATTCGATTCATGTTCATCTAAAGCATCTTCCATTGTCGACATTGTTTGAATAAATAAATTTTTATGTAAATAATTTTTATTATTTTGATCAAGTTTTTTAAAACATAATAATAAATATTGTTCATCAACTGGTTGATATTCTTTATTAACTAATTTTGGTAGAATTATATCAATAAAATCTGATATATGTATTAAATGATGATCAACATCGATTTCTTCTCGTTCAGAAGTGCGTGATTGTGGATGATAACGCATAGCTAAAAGATTACTAATTAAACTATTCTTGTTTTTTGAAATAAATTCTACTAACCAAGTATTATTTGATTCATTTCATGTAAAGACTAGAGAAAAAAATTAAAAAAATATCAAAGAAACAAGTAACGCCCATCCGAGGAGTCGCTAAGCTCTTTCTCCTGAGAATATATCCTCTTCACATTTACTGGAAAAACAATTGAAAACCTTGCTTTCATTTCTTGTTCCATAATCTAAGCCCGTACTCACATTCTACTCAGTGACAAACGCAGATCAAAACATATTAGAGCTGTCGGTATCAGTCGCTTGTCGAACTAATCTTTAACAAATAAATGAAGTGTTAGTAATCTTTTACGCAAGAAAGCCAACAGTATATGATCACCACACTCTCCACTAGAAGTAGGGGAACATTTGGATTTTTATAAAAATATATTACCCAAAACTTCGATTTCTATCAGTCCACCTTACTTCTTCCAATTCACCGCTCCCCGTCCCATCGGTAGTCTATGCAAGTGAGACGCAGCACATTTGAAGTCTCCGCATTGAAATACCTCAAGAAATGTCTTTTCCGAAAAATCGGTCTTCGATGTTTTTTTGACCCTGCGGACATACAATCAGACAATTTATGTTTATTGAACTCTTCTCTACGAGAAAGAGAAAAATTTGTTAAAATAACTAACTGGTATAAATCCAAGTGAATAAATTATATTCGACATATCTCGATCAAATACAAAATTTGTTAGATAAGATTCATATGCATAAAATGCTTCACTCAATTGTTGATATAATTTCGATAGATCAAATTCATTAATTTGTTCTTTTGGTAAAATTGAAATCGCTTCATGAAAACCTAAAATAATTCTTTTAAAATCATCATAATAAAAGATATTCAACTTACGTTGTTCAATATCTATATTATTGCTGTTATTTGTAGCCATAGAAAAGAAATTTAATTAGATTGAAGTCTTTTTATTTGATCAATATTCGTTTTTAAATTTTCTATTTTATTTACAGTTGATTGTAATTCTTTTTGTTTATTAGTAAGATTTATATGAAATTGATTTAGTCGATGTTCTAATTGTTTTTTATCGTCGATTTGTGATTGTTGAAATCGAAATAAGCGATCATTTTCTATGAAATTTTGTAACCATATTGAAATATTATAAGCATCGAAACTTTTATTTCGAATATAATCTGGTGAAATTTCTTTTAAATTCGAATATTTTATTCGAAATTCATTTATAACAATGGAAGATGGTTGATAAATTTGTAATTTTTCAATAAAATTATATTTTGTTTTTAATTCAATTAAAAAATAATTATTTGTTATTGCAAAGAAACAAGATAAAGCTTGAAAGAATATTTTTAAAGTTTTTGGTGCTTTACGCCAATGACGTATATTAAAAAATGATTGATATGGAAAAGAGATTGATGGTTCTAATGGGTAAATTGTTGTATTAAATAATTTTGATTGTTTTATTTCTTCAATATTTTTTTCAAGAAATTCTTTTTCTTTATTTATATGTAAATATTTTTCTTGTTGAATTTTAAGATTAATTTCATAATCGGATAAAAAATTAGTTACCTCTTCAGGCGAAAAAGGATTATCAAAATGATGACGAATTGTTCGGAAATCCTATGGGAATTGAATTTAAAAAAAACAACGTTTCTGTAAACTATCTAACATACTTTAATATCATCAGCGGTTATATCTAAAAATGTTGTTTTATATTCTCGTTGCATTAATATATTCCCCTTTATTAAACAAAATAATTCCCGCTTAATTAAATTAGAAGAAAAAAGAAGACAGTGTGAAGTATCTTTTTATTATTTCATTTAATAGAATTTACGAAAAATAATATTCGGAAAGGTCATATAGGTCATAAAAAAACAGCTGATCATTTTCAATTAATATTAAAATATGTAATTTGTGGAGAAGATTGATGTCAAAAACAGAGGAGGAAGTAATAGGAAACAAAATATGAGAGTGCTTTCCATAGTTGATAGAATTATAGTTATAGCAGATTATATGATCGATCCGTATATGTATATTATATATACAATTATATGTAAAGCAAATAATCCTAAATTGATAAACACTCAAAGTCCGCAATTTATTGACGTCATAAAACTATAATCATATAAAACTGCTGTTCAAATAATTATTTCTAAATTTCGAACTTAATCATTCTATATATTAACTTTCTAATTATAGTCTATTATATATATTCTATGATAAAACTATGTTTTATTTCTATAGCTTCTAGCAATATACTAAAAAAAATATGTTTTCGTTTATATCATTTATTTATGAATTCTATATTGATGTTCCTATTAATTCTATATAATCAATAATGTGTTATTAATATTAAACAAATGTCCTTGTGATAGAAAAAAAATGAATAGTACATTTGAAGTTATTAGACTTCAATTCGTTTTTTTTTATTATTAATAATCGAATATGATCTCATATATATTTTTTCTTCTAAAAAACGAGTTTTTAATTAAAAAGAAAAAAAAATCATTCAATATTATTTTAAAAAGGAAGAAAAAATGATTATGTGATTATTAATAAAAAAAAAGAAATTAGAAAAATCTTTAGCGATATTTTCGATTAAATTCTATTCAATGAAAATTAAATATCTTTATTACCAAATGTCGGCGAAGAAATACAATTATTTATATGAGCATTCAACCATCAACAAGCTGTTTTTTTCATAATATATAACAATAAAAAATTCTTTTTTTCTCTTTTTCTCGTACATTTTTACTTTTCATTATAAATTCTAACACAATTGCTTTTTTTCTACTTCTCGTAATTATATTTCTTTTTTTTTCTGTAGAATCAATATACGTTGTTTCATTTATTCAAATGACGACAATCGCATCAACTAAATTAAATATAAAATATCATGATTTAAAAAAAAATAAAACAGGTTTTACAAATTAATTTTCAATTCTAACTGTAAATATATTTTTTCTATTCAGGACTTTTTGCTGCGAATAGTATTCATGATATAAAATCTTCAAGAAATCATTTAATGACTGGTGCAACTATTTCATCTCGATTTCGTAATAATAGTTTATCAAGTTTATTATTTCCTCCAACGGAACAAAAACAAGAAATTGAACAATATGATCCAATTGATGAACATAATAGTAGTAATCTCAATTCATCGAATAATTCACAATTAACATTAAATGTTCGAAGAAATGGTTTTCCACCAGCAACAATACTTCATCAAAAAATACGTTTACCAATAACAACAACAACTTGTCAATCTACTGAAAAAAAGTTTTTATCATCAAAATCAACAAATACTCCATCGCATGCATCAGCAAGATTAAAATCTGAAATTGATTATCTTCGTAATAAATTACAAAAACATGAACAATCAAGTAAAAGTTTCCGTTTTCGAGATAATCGAGTAAGAAAAAACAACATATATCTCGATCATATCTAATTAAGCTACTCTTGAGACGAGTACACTAGAGTTTTTAACAAATATTTGCTTTTCATATTGATTGTTTCTTTTGTTCAAACAATTTATTCAATAGATCGAGTTCAAAATCCAATTGATTGATTGATTAAGAATAGTTTTCTAATAAAACCCCTCGTTTTTCTAAGTAGGACAATTATTTTAATTTGTCTAGGATTTGGATGGTACTCGACATGGTACTGTTTCCTATTCAACATCTTGTCGTCTTCCATCTGCATCGACTATACTTACAGCTGATCGTATTCATAAACGTTTTTCATCGGCTGTAACACATAATACAACAAGTACAAATATGATAAAACCTACAATAAATGATGCATCTACTCAAACGATGCCCATTCTTTCGAATATTATTACAACAATAAATCCACCAATTATTGAAACAGATGATAATCAATCAAATAGAGCAGATTATCAACCAACACATGCTTATCAAATTCCACAACAATCAAATGTTGGTAGCGAATGTGTATTTTTTACTGATTCATCTATGCTTTCATCATTCAAAACACGGTCAATTAAAACTGATCGTTATCATAATGATCTCAAAACAATTGCTTGTCCATTCTATGTCATGTATTTTACAAATTTAACGATGCAACAAGGACAAACTAAAGATAATAATAATGAGAATGAAATAGCATCATCGACAACGCGTAAAGTACCGGTTAATTCACGAACAAGTACAGCTTTTCCTCGACATCAATCAACTAGAAGACAAGTTAATAGTCAACTAAATCTAGATACTTATTTAACAATAGATGATAATGTTTCTGTAACAGATTCAACTAAAATACCTTTAAATGAAAATTCATCTAAATTAAAAGATATTCTTCGAACTAAATCATGGAATCATGTAAGAGTATAACAATATTGTATATTTTGCATTTTAAATTTGTTTTATTTCAAAAATAAGTTTCTTTTCTGTTTTTTTTTTACTTTCTAACATTTTCTATTATCAATATAAAAACTACATAATTATAATATAAATTTTTATTCTGTTTTGTTCTTCATGTTATAACGATTGAATTAATGCTGTTGAAGGTCTTGATAATGATGAACGATAATTATTCTGTTGATTTTGCATTTGTTGAGGAGATATATAACGTGGATTTACTGATATACTTGATCTTTCAGTTGCACTCATACGATATGACATTGTATTTTTATCATATTTTTGTCCTGTATAATTATTTCGAAATGATGATGTTGAACCTGTTTTATTTCGACAACAACAATTTAATAATGATGGTAAGAAATGTGTTGTTGATGCACATATCATGACAATCGATCGACGAAATTTGTCACTTGTTAATAAATATAAGAAAAAATTTGTTGCATGTTGTATATCACTTAATTGAAACATAATAACAGTTAATATTTTTAATCGCCGAAAACGTAACCATTCATCAAAGTCATTTCCTGATGGTGGTTGATTAAAATCATAAATAGAATCAAGTACAAAATAGATACTATTTGGTAATGTAACAAGAAGAAAAACAACAGCAACAGCAAGTAACATTAATGTTATATGGCGCTGTCTAGAGCGTATAACTTCGGTTTTTTGATTACTGCGCATTTCAATAGCTGGATTTTCACTTTTTCTCTGTTGTTGAATTTGTTTACTTAAACGTTTTTGATCATTAGCTAGAAATGAATAACCAAATTTGTTAGTATGTATCTTTTTCTTTTTTAGAGTGGAAAGAAATTAATGAAATGTCATCATGTAAAATAAACCCTTTAGGCTAAAAAGATCTTTATTTTTTATGCTTTCTAAATTGATAATCAAAATAAATACCATTTATTGTGTATGATTAAAAACACAATCATATGTAATAAGAAAGTCTATGACAATAGCTAAAGGCAATAAGAAAAACTAAATTTAGTCATAATAACAAAACTTTTTTGAATGAAAATAATAAGTCTAAATAAAGTTCGTGTCTAATAATAATAGATTTTTATGTGTTTTTTTAGCATAATAAATTCTTATCTTTTCAAAACATGTCTATTTACAAAAACACCATTAAGGCGGAGTTATACATCTATTTATTGGAATGCCTAAAGGAATTTTTGTGTAATTAGAAACAATATCTTCTTCAGCCTACAAGTGTTGATTTCGAGGCTTCTTTTATAGATCAACTATCTTTATGTCTATATCTATATTCGTTAATATTATTCATTAGTGCACATTATTATTCTCATTATTATTATGATTATGATTATGATTATATTTTACAATCCATTTCATCTATAAATGATGTCTATATAAGAAAACAAAACTAAGATTTGTTTTTCTTACCCTTTTCACTGTTTAAACTTGTGTTTATTATATGTCGAATATTATGATGTGAATCTTGTCCTTTTTGACGTAATTTATATATAATTAAACCACTTAATGTTAATATAAGTATGAAAGGTACAAAACACCAAATAACAGAATCCAAATAACGCCATATTTTTTGTATGTTAGGGTAGCGTTCTATATCATACGCACAATAAGGTGTTTTATCATGGTTTAAACTATTAATAGTCCAAAAATGATGAAATGAGATGATACTTGTCATACCAAAAAGAAATATACAAACATATTTTGCTCGAGTTATTGTACAAAAATATGATACTTTGAGAGGAAACCAAACAGCAAAAAATTTATCAGCTGTCATAATAACAAGTATCCAAACATTAGTGTAACAAAAAACATATATAAGAAAATAAAGTATTTTGCACGATGCGGCATGTGCTACAATAAATGTTGGAAAATAGACGAGATTTTTTGTTAATAATACAAGAGGATCAAGAACACTGAGAGCCAACATGAAAAATGCTGTTGATGTTCCGCGCATATGACGACTTCGTAATGCAATAAATGACAGGCAATTACATATAAGTGACACAGGTAGAATAATTAATGGTAAACATATTCGTAATGTATCTTGTATCCATACTTCAGTCCAACATTCCGATATATTTGCGTAAGATGTTTCATTAGCTAGCAAAGAACGATTTCGACAAAAATCTGGTATATTACCCATCTAAAATATTGTTTATATTAGTAATTATGCGAAAACCAATATTTTATTGATTAGACTAATGTGACTAAAAGGTCAGAACAGCTATATATGCCAGAGTATTGTTATTCAAAGTTTTTAGGCTTTATACAGAAAGACAAAAAAGATAAAGAAATGTATGTTTGTTTCAATCAATACCTAAGGAAATATACATGTCATCATGAATATATTTGTATCAAATAAAGATTCTTTGACATGTATATTATTTCAATAACATATCTCTCATCTTGTTTTAGCATATGTTTTTCTCTTATTTTCATCAAAAAGAACTTTCCTTTGTTTTTCCCTTTTTATAATGGTCATTCGTATGGAAATAGACTAAAATAATAATCTGAATTTTTTCGATTATAAATGCAAAGAGCAATCATATATTTTGTTCTTCTCTTGAGATCAAAAAAGAGATAATTTAATGGGAACTACTTCATCTATAATTCTTTGCATCTAAATTATGGTGATTTATTTGACTGAAAAAATATATAGAAAGCTTTCAAGGGAATAAATATCATAAAATGAATAAACAGTTTAGGCTAATCTCAGGATGCTTTATGTAAGATTGAACTTATATTTAAATATATATATATATATATATATATCATATTATATTATTGGTTAGAAAAAACAACAATTTTATTTTCATCACTAATATATGATACTTTTCTAAATGATATATATTTCGATTAAATCAAGAATAAATTTCATTTTCTCCTAATGTAAATATATATATATATAATTTGATCATCATATATTTATGTATATATATATATATATAGATACATGTATATATATATATTAGGTTTTCTCCTAATCTATTTCTCTTATGTTAGGTACAAAAATAGTCAGTTATATATTTCGAAAATAAAAAATAAAATCTTAATTAATAAACGAGAGATAAGCTAAAACTACTTCCTCTAGAAAGCGATAGTATTTTCTATGATATAATGAATGTGACACATATATAATAATTATAGATGTATATAGTAATTAAATTTTTTTATTACAAACTTTTATCTATTTTGAGAAGATAGATTGTAAAAAGTAAAGCTTCATTTGTTTTACCAGTTGTTTCTAGATATTGTATCAACATACATGGTCTAATGTGCAACTGATGTTAATAGTAATAGTTCTATAAGCACTTGTGACTTGTCTGTCAACGAGGATAGACTAATAGATATATCTCTTTATGTATTGAAGAGTTGAGAGAAACAAACGAAAGATAGGAACCATCAGAAGGAGAGAAAGATAGAGAGAAAGAGAAGAAGGAGGAAGGAAGGGTAAAGCGTTACAAGAGAGAGAGAGAGAGAGTAGAAAAAACGCAGATCGCGAAAACGGAAATTGTCAACGACAATGTTCAACTTAGCAAAAATCAAATTAATACAAAATTATATATCTTATTCTCGTTCATATGCCTATATCGACATTGATCGAATGTATTTCTATATAGTACAACTCTAACATCTGGTACGCTCAGTTTCTATCTTTCATTATATTCTTCATCGGTCCGTAAATGCTAAAATGTCTGTGACAAGAAGATAAGTGGAAAGAAACGGACATTAGTAAAAAAAAAAGAAACTAATCGTTCGTAATATACAGAGAGATACTATTTACATGATTTTTTTCATAAGAACCAATAGATTGTCAGAACACATAAAAATTAAATTATCAAATTCAACAGTTTTGAGTTGTTATTATTTGTCGGCACTTGATTAAATAAATAAAAAATTTAGCATAATATTTTGTTTTCTTTCTATTTTAATGATAAATAGAATGAACTTTTTTTTTATTATTAAAATTTAGCAATATACAATAATTCAATTAGAAAAATAAACAATAGATTTTATACCGAAGAAGAAAAGAAAAAGTTTCTCTCTTCTTTTTATTCATACAAATTAATCAGATGTAACAATAGATTACGTATATAATTTAATTCATTTCTTCTGCTTAAAAGAGTACAAATTTTTAAAATCTTTCTTTTCTTCATAGATGTATAAAAATAGCATTGTTCTAAGCTTATTTTCGAAGTCATTGGTATTCTTTCAACAATATATTTGTGACTAATAATTACGCTGATTACAAAACAGGAAATAAAGTTACAAAAACTTTGTTTCTTCTTGAATACTATATTCGAAGACAACTGATAATAATAGATATGATTTTCGTTTGTTTTACTGAGTTAAAAAGAAAACATTTCCGGATTATTATAACAGATCACCGTTGAAAGTTATTTATTAATCTAAGCGGATATTACTCATTCATTTTTTTGCTGATTAGACGCTATAATAGTAGATTACTAAAGACAAATGTTATATCTCATAAGAAACCAAATTATTGATGATTTGTTAACAGGCTTAGTTAACTGTCATCGCCTTCGACATAACTAGTTTGTATTTTTTGTCTTTTCTTCAACCGATATTTTCGTCAAGGTTAATTATTCATGTATATCGGCTAATGGATCTTATATTTATTCAACTAAAAAAAAAAATCACGACAAATATGTATATACAGATGAATATATTGAGAACATTGTTTCGAGAAAAACATATATATACTACACAAATGTAAGATAAAGAACAAAGACAAGAAAAACTGCTAGATTTCAATAATGACAACGACAAAAGAGAAAAAAAAATACTTCTGTTTTCCGATGTGAATCAAGCAACATCTGACAAAACATGTTTGATTTTGTTTTTTTGAATTCTCATATCGGACAAGAAAATAAATATGGTATAATTATACACCTGTATAAAGTTTTTCATATGGTGGAGGTGGATGTTCAGTATGATAATATTGATCTGATTGTGGTGGTGCACTTGGTTGAGGTAACATTGGACGACTTTCAGATATTTGCATATTCGCAGGATTCCATTGTTGAGGAGGGTGTTGTTGATAATATTGAGGTTGATAACCTGATGGACCTGTATGAACATAAATAGGTTGTGGAACTTGAATAGTTGTTGGACCTATAATGAAACTGAAATAGAACACTTTTCATAAATAGAAAATATTTAAATATACCTTGATTTCGTTTCCGATTATTATTATTTCCACAGCAACAACGAACACAAATAACTACTGTTGTAACCAAACAGCAGACGATACATAAGGAAACAATAACTATCACTGTAATAGCCACCTAGAATAACAATTATTGATGAGTTTAGATATTTTTGTGACAAAACAAATTAACGTTTGTCTCTCATATTTTACTTTGAAACGATATACTATTGTTTAAAGCATTTTTATGGGAAAAAGATATAACTATTTATTATTCTAAGACACAATAATGTTTTAAACAGATACATACTATTAAAATGATATATGTATATACATAGATATGTATAGCTCTCATTGAATATAATTTTCATATTAGAGTACATAAGTAAAAAACACATAGATCAAGTTTGTTTATTCCAAAATGATTTATGATAAAAAAAATAAGTACTCAATCTCTTAGATTTTAATTTAATGTACAAAAATTCTTATTTCTTACCTTTTTTGCCATGCCCAAAATTTCTTCACCACTAAAATAAAATAAATTAAAATTACTCAATGATAAATTAAGTTTTTCCCTTTCCAAATAAAAGCAAAAAATACGTCAATGGTTAAGAAAAGCATTGATTTGTCAAAAGGTTAGAAAAGCAAAAACACAAACAACCAAAAAGATTTTTTTAATCAAAATGCATTCAAGTTAGACATTATTTATATTACACGCTACATTTTTCTATGATCGTCGTTCTCACTACAAATAATCATAAATAATTACGTAAAATCAAAAATGTGATTCAAATGAGAGAAAGCTTTATCTATGTATTATAGAGGCTATTTATAAGATACTATACCTTTCTGTATTTTGCATTGCTTTGGCGACATTAATAACAAAGCCAGCAGTTTGTATTGCTCTATAAAAAAAAGAAGAAGTCCATATACCGTATTGATCATACTTAGGAACTTACTCAATAACTTGACGTCGTTCGCGTTTATTTATCTTTGGTTGGTCAGTTTTTGTTTCAAGACGTGTTACTCTATAATCAAATTTTATGAAAAAAAACATTTTTTTATTTGTTAAAATAATCATACCGAATTAATGTCCTTTCAGTGGTTGTTTGCCATGATTGATCAGTAGTATCATTAGCAATAGAATTGCTTGATTCATGTTCAACAACGGCAATATCTGATAAAATTGAAGAAAAAAAAAATAAACAAAATCATTCATTTTTATATATTTACTTATTGGTGATTGTTTAGCTTTATTATCATTTTGAGCATTTGTAAGAACAAATAAAAGACTAGTTACAAATATTAAACAGCGTATAAACATTTTCAACACAATGATATTCTAATCACTGTACTTGAATTAGGAAATTTTTTTTTTTGTTTATATGAATAAGAGTGAATGAGTAAGTTTGAGGTCATTAAGCTTATATCATCGTCATTGTATGAATCATTTCAATGTTATTGAACAACCAATCGATCAAATGCAATGCAAAAGATGGCAGTGGTATCGTATTTTTGATAATATTAATGAAATGGTTTCATACTATCACAGTTGAGAAAAATTACAAAATTTTCTATACTACTAGATTTCAAACGACAAATGCATATTTCATATCTACTTACTATTCATGTAGTCTTTAAATATATAGAAAATAAAATTTTTTTTCTTATTTTTCGTAATGAGCAATATTTTACGATAGAAAATTGTCTTTAATAATAGCATGTTGATGTCTGGTCGCAATGACATTTTCTCTCGAATAATTTTTCTGATCTTCTTTTTTTTGCAATAATATAAATTAATTATTATCCAGTCAAATATGTTTGTGACTTCCGAAAATAATCGAATAGTTTTTTCATTATATATATATATATTATTACTATCGCAATACGTGCTACGTTATATTTATGAATAAATAAATTTAAACTTATCGATAAAAGTCAGCAGGTTTCAATAAGAACAAATCCATTTTGTTACATCATATAGAGTGAATAACTGAACTCATATATATCTATATCGACATAGATTATAATTAAATTCCTAGTATACTATTATCAGATACATTCAATGAAAGCTATTAACACTCATATAAATCGAACTGTTTTCTAGTTATATTATCGTTCGAATTCAGATAACAGCATTAGTTTCGATGAAAAGCCAAGGTTTAATAACAATTTATTCTTCTAAAAATTTGATACTTGTTTTCTTCTAATTCATTATCGATCAAAGAAGATATAGCCATCAATAGACTTACTATTACAACAAAAAAGATGAGTTGTTTACGACTTTGTCATGGTGTACATTATTGTCAGAAAACAATGAACAGATTTTTATCAGTGTTTTGATTTATGACTTATCGTATTGTTTAATAAATTATTATGACTCGATCCCTAGATCACATCATAATGCTGTCCTTGATGTATTAGTTGTAATATCTTCTCAAGGTGTGATCTCATTTAGATCTAACTATTTGTCATCACTAATCTATAAGCGTACTATGTTCGAGGTATAAGCGTTTGCCGATGTATAAATACATTAGTTTTTTCAATAAAAGCGGAAGTCTGCCTGTTAACTACATCTTAATAATAGCTAACATAAATATTATTTATAGCAAAGGAAAAAAGCTGATTCTCTTTTCCAATTACTTACATTAATTTCAAAATAAGACTTTTATCATCGTTGTGTTTGATGTTAATAAAAAGACATATCTGTCCGACCTTGATTTGAACTAAATTAATAATCGCAAAAAAAAAATAGATTTATATTTTTCCGTAAACAATTTATTCTGATCTCTTACTTTATTGAGAGAATTATTTGATAAAATCTAATGTAGTATATGAATACCTTGTTACTTCGATCTGTATAAATCTTTGTAGTTTGATATCTACTAATCCTTGATTTTTAATTAAGATAGTATTTGACGTAAATAGTTATATAATATGTAATTTAATAATAATTAAATATATATTCTTATCTACATTCTGACAAGGAAAGAACTCATTACTGTGTCTACTTTAGCACTTTATCATTCGTTTATCAAAGATATCTATTTGTCATCATTGATTTTCTTTTCTCATACATTATGTTATTATCTGACATAATAATAAATATAATCAACCTTGATACTATTCAAATCAACATAACAGAAGTATTACTCTACAATAGTTTTTCTCTTTCATCTAATAATTGGTATTTATAATCCGATGATTGCATGACTTAAATAATTGTAAGATTATTTTATTTCATAGATGAAAAAAGTAGTACATAAGAGGGCGTATAGATGTATTTTTTCTTGGAGAAAAAATTT